ATTGCGGAATCGTGTAAAGTATAGTGAGCTGCAGATGGTATGCAAGCAAGCAAATTCTGTTATTGCTCAGGTCGCTCAGAAACAAATTGGCCGACATCCGATCGCAGCTGTACTTGATACAACAGAAACCCAAGGCAGAACCAGCTGCACTCGATAAGGAACAGATATCACCAAACTCAAAGACGTGGTACACTTGATGCAATACTTACATTGTTTGTATATCATAGCAACTATTACAAGAAAAAATAGTTGAGAGCCTTGCTACAAAGAAGAACGTTGGTGTTATCGGCGTGGACCCAGGGCTTGTAGTATCAGCAACTTCTATCACCACTACTGCCAAAGATCTGCACCAAACAATTGTTTCGTACACCCGTCCCCAGCCATCATCATCGCCATCTTCTTCTTCAGCACCTGAAACAGCACCAACACAGCCATCAGATCTGCCATCTGTGGCGCGCCCGCTACCTCCAGCACAGACTTATACAGCTAAAAAGAAAACAGCAGCTACGCTGGAAGCAGCTCACCAAGCCAGACGGGAACAGTACAAGAAGAAACATGACGACAATACTGGTGATCAAGACAGACGACAAAATGCTCGCACTAGGGACATCCGACACAACGTCTTTCATCGGAAACTTGTGTCATCGTGGAGGGTACGTGGATCCGCATCCACCTTGATGTTTTTTGGCGCATATAAATCAACAAACTCGAGGATAAAAGGCCACTGTTGTGGTGCGAACGCCACCTTACAACATCATTTGGGTTCCCCCGACCGTGACCAAGTTACTGCTACCAATACCGGCGCGAAGGCAAATTGGTCAAGGTCAACAGTGCTTTGCGGTGCACCAGTCCAGCATGCTCGAACAAGAGTCGCAACACTCACAACAGGAGGGACCAAGTCGGGTCCGTCAATATCGCATCGATTGAATTTTCCAAAGCCATATCTGCCACCAACACCCCTATTCCACCTTTCTCTAGAATGCCATTCCTTTCTTATACCATTTCTCCCTACATGGAGCAACTGCTGACGTGACACCTGACCATGTCTACCACGCGATGTCGGATAGAAAATAGTACCTTCGTGAAACGCCTGTATTTTTATGATCTATCATATTTACAATGTCTACTACTATTCGCCGTTGCTTTATCGACGTAATTTCTATCTGTTTCGGTATTTTTATCTAGACATAGTTGTATATGGAGGCACATGTTGTGTACACATAGACCCATGGGAGAAACGTTATCAGTGGCACTAGAACATCGATCTTGTTTTCGCTATCATGTACCAGTGATGATTTGGCGTTTATTTGTCGTTCTTGAGCACTCGCAGCGGTGCTTGTAAATGGTATGTTTATTTTACAATTTCTTTTATAGAGGACTTGTAAATTTTACAATGGAAGCTGGTAAAGTTAGCAGGAAATCTGTGAGCTTGTAAATTACAATAACCATTGCGAAAGTTCGGTATAGTAGTACTACAAGGATCTTACAAGTCCTCAATTTACAAGTTTTGTTACAAGCATCGCTGCGAGTGCTCTTACTGAAATTACGTCATTAAAACGCAGCAGACATGATCTTATTTTTTCTTGCGCAAACAAAGTAGTAATGTGATCCATTTGCCTCCTCCGTGTGTGTTGCGTATCATCATGAGCAAATGACAAGTAATACATGCACTCTTACTATATATAATTTCTGATAAATGGCTGCTACCACTCGCAAACAATACTAAACATGCTATGTATCGAATGTATATGATTATGACGAAATAACAACATTAAACGAAAACGAGTTACTGTAAGTCGCCTTTGATGTTCTTTCGCAATTGTCTAGCAGCATTTAGCTCAAGACAAGCCTGTGTTGTAGCAGCTTGTATCTCTCTGCTTTACGTAGTTGCAATTATGGGACGTTATTATCATTTGATATTATTTACAGCATCAGAACTGTTGATTTTGTATGACATATGCGCATACTCGGCGATGATCGAGGATTTAAGCAGACAAAGCAAAGACCCACAGTCGAGCATAGGCCATCTTCCAGTTACGATTGATCTTTTTCGCTTTCACGACAGCTACTATTCTACTATGACTGAAATGTTTTGTATTGCATACTCTTTTTTCGTAATCTGTGTGATAGAGTTGGAAAAAGGGGGCATGGTGGATGCTATGTACGATGATGGAAGAACGGTATATCGTGTACTATTACATATTTCATCTAGTGGTTGGAAAAACTGTAAAACAACTTCTTCTGCATCTTTGTCTCTCGTCACTCATGATAAAGACCGGACATGAAAAGGCTCAAATGCATAATGCATCGGATTTTTTGTACAAAGACGATAAAATACAGTGTGCAGTATAGGAGGTATTATTATGTAGCATCATGCAGTAGTAGTTGCGACAGGTAGTCCTCTCTTTTTGATATGTTGTAAGAGAAAAACCAACCTCCTGTTCCCCTTAACAAAAGAAGATAGAACATCAAGATAATTCTACGCCACTTTTCTTTTTCAGGGAGGAACAAACAAACATGATATGCTGCAAATCATCATCATCGGCATTAGAAAGCTAAATTCAAATCAAAGAAGGGGCAAAAATCGCTCACAATAATCACATACCGCTACTGCCACTGTTAATGGTGTACATAGAGTGATATCTACTGAGGCACCGTAGTCGTACGTGGATATGATGTTCTGGTAGATACTTACTAACGCGGTGGCTATGTGAGTTACACGAGTCAAGAAGAAAGAGAAGACCGTAGTTAAGGTTGAATTTTCATTTTTTCACATTATGCACAAATGATACGATGATATGGTAGTATAAGATGTCAGTTCTGTGACAACTGTACATGGTTGAAACGCATGGACGGTGTGTTTAATCTGAGCTACTTAATGATGAAAACGACAATGACATCGGCGACAGCAAAGCGTGAGAGTTTCAAGCCATCCATAGAAACGATTTGGATTAGTGCTCACATAGCATATATTAAGCGATGTTTTAAAGAAGTAATAATTTCCACATGTCCTTCAAGAAATAATATTTAATTTACGCATAAGAGGAAAAGAATGAGTGGAATGAGATAATCCGGTCCCATAATGTTCAGCACATACCACTGTCGTCATTGCTAGTACCATACGCAAGAAACAAACAATTACTGTACCATGCGGATATATAAAAATGGAAAGTCAATGTCATTACCAAAAGGCTGAGTCCGATGTGCTGACCCGGATGATGCATATTAACATGTTAAACCGGTGGGAAAAAGGAGACAACAGCTGAGAAAAAGAGAGCCGATCCAATAGCAGACAGGCTTGTACCAGGTCGTATGATCGTCCATATCGAGGACAAGTTAAGAGTTTGTTTTGTGTGTGTGTCTCACCTTTAGCTCCACCCAAACTTTTTTTCTCTATCGTTTCAATAGTTGCATATCTAACTTCCAAAGAACAACAAGATACAAGATGCCAGCGAGAAAGCGCGCAACAGTACGCATAGTTTCATGTTTCCGGTAAAAAACCTGGGGAACCAAACAAACAAAAATTGCCAAGCCTAGCCATTTTCATTTGTCTGACACTAACACAGTTTCAAGTTGTATCCAATAATGCTTTCTTTCTGTGCCCAAGTACCACCCAGAACCCTGACCGAGTAAAACATAGCATCCGCGGGTTTCACTGAACAGCGAAAGATGATGATGAGGAGGAGGAGGAGGGAAGACCCTGTGAATCGTCAAAAGTACAGAGAGATCCAATGTTTCAAAACAGGGTTTATGACAAAACAAGTTAAAATGGGTTAATTTCTGCAAATTAATGAGAGAAGAAAAAGGCTGGACGGATCGACCTACCTGGTACGACCACAAACGAAAAGAACTGAACAATTAGCCAAGACGACAGAAGGTTCACATGAGAATCCCTGGTTCTTGGTTTTGATTGAACTAATAAACAACCATGCAAATGTCATTAACGTACGAAAATTATGGAAAGCATAATAAAAATCTTTATTACTTATAGTATAACCAGATAATTGTGAGCACTATTGTTGCACTGGAACAATAGCAACAAAGTAAAGGTGCTGCAAAAGAACAGAGTCCATGCCTTGCTGACCTCCTCTAAGGCACTTTTTGGCTGTGGGGCCTCAAACGTTCAAACGTCTATGCGTTTCATAGTGTATGTATAAGCACCTGTCAACAAGCCACAAAGTTTAAGGATGGTGAGATGTATCTGGAGATGTGCACACAAGCATTAGATTAACAGGATCTATCATTCATCATCGTCATCATCATCATCTTCAGTATAGTAGAAACAGCGAAGCTAATAATGTCATAATCTCGTGATGATATGGATAAGGACTTACTTATCTTGGCCATACGGAGTATAATCTCGAACCTTTATCTCTCTCTCTTTGTGGGCGTAGTACGTATCACATTCGGATGCTTTGCAATTAAAAGAAGTTTCTTGAATGTCTTGAACAATGATGCACGGTTCACTTAAAGTAATGATAATCGGCCCACAAAAATAAACAAGTGTGTTTATTACTGCTTTATGTATACATGCTTAGAGTAATGGTAGCAGTAATAATAACAATGATGCTGCATTCAAATTAAAAACCCATCCACATGGCTTTCCTAGTCGGATTTGTTTTTCTTGGGTGCATTTAGCTGTGCGTTAACAAAGTCAACTAACTGAAAAAAATTTCCCGTCGCTTTCCCTTTCGAGCCTGCAGCAGCAGCAGCAGCTGCTGCTGCAAATCACCATCATCATCGGGGGGCTTTTCGGAAGAGGAAAAAACTTTTTCGCAGACTAAAAGCTGAATGGAGAAAAAAGGACTCAAACCAGAATCAACAATGAGACATTTTGCATCGGAGGCACAAAATAAAGCTTGATCTATTGGATCACATAATAATGGATAAAAGATTTTTGTAGCAGCACATAACGATTACCTAACGTACGGGGGAGGGGCAGGGGTGCGGGTGGGTGAATAGAACAAGAGACGGAGAGAGACAGAGAGTGTGTGTGTGTGGGCAAAAAATAGACATATGCACATGGCGTGCTGCACAGCTGTGTACACGCACACACACAGCACAGAACTTTAAACCATGCTTTATCGGGCAATTACATAGGTGAGAGAGCACCGGTATCATACATATTCCATTAACACTATTACTTGATGCAAATTCCAGGAGCAAAGCATAATTGATGCATATACTACTATTAGCTAACCCCCCTTTTTTTCTTCTTGTTCCAAATTCCACGGCAATTTCACATATACAGCAACTGTATTAGAGAAACAATCCCGCTTATGTGGTTGATACACACACTAGCGCTGAGCGGGATGAAAGCGGGGAAGCGTTTTTTTGGGTGGCGAGAGCGGGGTGTTATAGCCAAAAGAGACACAAAAGGGAAAAAAAGGGAAAACTGTATTCCGTCGAAAACTTTTGTCCTTGAGGTTTCACCATCACCTTAACAGACGAATCACGGTCCAAGACAAGGTAAGCTCCGAGAGAGAGAGGGATATCATCCCGACTAGGTAGTAAGGTAAGTAACCTCTAACAAACAAGAGCCACTTAGCAAGTAATAATAACCCAGTTGAAACAGAACTGATCGCCGTAGACGATAATTGTACATATTTGGACATTAGATCAGATATGGTTAAAAGCTTGACGTAGGTGCCGTCGCACAGGCTATGTCTCTCGCAACGTGCCCGCTTTCCTGTTGATGGCAAGTGGCTCTCGTCTCTCTCACAGTGTGAGTAAGTGAGTGAGTGAGTGAGTCTGTCTTGATTATTAGAATAACCGGTCGGGCGCGCTTTCTGCTTATTGGGCGAGAGAGAGAAAGAGATAGAGAGCGCTGACACTTCTGCGCAAATCAAGTTTATGAAATTACGGTCCCCCACCCCTTATCACCCATCTTCGTGGACGCTTATTTCGAGCCCGATCCATTCTTTATTCTTTTTTCCATTTTTACTTTTTTCCTCTTATATATAAACTTTCCTCCTTGCCAACTTTTTCCCTTTCTTTCACCTCTTTTTTCCCCGTTAGAACTCTTTCTCTCCTCTCCCTTTCTCTCTCTCTCTCTCTCTCTCTTCTCTCTTCTTCCCTCTCCATCCTCTCCTCTAGCCTCGACCATGTCGAACGAGAAAACGGAAACAGTCGAGGTCGTCTCCGAGGCTCCCGCCAAGGTTGACCTGAGCGCTGGCAACGTCAAGACGCTTACCGTCGAAGAACTTTACGACAAGGACAAGTACGATTTGTCCACCATGGAGACCAATGACGTTTTGCAGCTCTTGCAGTATGTATTCCCTCACAATCCAATTTCTTTCAATCCATCACTATCGCAACCCCCCTCCTGCTCCCCGAGAACTTACCCGACGATATTCGTTTTTTAAACTTTTTGCCGGGGTTGCAATGTGTGTGTATGTGCTTGTTGATCTGATTTCTTTCTTTATTATCTTGTCCAACAATATAGAACCCAGCCCAACGGTCTCACTTCGGACGAAGCCGCTCAACGTATCGAGAAGTTCGGTCCTAACAAGCTCGAACAGAAGGAAGTCAATGCCTTCTTGCAGTTTTTGGGCTTCATGTGGAACCCCTTGTCGTGGGTCATGGAAGCCGCCGCCATCGTCTCTATTGCCTTGGCCAACGGTGATGGCAGACCGCCAGACTACCCCGATTTTATCGGTATCGTCCTCTTGCTTTTTGCAAACTCTTTGATTGGTTTCTACGAAGAACGCCAGGCCGGTAACGCCGTCAAGGCCCTCATGGAGTCGCTCGCCCCCGAATGTAAGGTCAAGCGTAATGGCGAGTGGAAAACCATGGAAGCTGCTGAACTCGTTCCTGGTGATGTGGTTAGCATCAAGCTCGGTGACGTTATCCCCGCTGATGGCCGTTTGCTTTCTGTAAGTGCCCTGTTCTTCCTTCTCTACCTCCCCGCCCTTCCCGCCGCCACCACTGCCCATCTTTTTTTTGGGCCCGCCCGCCCGCCCCCTTATTCACGCCTCGTCTCACCTCATCGCGCTGCCCCGCCCCCCGCGACCCCCACATAGCTCACATTCACACAAAAAATTAATTTACACCTTTTTTATTTGTCTAGGCTCATGGCCAGGTCTCTATTGATCAAGCTGCCTTGACTGGTGAATCCTTGCCTGTTGGTAAGGAAGCCGGTGACGAGATCTTCTCTGGTTCTACTGTCAAGCAAGGTGAGGCCGAAGCCATCATCATTGGTACCGGTTTGAACACCTTCTTTGGTCGTGCTGCCAAGCTGGTCGGCGATGCTGGCGACGATGTTGGCCATTTGCAGACTATTTTGGCTAAAATTGGTAACTTCTGCTTGGTCTCCATCGGTATCTTTGTCGTTGTCGAAATCCTCGTCATGTATGCTGCCTTCCGCTACAACTACCGTCGTGGTATCGACAATCTTTTGGTTTTGCTCATTGGTGGTATCCCCATTGCCATGTAAGTTTTCCTTATTTATATTTCTCTGGCAATCCACCAGGAATAATCATCAAACAATCGAACATTCAATCATATCTTTTTTACTTACATTGCATCCTCTAACCTTTTATAGGCCTACTGTCTTGTCTGTCACCCTTGCTATTGGTGCCAAGCAACTTGCTGAGCACAAGGCCATCGTCACCCGTATCACTGCTATTGAAGAAATGGCTGCCGTCACTATTCTCTGCTCTGACAAAACTGGTACTCTTACCTTGAACAAGCTCATTGTTGACAAGCCCACCATCAAGACATATGCCGAATTCAACGGTGACGATGTCATCCAGCTGTCTGCCTTTGCTTGCCGTACCGAGAACCAGGATGCCATCGATTTCTGTATCGTCAACTCCTTGCCCGATCCCAAGTTGGCTCGTGACGGTATTGAAGAACTTGAATTCAAGCCCTTCAACCCCGTTGTCAAGCGTACCGAAATCACCTACCGTCGCATCGAAGATGGTGCCGTCTTGCGCGTCACCAAGGGTATGTCCCACACCATCTTGGATCTCTGCTCCCGTGACAAGACTGAAGCCCAGATCCAAGCCTTGAACGATGATGTCGATGAGTTTGCCCGCCGTGGTCTCCGTGCCTTGGCCGTTGCTGTTGACGAAGTTCCCTCTGGCGAAGTCGAGGGCGAAGGCAAGGGCATGCGCCTCATCGGTCTTTTGCCCATCTACGATCCCCCACGTTCAGACACTAAGGAAACCATTGATCGTTCCATTGCTCTTGGTGTGCAAGTCAAGATGATTACTGGTGATCAGCTCGCTATTGGCAAAGAAACCGGCCGTCGTCTTGGTATGGGCGATAACATGTTCTTGTCTAAGACCTTGAAGGATGGTCCTCCCGCTGGTTCTGGCTACACCAGCATCGACGACATGGTCTTGCAGGCCGATGGTTTCGCCGGTGTCTACCCCGAACACAAGTATGAAATTGTCGAACGTCTCCAAGCCTTGGGTCACATGACCGCCATGACTGGTGATGGTGTCAACGATGCTCCCGCTCTTTCCAAGGCCAACGTTGGTATCGCTGTCGCTGATGCCTCTGATGCTGCTCGTTCTGCTGCCGATATCGTCTTGGTTGAACCCGGTCTTTCCGTCATTGTCGAGGCCATTATCGGCTCCCGCCAGATTTTCCAACGTATGCGCAATTATGCCATCTACGCTTGTTCCATCACTATTCGTGTTGTCGTCGGTTTCGCCATTCTCTGCTTTGCCTTTGAGCATGATTTCCCTCCTTTCCCTGTCCTTATCATTGCCGTCTTGAACGATGGTACCATCATGACCATCTCTACTGATCGTGTCAAGCCCTCGCCTTACCCTGACCAGTGGAACTTGCGTGAAATTTTCTCGTATGCCATCTTCTACGGTCTGTACCAAGCCGCCTCCACCTTGGGTTTCGCTGCCGTCATGTTCCAAACCACCTTCTTCCAAGACAAGTTTGGCGTCGAGCTGCCGCGCGCTGACACCTCTGGCTCTGGCGACGACTGGGTCAACGACCATATCTACCACTCCATCATCTATTTGCAAGTCTCGACCATCTCTCAAGCTTTGATTTTCATCACGCGTTCCCGCAGCTGGTTCTTCATGGAACGTCCCTCGATTTATTTGATGTGCGCCTTCGTTGTTGCCCAGCTTGTCGCCACCTTCATTGCCGTCTATGCCGACTGGGGCTTCACCTACATGCGTGGCTGTGGTTGGGACTGGGCTGGTATCGTCTGGATCTGGAACATCATTTGGTTCTTGCCCATGGACTTGCTCAAGTTTGCTTTGCAGTACGTCTTCACTCCCAAGAACACCCTTGCCGAATCAAAGGTCCCCATGGCCGGTGGTCAGTCTCGCCGTGCCTCGGCCATGTCCGGCGCCTCTTCTGCTCGCTACTACGCTAACCGCACCAAGTCGTTGCGTTCCATGGAACAGCCCCGCAACTTTGGCAAGCGTCTCTTTGGCAAGAAGTTGAGCATGGACAAGAAGGAAATGCGCCGTTTCTCATCTGCTCAGGCTAACCAGTCTGCTCAGATCTTGGGTGGTGCTTCAAGCAGCAACAAGGCATAAAAAAGACACACATACACTTATATACACTCCATACGCACTCTCTCACACTCTCACTGCACTACACTTTTTACATATATATCCTCTACAGCTCTCTCTCTCACAAATCTCTCTATCCTCCTCTTTTTCATTGTACAACCAAAATCACCTTATTACAGAGGGTGTTTTATTTTGTATTGAGCGTTTTTTCTTATGTTAATTGTTATTTCTAGTTGTTGTTTACTCCTCTTAAAATAAAGTTAAAGACATAAACTATTTATGTTCTCTCCTAATTTATATATTCTTTAGTTTAGTAACTCTTTTTCTTTGTCTTTCTCGGTCTGTTGAACTGTTTGAAGAACCGTTTGAAGAAAAACAAAGCTTCGAGTTCCCACGCCAAGTTAGTACCTTGAATGTTTAGTCCGATTTAGATGATTTTAGACATATCACATAACAGCGACGGAAAAAGTTTTTCTGTGTTATCTTGACCCGAGCTGCAGGGTGCTAAGTTTCTCTTCTGGCTTTAAAGTGGGTGATGTGGAGATCAATACAGCGAAGTAGCGTCCTCAGCTCCTACTCGACTCTCTTGTATATAGCTTTCTTGTGAAAAACTGTAAGAGCAAATAATCAAAAAGAGGACGGCGCTTAGTTAGCTACGCAGAAATGTCTGTTTACCATGTAATGAAACGCATTAAAAGTTTCGAGTCTCGCGAGTCACGCGGAAAATCCTATGGTCTTTTTTTTAACGATTGCAACAGCATCAAGTGGGTTGGAGTACCCATACATTCCAGTCATTTCAGCACAACCCGTTCGTTTTAAGAATATAAAAGATAGAGCATTTAATACGCTGTAAAGTACTTTTGATTGTTACGCGCTCTTTTTTTTCAACGAATTCTTTGGGTAATCCTTATATTTCTCTGATTCGGTGGTCCAGCCAAGGTTCGGTCTGTTTCGGATATCAACGTTATACAGTGATTCCCCCGCTTTTTGCAGTAGCGGGTTTTTTTGAGGAGGAAGTTGAAAAAGAAGTCCGGAGACGGGAGAAGATCATCGTTGTCTTTTGAAAAACGTTGTTTTTAATGTACGGAGTAGATCATTTACTTGTGCTTTTCTTTTTCTGTTTCCAAGACAACCATAAGGTCATTATGTATTTGTTGTCACGGTGACCCTCTTCACTATACAAGCATTGTCATGACAATTTTTTGTTGTTATGGCAACACGTATGAAAATACGAATATCCAATTTTTTGTTGTTATGGCAACACGTATGAAAATACGAATATCCATGATAATTACACATACACTCTATCCACATAGCAACCATCCTTTCACTTACTTTCTTTCCAGAAGTAACTAACTAAAATAGCCAGATTGCAAATAAACATCTGATATGAATTCTAGAGTGAAAGAGGTCGATTTTATTTTCATTTTAGCCGACTGTAAAAAGCGGATTACATGTGTGCCGCATAATTTCTTTCTGTTTCTAAAAAAGAAGATCCATGTATTTGAGGCTTCTTAGATGTTTTTCTTACTAGTCAACTTTTTGTTTTTATTCTCAATGATATTAATGTTTATAAAAGTTTGTTGTTTATAGTTGGCTGACATAAGCAATCTGTTGATTCACGTAATACATATAAAAAAGGGTTTTCCAAGAAATAGGCTAAGAAAAAGCTATACAAATTAATTTCTCTTTATCATCAATTTTTTTTTGCTGAAACAAGGTGAGGGTATTGTTTTAAAAAGAAGAATACAAATAACGATTAATGAAAAGAAAGAAGGAAAAGGGTGTGAGCGTATCAAACGAAGTGACATGGGACATATATAGGAAGGGCGTTTGTGCGAGAGAAAGAGGGATCGACAGTTGATAAGAGAGAGAAAGAGAAAGAGAGAGAAAGGTGGTGTATGTATTATGTAAAATGTCCAAAACTCCCATAAATCTTTTTTGCTGCCCGATCGACGGGCAATGGGAGACTTTAAGGAGGTATGTATTGTGGCTTTTTGTAGATGGTTAGTGGTAGTAGCATTCGAGCAAAAAAAGATGTTTCATATATATAAGCGAAAGAAAGAAAAAGAGAAAAAAAGGAAAAGAAAAGATGTGTGTGGAGTAAAATGATGAGAGAGCGGATGTGTCAAAAGGGCATGCGGATATGCTGTGTGGAATGGTACGGATATATGTATGGTTGTTGTTATTGTTGGTTATTGTTTATATAGTGGATAGTGCGGTACGGTATTTGAATAAATTAGAAATGCTGGAATTGTAATGGTGGTGACTTTGTCACCGCAGTCGAACTAGCATCGAGCGTGGGTGACGATGGTGTCGACAGCGACAATGAAGACGAAGACGACGATGAACCTACTGAAGGCGACGTTTGTTGTATAAGAAGATCTGTAGTTGCCGGTGTAGACGAAAACTGTTGTTCTTGTTGATGTTGACCGCCATACAACATTGCTCGCAGCGCACTGCACCGTCTTTCCAAAACAACCAGAAAGTTCTGCATCTGTTCAGGTGTTAGCCGTGCCAACAAGTTTCTGAACCGCGAATCGTCGAATTGTTCTGGTGGCCATGAAGAAGCATTCTGCTTGTCATCCAATGGAATGGTCATTGTAGTCGGTAGTGGTGGTGTAGGTAGTGAACTTGGTGGATCCAATCTTGCCATCTTGTTGCTACTTTCTGCTGCTGTACCAGATGATGGTCCTTCTTCTTCATTGCAGCCTTCTTCCCCAGACCAGCCTCGGCGCCGCTTTTGTACTTTTTGTTTGTGCATCGTAGGTGGTCGATCCCGATGATGTAACTTGGCATACAAACCTATAAGAAATGGCATCATGTTAGTTCTGCCTCTGTAAAAACTTTTTCATCGTTCCGTGATATGGAGCCGGTTGTTGATCATTATAAAAAAAATTTTCGGCTCGGGATTGAGGGAAAAGGGGAGATAAAGCTGGAAAAGAAGTGCAGTAAAAGGGTGAAGGGGTATAAGCAGCTGCTTTAGCTTCCTTGGGGGAGAGTGGATGGTGATGGTCGTGATGGTTTGGAAGGGTGCTGGGGGGCCGAGGGGAGGGAAATGAAAAAAAGACTCTTATTGTAAAATTATTTATACTGTAAAGTTAACATACCACAAGCGTTGCACACAGACTCGCCACGTTCGTTCTTACGCCAGAGTGGTGTGTTCGTTTGCAAGCAATTGGCACACCGTTGTTGCTCATCCATGGTGAAGAGCTGACCGAGTAATGATGAATCGCCACTAACAGCAGCCAAAGACGATTCAGTGTTGTTGATAGGCGATGGCGAGGTGGTGATCGGTGTGGCCAATGCTGCTGCCACTGTCGTATGGGTGTTATTAGCGGTGCTAGTGGTAGTAACAGCAGCAACAGTCGTTGTAAGGTCAGGACCAGGAGTGGAGGCATTAGCAGTCGAAGCAGCATGGGCCAAAATCTTCTTGTTGTTGTTCAAGACTGGAGAAGACGCGGTGCTTGTGTTGTTGTTGTTGTTGCTACGACGTTGCTGCTTTTCACATGATGCTGGCTGTTGTTCTTGGTCCTTGCTGCTGTTGCTATTGTTATTGTTGACTTTGGGTTGCTGATCATGCTGTTGTTGCTGCTGCTTCTGACGGATATGCAAAGGACGATGCGATCCATACTGCTTGAAATAAAGACCACATGCATTGCAGAGGGAATGGGCACGGTCAGGAGTACGTCTCCAAAGCGGTGTCTTGGTGACATGACAATTGTAACACTCAAGTTGCCGAGGAGGACGTGTCGCCTTAGGCTTCTCCGTAGTACCGATAGCCGCTGGACTCGGTTCGGGTGGTGCGACGACAGATGATGTTGGATGATGGTGATGAAGATGATGAAGGTGATGAGGATGATGATGATGGTTATGATAATGATGAGTACGTTGATGTTGTTGTGCTGTAGTCGTAGGTGGTAAAGGACCAAGATCAGGAGCGACGACACCAGAATGATGTTGAGGCGGCGGCGGCATACTCAACGCAGCGGCAGCAGCAGCCATGGCAGCCGCATTTTCCTCGAAAGGTACATGAAAGGGATCATCTTGATGGTGGAGGTGTTGATCGATCGGCGACGACAATGAAGATGACGGCGATAGATCGTTGCTGTTGCTACTCCAGGCAGGTTGATACAATGCTGAAATGGATTGCAGAACAGCCATGGGCAAGTTTTGAAAGTTGTTAGGATCAAACAATAAATTATGAGGGCTGTCGAATGAAGCGCTCGAGGATGTAGGTGAGGGGAAGCTGTTGTTGAATGACTGATGCTGTAATTGCTGGCCCGTGATGGACGTGTCGTTTGTCGACGACGGTGATGGCAATGCATGGTGATGTAACACACTGAGGCGGTCGTTCGAAGTGTCTACCAGAAGGTAGTCTGTCGCTGTTGTTTGAGTCATCAAGCAATACTTTAGAAAAGAGTAGGGGGGAAGGTGTGCAAAAAAAAAGAGTAGGTGCGTGCAGTTGTCGTTTAGTGGTAAAGAAAAGGCTTAACAGTGTCTAAAATAAAAGGAAGAAGCAAAAGAAAGAGGCACTTCTGTGCTCCAGGCAACTCTTATATATACGCGCGAAAAAAAAAAATAGCAATCCAGCCCCAGCATGTATAAGATGTGTGTGCCCTGTGGGTGGGCTCCTTCGTAAATTTAGTAAATAGGCGAGTGTCGCTAATCCCAAACGAAGGTAAGGACCCCCACCCCTCGTTTCTAGTTATTTCAAAACCACCATCCATCCTTCCTTCCTTCCTTCCCACCCCCAAATGCTGCATCTTCTCTTCTCTTGTTCTCTTTAATGTGTGTGCGTGTGTAAGATGTGTTTATATCTAGTAGTATGCATGTTTCTTTCTTTCTTTGATTCTCCTCCTACCCCCCGTCTCTTCCCCACCCCCACCTCCTCCGTACTCTATGTCAATTGGCGAAGGGGATCTAAGCTGGTACCATTTCTGGCTGCCGCTACTGCTGCTGTTGTATAAAAAAATATAAAATAGCTTGTGCAACAACAAAAAGGGCAATTCAACCAAACCCTTTTTCACTTTCGGTTTAAACACTTACACACAATGCCCTTCTCCCTCCACCCCCTCCTCCTTTTAGAGGTCTATACGCCCCCCAAATCCTCCTAAACAATTGTATGTTCTCTTTCTCTCTCTCTGCCTCGATGAGTTTTCTCTATCATGTACATAAGCTGTATAGTATCTCCTGCTCTCTTTTTAAAAGGGAGGAATGCGGTTGGAGAGGGTTTTACCGAGGAAATAAGGTGTATCTCGATTTCGCGCGATCCAGTCAAGAGCATTTGTTCACGATGCCCATTATGCTATTGTTACTGCCATTACTAGTAGATTGTATATATACGGTGATTTATTAAAAAACATGGTTTTTCTAAAATAAAAACTATTATGTGTCGTCGTCTTGTTGGCGTCAAGTACTATTATACTGCTCTAATGCGGGAATCGAATTGATAAAGTATATTCGCATTTGTCCAATCCACGCGACACAACGCAGCTTTTTTTTTCTATTCTCCTTGGTTCGCTGTTGAAAATGTGCGTAGTGTACCATGTAGTGCAACGGTTGCAGTTTTGCTTATTGTTGCACGGGTCAGCCTGGTTACCAAGAACGCGAGATAAAGTGCGCCCTTTAGTGATATAGTTTCTTATCGAGCCAATAAGATGCATGAACCGCATCGTCGGTGTTTTTTTTACGTTTATCTATATCCGATCCTTTTATCCAGTCATCTTATTGGTGAAAGATTAGAAAGAGAGTGTACTGTGTGCGCACACAGAGAAAGAAACAGGTGTTATATCGTGACTAGGTCAAGCGCACAAAATAGGCAGAATTATAAAGGGGAGAGGCGCGCGCCGTGCGGCCCATATGATAAAGGGGATTGAATCACAAAAAAAATCATGAGTGGCTGGTTAAACAAAAGGGCAAGATAGTGCTTTAACAATATAAAAAAAGTTTTAAAATAAAAGTGCTACACCACACCCGTGTTGTACTGTGTGCACATAGTAGCAATTAGTATTATGTTCCTTTGCCGACCGACCGACCAACCAAGTACGAACTCATTTCCCCCCCAAAAAAGTTTAATTACCTCCTGACGACCGAGTGTTTAGAAACAGTATAACAGTATAGAGTGTGGAAAAAAAAGTGTGTGTTCTCTACATGTATGTCCTCGAGAACAAGACCTACTAAAGAAGCAATGAGCGACAGACGACGCCCATTATGCTCCTATTTTCTTCTTCTCTGTATAGTTCTTTCAATTGTATCGTATCTCAACAAACTTTCTTTGCATATATTATTTACTTATATGTTACCCTGCTGTCGCTATAGCGATGAGGTGCTGGTAGCCATGGGGAAAAGTAACCATGGAGGTGAGGTAACCTTGGAGACAGAGAATGCATAATAATAATTGAATGTCGTCAGCTATTGCGCAATGAAGCCGCGTTAACAAATTGGGAATACAAATATTCTATTGGTGAAAAATTCTGTCACGGATGATCACCTCCCCCACTATCCCACCCCAGACCTGATACTGCGGATCATGTTCACCCCCTACATGCAGTGGCCGTGTCAAGCTACACTACATAAATAGATTACTACTTGGTTATTGTAAATCGGGTCTTTCGGCTCACATAATTACTTTACAATAGACAACCCGGTTCCTTTTTCTCTTACTATGTACCTATGCCGAGAATGTGTATTGCCCCACTCTCTCTCTCTCTCTCCTGCTCCTAACGTAGATATACCTCACTTTAAGCTATACACCCGCGTTCTTTTCAAATGCACATCCTCCACATCCCATCTTTTCATTGTTGAAACTCATGCTTGTTTGTTACATATTAGTGCCCTTATGAGCTATGTGGGGTCGTCTATATTTGGGGGGCGGGGCTTTTTAAAGATAAGAAGGCTAAAACAGAATACATAGACGAGAACACGAAGAGCGTTAGTATAACAGCGAGACCAGCAACCAACTTATCTTCTCTTGTCACCTGCATGCGGATAAATCTAGCTGCTGCTTATACAGTTTACTTCTTGCTATTGCTGTTGCATTGATTGGCAGCCGCGCGCATCACACGTTAATACACACACGCAAAAGTTGATGGGTGTACAGTATGCCAATGATCCTTGATAATTTTTTTGCTCAGCACATTGCTAATCACAGTTTTGATAACGCAAGTAGGGATAATGAATGCACGCGTAGGTCAGAGATAATCAAATCGACATTTTTTCTTCATAGAAACACTGCATAATATCATTCGTGCTATGTTTTCTTTCTCATATTTGCGCGTAAATATGTAGTTAAACTGTTCTCGAAGAACTTGCGCCCCCCAAAAATTGGAATGATTAGTGTGAAGTAGACATGAAACGATATTAAGGAACTATGCATGTAATAATTTTCCCAGGATCGCACTCTAGAGTGTGCCTCTATCTTTTTCTTCTTGTCCTTGAATATTATACTATTGTTTGTTGTATAAAATATTATATGGAACGAACACAATTTTTTTGGGGGGTTAATGGTGGTAATGTATTAGTATATGGGAAAGAGGGGGTTGGTTTGTTGGAAATGTACATACAGGCGAGGCACTTTTTATTGGTTCCAGATCGCCAACCTGCATTCGAAGGTTCTCTTTCTTAATACATACAAAACTTTAGGTTGCAGACGCTATAGCCATCTATGGCAGTACATGCTTTACTATATCATAGCACCTTGCTTGCCATTATTATGCTATATAGCTCGTCTCCCCTCCTCTTTTCAAGGTAACCCCGCCATCAACCCTCCCTCGATATCGTGTTCGTTCTTGGCAACTTCTAGTGATTAAAAAGAAAAGAGGACAAGAGTGAAGAGATCGCCGTGTTATTGTACAACAACGCTCAAAATCTCCAAAACAACTATTACAATTTTTACGCAATATGTACGACCTACCGCGCACTGATTTCTTTCTTTGGTCGATCTCCCTCCAATCCCAACCAGGTATAGCAGAGCCTATATATCATACATGAATTTACATTCACACACGCACTTCCTTGTGGGCGCGTGTTTTGCCGAGGTGCGTGAGCAGCCTATGTATATACATGGTATAACAAACCTCTCTCCAGAAATCGTATAGTTGTTGTAAAACCATTCTTGAAGGAAGGGATCAAACAATCATTAGAGCTTCATGATAATGCCTTTTCTATTTAGTATACAACTTACATTTCTTGTGGTCAGTGCCACCACATCTAGTGCTAATTTCTTTTAACTAGAAATCCTTTCTGATAGCATATTCTGTTTTCAAATTTTGCTGCTGCTGTGCTACAACCATTATTTATTTAGATATTGTACATATGCATTCCGGGAATGAGAGTCACTTGTGTATCCTACGTTGCCAAAAAGCCTGCATCTAGTAACATACATTATCATCTGCTATACTTCTTTGGATGTTCCTTTCTCTCCCCCCAGGTACCCCTAGACTGAATCTGGTAACCATCAGCTGACCTGATCTATCATCGACGGGCGGCCAAGCACTGGAACGCAAAGGTTAACAGGTGTGCGAGTGTGCACATCACCACGCATAAAAAATTAGCAGAGATCTCGACCCCGAGGGTTGGGGGGGGGGAAGGGACACGAGTATGCACGCATTTTGCCTCATAGTACATAGCAGTCTTTGTATTTACTTTAAAGCTACTACAAAAACATATGTTAAAGTGATATGCACCACGAAAATAAGGCAAATGACAATGGCTACACAAAGCAAAGAAGAAGAAAATAAGGTTTTGCCATGTGGAGACGTGCGGTAAAAAAAGTGCGTAGCAGGTAACAAACTTTCTCTCTTTTTTATTATTATTGTTATTACTTGATTTATCTATGAGCTCTGACCAAATGTGTATGTGTCCCATGGGAACGGGACAAATGTGGGGATGCCACCGTGTTCGCCCGGGCCTTCCGTCTCTGGGATATAGTATTCAAGGAACGTGACATCCAAGAATCGGCCAAACTTGTATCCACAATTATGAAAGGTGCCCGCATCACCAAAACCAAGCGACTTGAACAGACCAATCGAAGGTGTGTTCTCAGAGGTGATACCCGCTATTGAAACGATTTAAACAAAAAATATGTGCGATTAATGGATGAACAATTGATATACAGCCACCTAAGAAAGAGGAAGCGGAGAAGGGAGAACGAGATGATAGGTCGTTTCGCTCTCGCTCCCTCTGTATTCATTTGCCTTCCGATCTTGTACTGCTATCGTTCAACCACAGAAATAATATATCATCACGCATACCAATAATTGTTTTAAACTTCAAATCTCGTGCAATTCGGAGCATCTCAAGAGATAATAAGCGACCTAAACCCTGGCGATGATGATCCAAATGGATATACACGGTGATTTCTGCTGATCTACATGACGCGTTTGGATATCGCTAGTAAGGAAACCACCGCCAAGCATCCGCTAAAAACACAAACCCCCACCACAGCATCATCCCGATACTATGATGTGCAGCACAACCATGAATGACCCCATCCTCGTCATCAAATAATGATACTCACAAGTTGTATGCAGGCTTGGATCGGAAAGTACCCAAATAAGCATAGGCAATAGTTTGACCCGTGGTCTTTTCGACTGCTACAATAGCGGGGTAGCCCAGTTCCCGCGAGTTCGCTAGCCATTTCTTCATATATTCGATTGTCACAGGTTCATAAATAAACAAGCCCGTAGAGTTGGCAATACGTTCGTTGTAGATCTCAGTGATAGCAGGCAAATCTTCTTCTGTGGCTTTGCGAATGTTGTAGCGTTCCAAAGGGTTTGACATTGTGTGTTGATTCACAGCAGTACTTTAAAAGCAGGTAGTAGGTATTGGAGTAAAGAAAGGAAAAGGTGGAAGAAGGGAAGCTTAGGTAAGGAACAAGGGTTATTATATCGGTGGTGCCTGCGGATTTTTTATTTGCCTCTTGTTTGGTTCCCGCTAAAGAGAGACACGTCTTCATGGCCGAGCCTCGGCGTCAGTATGACCATTGCGAAGGAACGAAAATCGAGCTTCAGAATGACTTCAATAGCAACAATAGTGATGCCATTAATAAGCAGACGCAATCAGGGTTGATAAGCCTTGCTAGCGGCAAACAATCCATTTCAGGCAATGGTGCTGGTCCAATGGCCGAGTTACCCAATGTCCATTGTCACAAAGTCATTGGATCAGCACCACCTAAGAAAGCGACGACTGACCAAGAACAAAATCAAGACCAGCAATCGATAAAATCAACCAGCGAAAAAGATACTCAACCGACCTTTGAACTTGCAGAAGGCGAACGACCGGTCCCAGAAGATCATTATGCGCTTGCAGAACTGCCAGATCTGCAGCGGCCCGTGGTTGAAGTCGATCAAGATCAAGGGAAAACGAAAAAAGTCGTAAGACTTAAAGAGAACAAGATTGTTATTGCGTTTATTATTATTCCTATGGCCATTCTTGGTACACTGATCCGTATTGGACTGCAGCGGCTGCAGACGTATGATGGGCAACCCGTATTTGGTCTCGTGTATGCGCAGTGGATCGGGTGTTTCGTTATGGGCATTGCTGTCCAGCAAAAGGATCTTTTGATGCAATGGTAATTCGTGAGGAGGCATACACTATGTTATTCTGTAAAGAGTTGCTCTCATACATCTGCTTATATTCAACAAGGTATCTTCCTCTCCAAGTGGGCTTGTCGACAGGTCTTTGTGGATCAATCACGACCTTTTCATCCTGGCAACTCGATATATTTAAAGCGTTTTCTAACTATGATGCAGCAAACCATTATACTGGATATAACATTCTTGCAGCCATTTCGCAATTGCTTGTGACCTTGGCCATGTCTTTAAATGGTCTTGTGTTTGGCTATCACGTCGGACAATTTTTATCGCGTGTACCCATTCAACATCAAGCGCTATCTGAGATCATTTCTAATGGATTCAGTGTCCATCACTTGGATCGTCATGATGCGATAGTAATCGTTGTGGGTACTGCAAGTTGGATTGGGGTCATTATCGCAGCAGCCTTGACGACGCACAATAACCAGCGTGAACTGGCCATGGCTTGTGTGTTTGCCCCTGTGGGTGCACTGCTTCGCTGGCATCTGTCCGTATTGAACGCCAAATTTCTAAAAGGCAGGTTTTTTTTTGGAACGTTTGCTGCAAACTTGATTGGCACGCTTGCCTTGGCTATCTTGACCCTTCTCGAGTCAGGTGTTGTCATGTCGACCGTCGCGTGTGATGTTATCCGGGGACTCGCGGATGGTTTTTGTGGTTGCCTGACGACAATATCGACTTTTGTGGTAAGAGAAGAATTTCATGATCGTCTTCACAGAAGAGTTCAACCTTGCTGATGGTTCAAATGATAATAGGTCGAGCTGAGCAACCTTCCTTTGAAGTATACTTATATCTACGGCATGACGTCGATCATTCTAAGCCAATGCTTTATGTTCCTGGTTTGTGGAACCTTCATCTGGACCCAAGGAGTCAATCCAACATGCTGAAGAAATTACAGTCCTTACCCTTTCTTACTCCATTATAATTACAGTACATCATATCTGCTATACCTTTACTACTTTATATCATAATTGATTTGCTAAAGAAGCTGCTCTGGCACACCTCTCATAATTCATCTTCTTTCTTGTGTAATTTCATTCGTACAAGTTACAGAAGCTTAATTCTAACTATCTTTCAAATAAAAACAGCAAAAGAAACGAACACACAAATTATGCATATATACACAAGGTTTATCCAAACATGTGAGCATTTCATTTGCTTTTAAAAGCGTCTTTAGATGTGCAGTGTATGATCCACATAGAAGCGTAGGTACTGATTACTACTACTGACGGAATTGTTTAAAGAAACGCACAGTGTTACCCATAGCCATTCCGAATTTTTCACAATGATCAATACGGTTCCCGATCCAGCCTGGCAATTTGTTTCGGATCCGCGCATGCGAATATCGTTGGTCCAGTAAAATGATGGTGGCATAATCGTTTTTATGTCGAATAGCTCGACCTAGACAGATGTTTAAGTGTCAATTCGCTTTCTATTCGAGCGTATACTGTTCATCAAAAAGGTTGTAAAGAGAAGCGATAAGAACGAATCGCTTACCTATAGACTGATTCACGCCTCGCATACACATATTTTCATAATATTCGTTACCAGCATCAGATTGACTCGGGTTCATATCGCCAGCATATTTGATTTTTTCTTGTAGCTCCACCGAGCCCTTGTTGGCAAACGGCAACCCCACCATGATCACACCCCTAATATTGGTGTATAAATGGGTCCAGTCCGTTAACTTTTCATCAACAAGTACTTTCACACATACAACAATTTTTGCGCTATGAATGTACCTTCCGAGCTGGTCCGAAAAATTGATACCTTCGGACATCTTTCCATTCACAACACATAACAGCAATGCACCGCCAGACTACATATTTACATATTGGTAATCAGAGCCTCATGTACTACCTTCATCTGACCATTGATTAAATGGAATGTAGGGGAGAGGAGAGGAAGGAGAGAAAGCAGGTTTTACCTGGTCTATATGCATAGCATAGTCACGCAATGTCGTCTCCACCTTGTTGCTTTCACGAGGTTCCTTGAGGATTTTCTTCTTTTTGGATAGCCGGGCCAGTACATTATTATTGGAGTTGCCACTTGCCCATCGCTTGTATACTTGTTCAAGATAAGTAAAGCTGGAAAAAAAACAAACGACACCATCCGGTATGACATTGCATAGATTAACAATCGCTTGACCGACTTCATCCATCTATCAGAGAAATTTTGTTAAGGATTGCCCGAGTAAGTACCAACTAACTATACTTGATTTAATGTGTTATCTATTGTTGTTGTTGTTGCTTAAGCATAATATATTACTTACGAGTTTCTCATCCTGTCTACTGTCATAGCGAAATAGAAACGGTTTTCCCGTAGGCCCTGCATCGATGCTCATTACAGCCATATTGCTTGGGGGTATAATATGGCCGCATGAAAGTCGATTGATCTGCGCGGAAGGGACGTCATGTAACAAAATGTTCGTGAAATCTGAAATCTAATAACCGTGACGATAATTTATGAGCGAGAGAGTTCTATATTCATAATTGCTTTGATTTTCGTTTCTTACCGGTTCCATAGTACCACCGGCTAAAATGATACTTTTGGCATCTTCAACAATAGGTCGAAAAACTTCGGCTGGATTCAATAGCATATACTTGACTTCTGAGCTTTCTGTTGAGTAATTGACCACAATACGACCATCTTTGTCAGGATTCGTCAATGCTAATAAAAATGCTTCGATCTGTGTCAACGTCGGCATTGCTGTGTTGCTGCTGTTTGATAACTGCTGTTGTTGATCAGAAGTTTCGTTTGCTTGTTGCTGCTGCTGTTGTTTTTGGAGTTCCTTGTCGATAAATCCATTCAACTTTCGAGCTAAATTGCTTGCTTTAAGATATTTTTCAATCTTAAACATGTTGATATGATCAATGCCAAGCATATGCACAAATTCATTGACACGGATCACAGTATCTTTTTTCTTGTTGTTTCTATCATCCGCTGTCGTTGCTGGTTCCAATAATTTGAGCAATGCTTTGACAATATGGACAGTTTGGCGGATATAAGCAATATTTTTGCCAAGTAGCCGATTCTTATACCGCTGTAGATACGTTTTTAATTGTGAGAATGCCATGCGAGCTTGATGATATGATACTGTAACCGTATGAATCGCCGTCACCGTTTCAATTAGGTTATGTGCTTCATCGATGATGACGACACTGTTTTTCAAAGATATGCCGAGCGATTCGCGTGTGCTTGCGTGTAGCAAATGTTGATACGGAAGAACAATGAGCTGATGATGCCAAATGAAAAAGAAGATGATTAGATAATGTATTCTCATGGTCAATCCATGTTTTTTCCTTTAGCTACCACCAGATGGATTTGCAAAATACGTACTTGTGCGGGCCGTAATGTATGTCGTGATCCATAATAGGGGCATATTCCCATCTGCTCTCCTACTTGAACTAAATCCTCGATGTCTCGCACTTTAGCCTATATTACATAATGCAAAGCAATTCCAATCCGATTAAAAACAAGTTCTTAAAAAAATCACATGATCCTTCTAGATAATTACCAATGCATGATCGCGGAATGCATTCCATTGCATCCTTTCCGTTTTTGCCGGTAAATAAGAACATCGAGCTGCTGTGCTTGCTATCGTATCAATCATCTACTATTAGTATACTTCTTTTATCCTAAAGATCGCATACAAGCAAGTTATAGCAATTGTTAAGCAATACTAACTCTTTTTCTGCAGATCTAAGCACGCTTCATTCATTCTTTGTACGCTTTTCAATTTCTTGATATCCTTGTGTATACAGGCATTTTTCCGTGATCCCAGGGGTACCGTCCATGTGTCTTCTTTGTATATTGTCTTATGGACCTCATGGATAAACTGGGAAAGTTGCGAATGCGTTCGTGACGTATAATAGATCTAGAATAGTGGTTATGCAGTCTTTAGTCAGGTGATTCCACTATTCAAGCTGTGCTGCTGCTGTTTCCCGTTTCATACTTTTCTCTATATAGCCAAGAGAGTACATATCGCATACCTTGAATTCTTCGAATTCGTCCTCTTCGTCCTCTTCTTGATCTGTCTGACGGCTTGAAGCTCCCTTTTGAGGTTCTAACCTAGTTAGTGCAGATCCACATATACATACCCTCTAATTAGTATATACTCTTTTTGAATTTCTATTTACCACCTTCTTTTTTTTTTCCCTCAGCTATATGTGAATATAACCATTACTTTGCTAATAACTCGCGCACTTCTTTTGAAAGATTGCTGTTACTATCCGCTGTCGCTGTTTTTTTCCCGCTTGCACCATCCTCTTCATCGTCACTTGTATATTCATCCAGTAGAAATTCATCATTGTCGTCTTCGTCGTTGCCTTTCTTTTTCTTATCCGAACCATTCGTCTTTTGACGCTTGTTCCAGCGAGGGTAGCCATCCCCGAAAACATAACCAGTTTTGGAATCCTCTTGTTGCCGAGCATATTGTATACGTTTCTTTAATTCTTTTCGACGTTCTTTTCGTAATGCTTCTCGTTGTTCTTCGGCTTTGTTTGTAACCTGAAAAGCCCTGAGCCAGTCAGGTTCTTGTTCGTCGTTGTCTTTTCCATGTGTGTCTATTTATTTTTTGCGTAAGTACACTTGGCTTAATTTTCTCTCTCCCTCTCTCTCTGTTCTGTCCCTTCTTTCGCTTTGTTAGTTATTTAAGCGACCCATACTTTGCTTATTATCCGTTTTGGGGTTTTCAGTGTCAGGATTGTCTTGATCTTTAAGCCATCGAAGCGATCCACAGATCAAGCTAAGCGATTTGCCCTGAAAGCCATTTTTTTTAGTTTTGATCGATCGATTAACTGATCAAGTAGATCGCGCGCGCAGCTCACTTCGTTTTTTTAAAAAGAACAGCAACACCTACAGTACCGGTGGGACTTTCAAAGATTCCAATCTTGCCCTGAGAGAGTGTAGTGTAAAGCGAATTCATAAAGTCATTTTGGATCGTATAAGGCTGGTACGGGAACCCATAATCACGATCGACCATTTTATGTGTGGTAAAAAAGAATGGAAAATTGATAGACAGCGGAGGAGGCAAACTTTCAGATAAATTTGACCTTCATGGTAGATCTAATATTTGTGGTGCTATCATGTGTTTGAATAATCAAACATGCTCAAAGAAGTGAAACGGATCAATTTTATTATTCGTATACATATGAATTGATATACAAAAATAAGCGCAACGTCTTTGGTACCAAGCGCTGACGAGAAGTAGCTAATGCAAAAGCCGAGAATCGATACTTGAATTTTCTAACATGAGGCCATCTTAACCGTGTACTTTCATAAGATTCCTGTTACAAAACTGCTTTTCTAACTAGATGTCATATACGTGCAGCCTGTCCAAACTACAGTTGCTTCCACACTCGGTATATCATGACGACGGATATTTAAGCAAAGCAAAACCTTAGAGAATGACGCATTCTAAGATGTAAAGAAAAGGCTCAATAATGATCAATGTTGCACCAAAGTAAATCTCTGCGAATGTTGAGGCAACAAGATCTTAGACGTCTAATAGAGAAGAACTCTGAAATATGCTTTTTTTATGATAATATAATATATGAAGGAAATGTACTTTGCCTGGAAGGGGAGAGAGAGAGAGGAATGTTGTGATGGAACGGATTTGAGGAATAAAACGTAGAGGGCGGGAACAGAGTAGGAAACAAATGTTCAAATGATTCTAGACGAGAGAAGCGTGCGAGTGGTGGGAAGAAGAAGAAGAGAGAAACGAAAAGGAAGCTCGATGGCTTGTGTATGTACATGAAAGAGAAAGGATTATGAATATAGAGAATACTAGAAAAAAACACATCTAAAACAGAAGCAGGATGAATAATTAAGGGAGGAAAGTGTTGTGCAATGTAGAGAAAATAAGAAAAGAGAATATGCTAAAGAAGCTTATGCATCGAACTCTCGTCGTTCAATCATTTCATCGACGATCGCATGTCGGAACTGCTTAATATAATTCTAAGCAAACAAACAAAGCAACCGCGTTAGCATCTACAAACAAACCCGAATACTAGGATCATTAGGTCTTACCGAGAATGTGGATGTTCGGGTGCCCACAAAACGCTCGGCCCAGGAACACAGGGTCGCATCCACAAACATGACAAGGTATTCGGTAAGATCCTTTTTGGGATCCAAAGGTGACCTCACGTTGGTCAATGGAATTCTCCAATCGCGAGGAAAGTCGTCCATGAAGAAGGTGCAGGGGAATGCATCGATTATAGGTTTCAACTCCTTATTCTGACGAGGAGTCTCTGCATCCGTGGCAACATACAGTACCATTTCATTCCGCTTCGCACACTCGCTGAGTCGTGTTGCCAGATCCATCTGTGACAATTCCTTACGCAGCTCATAAGGTGCCTTGGGTAGCGGGAACAGCTTGTGTCTTGGAACGGTTGGTTGTGTGGCATTAATCTTGTTGGTTGAGCCAATCAGGTCGTCCGTCGTCGTCTCGTTGCCTGTCATGATATCCCAGATCTGGTGGACAAATTCAGGCACTCGGTCTTTGAGCTTCTTGAGAAAGACACCATCGCCGGCGCGGACATGGGCGGCGACAAAGCGTGGCAATTCGTACTCCTCTTGTTCCTGATCTTCTTTTTCCTGCGCTTGGTAAGGGTCAAGTGGCACGAGCTCGCTTTCCTCCTTTTCGATTCCGTTTAATAGCTGCCCCAGTATCATGGCCGATGCTTCGCCAATGGCCGGATGCCGGAAAATAAGCGCTTGTTCGATCCGGAGCCGGTACTCGTCGCTTTCGTCCGAGTCGAGTTCTAATCGGTCGTAGCCAAAGATGCCATAAAAGTGCAGTAGCCGTTGCTGAATGCCATCCAATTCTCGAAGCGATATTTCGTATTGGTAGCGCAGGTTGCGTGGATCACCATCTTTCTCGTAGATATGCCATTGGTATCTCTAGTGGCGTTGTATATATGAACATGTGTACGTTAGTATCTTGCTTTTGTTACGATATTTAGAACTGTTTTCTTCCCTCTCCCTCCAAATGTTTCTGCGGCACCCACACACACGGAGCCCCTTAATTCTTTTTCTTTCACTGTCCCTTGAACCGATTGCTTAATTGACCAGTAGACAACCATATTCCAATATCGCTTGCATACGTGCACGCATACACGCACGCATACACGCACGCATATACATGCAATATGTATGGATTGGCCATTTGATCGGTTGGGTAAATCTGGAACCTCATTCTCCCCGATCCGCAACTCTTGATGTTGATAATAAATCAAAGTCCACCCCTTAACTTACCGTGTTGTCCTGCATCAGATACAACTCTTCTTCTGGTAGATCAAGTTCTTTCTGCAAGGCCACTAGCGACATATCCGACCGTTCCATGATATTGATGCCTAGACCGCCTTCATCTTCACTGCGCGTCAATCGATGCAAATCCGTTGCCCAGCTCCAAGGCAACATGGCATACGTAGTGAAATTATAGCATCCAAAAGCGACTTCTTCACCTTGCCAAACAGGTTCCTCAGGAATTACGTTGCCTTCAACATCGAAACAACGATCTTGGAATTGATCGTCGGTCATGTTGGCCAGTACACGATAGAGTCCCGGAGCAGGTGACCAGCCATTAGCACTTCCCAAGAACATGGGTGGCACAATCAAGGTTCGATTCAAATATTTCGCCAATAATGCAGCATTTAAAAGCGTGCTGCGTTGATTCGAGAATCGAGAGTAAGGTAAATACGTCAAATACTTTTCGTCGCTCGTAGGTACATGTTCAATAGCTTGTGGTTGAGGACTCTTGAGGAATCTCGGTGATCCATTTTTATCATCGTTGTCGCCGGTGTCATAGCCATTTGTACTGCCGTTGTTGTTCATAAATTCGTTGTAATTGTCTGTGGACCACTGCAGTAACCGGCTCGGAAGAGGTATGCCGTCATATTGATACCGTACAAGTTGAAGTGAAATCATCAACAGTGAGAACACTATCATGATGACTAGAACTGTTTTCTTTCGTGGATTTGTTTTTAGTAAAAACATGGCTCTTTGTGATTTTCGGCGGCATTCAACAGGACCAAAAGGGAAAATGAGTTATTTAATAGAGGAAGAAAGACGGAAAAGGGAGTGTGGAAGAAAAAAAGGAAGAAACAAGGTGGGTTAGGTGACACGACGAATTGACCGAAACCACTGCGTCCTAGGAAACCTGACTTTCAACATACGCACTTATTACGCTAAAGCGTACAACACAAAAAAGATAACTAATAAAGACATGGTTGACATCACTCACTTTTCCACTCTTTTCCATTATTGCCTCCTTTAGAAACCATCACAATGGGTCTACACAGTAGACTAGCCATAAAACTATAAGGAGAGGTAGGTAGAGGTACGCTAAGAAGGGAGAGTGGGGCGAGGGCGCAATAATAAGGAGCGGGGGTTGTTTGAAGGGCCTGATTAAGTGCTATGTTATTTCTATACGAATTGCAGCACTTATTTGTAACTTGTGCGGAGCCCTTTCCCTGTAGTAGTAGTCGAAGAGGAAATAAAATACTGAACGTTGAAGCGTGGTGACACAAAAAGGTGGCCACACAAAATGCGAATAGCGCATATTAAAAAAAGCTTGTACGCACGTAGCGAGCAAATACGTGTGTGTATCACAACTTTTTTCCTTCGCTTCCAATTCCGCATTGCCGGTTATATATTCCTTGTAGATACACAACTTTTTTCGCTTTACGCACAAACAGCAATAAATAGTCGTATGGAACATGCAGAATTGTTCTTTATAATGAGGCACACAACGAAATGTTCTGTATTTAGTTTATTGTAATGGTAATTAAGGAAAGAAGAAAAGAATTATACTAAACTCTTCCTTCCTCCTAGTTTGGCAATTTCTATTAATTGAGAAAGAGAAAAGAAAAAGGAGAATTATAACAAACACGGTGCGCGGGAGTCTTATAGTATGTATGCCTTCTCAGTACCTAGTAATACATCAATAGTAGTAGTAGTTCTTAGAGAGCTAGAATAAAAGAAATGCGCTGCAGAGAAACTACAAGATGAGATACATGAAGAAGTAGACAGTCTTTTTTACGGGTATAGTTATCGATACTAATATTGCACGTGTTTTGTTTACAAAATGAACTTTTCATTGTATGTTATACGAGTTTAACGTTTATCAACGTTGCTGAAGGCATCAGATCGATGTCATCTGGGTTAGAGCTACATCATTACGTACGCAGTGACAGTAGGTGGTAGTAGCAGTGGGGTAGATATAGTTTTTCTCTCTATACGCGTACTCGATATATCCTCTGCACAAAAAACTCTGATTCTACGAGTCATTCTTAAATGTCAGCTCTTAGGGATTTATACGAGCCAAATTGCTCTACAGCATATATCATGACTGGCATATCATCTGGCATCATCGCGTTGTTTGTTTCTATTACTCTTACTACGTAGCATTATGATTTGGAATGAGGGACTTGCAACAGGGGGCTTCTCAATAACAAAGCTTGACTCGGGTGTGTTAGTTGCAGGATCGGCTTTGTGCTGTATCATACAAAGTGGTAAGTGGCCTGATAATTGATGGGCGCGGATGGGGTCCCTTGATGTTCTTTTCTCTCTCTCTCTGTGTGTGTATGTGTCTGGCTGTCTGTAGTACAATGATTGGAGAAAAAGAGAGTTTGAATCGGTGCATTAATCATTTGCCCCTTCCCCCGCCAATCGCCGCTCGCTTGTTGCCGTCGCCGCTGCCATGATTGTTGATTCTAAGTGATTTGATTTACTATTTATCGTCAAGCAAATACACACGTGTCGCACTATCAATGCTAAAAAAAGCAATATGAAATATCGGGCTCTTCCGAATCACTGGGTTAACTTTTAAACACATCACACAAGGAGGGGAACAAATGTAAGCGTTTTTTCTCTAACATGAACTGATATAACCAATAGTAAACACGCGGTCAGATACTAATATGCACATATAATTTGCTAGACAACTTGTGTTATGGCAAAAGTACCATTTCCGTAATAAAGCGAAGCATATTTGAAATGCGATCATTTCTTCTTTGAAACATTGACGCTACTAATAATTGTAGTCTTGTAAGTTTATCAGGCCCCTTCTCTCTATCACCAAAAGGCTTTATGTTTGCAGCAGCGCATATTAAGCGGCACTCAATTCAAAGCATAAGCAGTTCTGCTAGTACAGAAGAAGCACTGATTTTATTGTTTCTCATTGGTAAAGTATCATAGCATACCAGTGGGTTTCACAAGCATCTGTCAAGAGTGAGCAGTGAATGACCGCCGCCTGACTGACTTTTCAAGAACACAGTGACTACCCAATGGTGATCCCATAACTCAACGTAATCAATTTGGTTGCAAAATCAAGTATCAAGGATTGAGTGGCATTAGCCATCAGTATACATACTAGCTCTATAGAAATTTTAAACGTTAGCTCTTTCATGCTTTTAGTATGTGATAAAACAGACATTCTCGTTAACCTAGAAGGAAAAACACGTCAAATACCTCATTGGAGCATTACCTACAAGAGATACAGTGTCTCGCTGACAAGAATAGACTTGAAAGAATTTTGGCGTCATCAGTGCTAGCTTGCCTGCCACATCCCCATTGTATATTCAAACCTAAGTAGTTCGTCAAACTATTATGACAGCTTACATATGTAGAAAACAACGTGGGTTGTCATTTTCTAGGTACTTGGTGAGCTTGCCTAGGGAGAAGCAGCAATAGCAGTCTTAGAGTAGAGGCGTACGTGCAGCAGTAAATTCAGCATCTCCGGAAGCAGTGTCTTTAAGAACATACTATCCCCAACCGATATCTCCAGCAGCGTCAATGGCCTCTGCCTGATCATCTAACGCCACTATAATGGATTCTATTGATCTATGTTATCCGAGGCAGTAAGACCAAAAGAATTGATCGAAAAGGATAGACAAAAAGTAGCAGACCGCGAAGATAAATGGCGCCTAAGCGCCGGAAAGACTCTAAATAAACAGATTCAGAAGCTAGTGACGCAACGTCAAGTCATGTATTTCTTTCGTGTGGAGGTGTGAGTAGGGGCTGATATATAGAGAGATTGGAATGTAAGGCTCTTAAGGAAACCGATGACGTGCCCATATTCTTTTCTTTTACTACTCTCAATGAATACAGTCATTTAGTCCTTTGCACTTTATGCTTCTTGATCCAGTCGATACAGTATGGCATGGATACTTATTAGATGATGCGGAGCTCGACGAAATCCAGTTATAAAGCAACCCAGCTTCCACCATGGTAGATTGAAAGAAATCGAAGATTCTTTCCACATCCAAAATCTGTGTTTGGGCCTCCCGTTTTACGTATCCGAAAGGCTACAAACGGCAATTTGTATCTATTGAATGCAAGGCAAGGTGAGGAAGAAGTGTTAAAAGCGTTGCATATAATGATATTTTTTAACGTCTTTCCAACCAGTGTTTTGAAACCCTAATAAATATATATATTGATTTGGCCCTATTTTTCCTCCTATTCTACGGTAAGTACAACCACAACGATAGAATCAACGACGACTTATAGTCTATTCGACTAATCTTGACGACGTCAATTATCACACTCAATGCGAACAACAGAGACTCAAAAATTTCTGGAACCATAAAGACGAAATTTGGATGTGACAAGTATGATATATTACAAGGTTTGCACCAAACCAAGAGACGAGGAAGGGATACTCCTATTATGGCGTATTTGACTCGATATCATCAAATGCTTCGATAGTTCTCCAACTGTTACAGCCACCAGTCTGTAAGTTCTCAATCCTTCAGTTTTTTTTGCTGTGATAACACGTTTTCTATACTAATCAATTTTTCTACTATTGATTTCCATATATAATGAATGTAAAAGCAGAAATGAAGCAACAAGACCGTCTTTAGCATCAAGACTATCTTATCGCGTGGACGATAACGATTATAATTGGCTCTTGATGCTCTGCTTTATATGTATTTCTGTGCAGAACGTTTGATCTGGGCGGCATTTCATTGACAGAACCAGTCAAGGAAAGAGTAGTGTCGAGGCAGGCATGTAGTGTCTCAAAATACACAAGAACATGTTGGTGGGTGATCGAACGTATCAATTCAGATCAACTTCGCAAGGTTGGAGCTTACGGTTTTGTTATTTTCGGTGAGAGGAAGAAGAAGGCGATAAGACATATATTTCTACTATACATTAGTGGTTACCGTAATGATACCTTGGCTGGCTGGCAAAAGCATACATTCGGCATTAGCGCTGTTATATTGGCCAGTATATACATTGGATTTGTATGCCCAGTTTGTCGCCTTGGATTCTCCTGTCGGATACATTGGTCGTATAACCAAATAACAGACTGGTGTGTATTCCAAGCAAACATGGAATTATGCGCATAGCAAATATTCCCCTTGCTGCGTGCACATGGCTTAAGCGGCGAGGGAGTTGGTCCAAGAAACAGCTAACATTGGCAGTAATGACAATGATCCTTCTTCACCACAACCATAAGCTTCTGGAGCGGACAAGGCAGTAACCCAATACGTGTTAAAGTTTCAAGGTGTCAGCCTGCAGGAATCATAATTTCCCTCTACGAAAAAAGACCTTGTCACTTCCTGTATATGTTAGACTCAAAAAGTATTACATTTCCTTAAATGCCACCCATAGTAAAGGGGTGGCAACAATTTGTGTAGCTGCAAAAAACACCTCATTGCTTCTCGCTCCCCATCCCATATATCGAAAACACGACGTGGAATATCTACTATATCTACTTGATACTCCTGTACATACAGCAGCTTACATCTATGTAATACTAGAGCTCTGCATCTTGAATCCACAGCAGTTAGTAGCTTTTAAAGCAAAGTGGAAAGCACCATGTTGGTAGAATCGATGCTTTATCAAATATGGGTGTATCATAGTCTGCATATTTCACTTCATCATTAGCATTATCACGACTTCAGCTGATAGCACCCTGTGGTTTTAGTACGTGAGTTGTTACGCGCTACATGTACCTGCATGTACTGCGGCTAAATGTAGTTCATCAATACTTTTTTTACTGAATCCATGTTAACCATATATATAGAGCTGCCCCTGTGATATACTTGAATCCTATACATTAAGCATTGCCATGTCCGACCTAACTTTTTACTCCAAAGATCTTTCTAACTGCCCCAATAACTTGCACAAGTAGATTGGGTACAGGAGACTATCCCAGTTTTGAACTTAAAGCATTAAAAAAGGTTCATATATGCAATGCGAATTCTTGTTGCTGTTGTCCAACTGATCTCCAATTGCTTTGCTTTGTTGCGCCAAGGGGGGGGTTACGGGAAGTACAGTAGACAGTAGTGTTTGTAATGATACGGCGTGTTTATGTTGTAGCGCTTTCTTTTTGCTGTAGACGTCCGGGGGGAGGGGTTGTGGGGTGGGTGCGGAGAAACTTCTGAATGCTACGCTTGTGGTGTTTGAGGAAAAACCAGCATCTTGGGTCCTGTATCATGGTTGCTAAAAAGACCATGTTTAGGTTTTTTTTACGAGAACTGGGAAGACAGATTGGATGGCGTGCATACATTGTGCTGTGCGCGATCTCCTTGTTTTCTTGTTGGGACTCTGAAGGTGGTTAGAAGCAATGTAGCGTGGGGAAAATGCTACTGCTATGCTAATTTTTTTCATACAATAGCAACAATTTGCACATGATACATACTTTCTGTTCTCCAATGTATAGAGACATGCACACGAGAGGATCCACAATGCAATTCGATACCCGGGGACGAAAAAAGAAGAAAGTGAAGAAAAGTAATAAAAGAGGCAAAATAGTAGAGAGATCTCGAATTCTTTGTGATCTCGTCCGCTGGACGAAGATCATGATTTCATTTATCTTTGTGCTACTGCCCTGCATGTGCTGCTACACAGCTGCTAGTGTATCATATACTGCGCAGTAAACGTGCCTTTAAGCTTTGAAACTACCCAGGTTGAAAAAGGGCGTGTGTATCAAATAAAGAAACAATCGCTAGTACATAGATAGTGCGCTATATTTGAAACAAGACCTTGACCCGTTAGTAGCACACACCGCTCACCATTTACACCGCCTAAAAGTGTTTCGAAACGTACCATGCATGATCAATCCTCGATCATACCATAGCATTTATGGTTCTGTACTACAAACTCTGTTACCCCACTTATAGTATACTGGTATGTTACAGAACGTAACAGTATAAATAAATAGAGTACATAAATAAAAGATACAGTACATATGCACGGGTTTGTTATCTCTTCTTTGCTAAATAGGATTACTTGTATGTTTGTTATTGCAGACAACTTGAAATTTGAGCAGCAATGTGGCGGGGCACGTTGTTGTTCTAACCCGATATTAAAAGATAGATGCGTTCGCTCTAACCTCTTGTTTATTCTCAGAATCCAACGAAAAATTAAAAGATACCATCATTGACTGTAATACATCAACAGAAGAAATTCAAAGCACATAGCTCTGTATGTAGTACAAATGATATATTTGCAGTGAACGCTATCAATATTACATACTTTACTACACTTTGTTGGCGTTTTTTTTAGTTTGATATGGGTTTTGCACTCAGTGATAGATTGTTGTGTTGCCACGAGCAACAGTCAGTCGGATTGAACACTTTGCACACCAATAAACTTAATTTGTTTTTGACTAACTAAGTATACTAAGTGACCTAAAAATATAATCATAATAGCTGTACTAGCTTACAGTCCCTTTGCAATAGTCTACAATGATAGTTTTCCGCCGTTGCCTTCCAAAAGTAAAGCCAAATATATTACAAGGAGTCTAGGCTATATGATCAAGTTGTCACTAAAGGACGGTGATGACGATGGGCTGAGAAAGAAGAACCAAGTGATATTATAGAAAGAAGTAGAAAGAATAATATACAGAAAAGTGTGTGTGAGGTGTTGAGATGGTGAATGATATTGATGATGAATGTAATGATGGTGTTGATTCTCCCCATGCCCAAGCGTTCCTTGCTGTTGCGAAACATGCTCCAGTTGAGTTTACACGTTTTCCAAAGTTCGAACCAGGTTATCACGATGAATAACGCACTCGGCATCCATATATCCAATGATGTTGGTGATATCCTGGCTGTGACAGCCGCGTATACGCTCGATCTCCGGGCTCGAATAATTCACCAGACCTTTACCAACTTCCACTTCCTCCACTTGGCCATCCTCATTTTCTCTGCGATGGATAATTACGACAGCTTGATTGGCGACGAAACTGTTTTCGACAGCGACAACGCCAGCAGCAAACAAGCTCGAACGCTGCTTCTTGGATACAACCGCTTTCATTGCGCCACCATCAATATAGATTCGGCCTGCAGTATGTAATCCGTGTTTGATCCACCACTTGCGATCGTATAATGGGTTATCCTTGGCAGTAAAGAGGGTATGGAGTGGCAAATTTCGTGCAGGCAAATTGTCACCTGTGACTACAGCAAGCTCGTGCGGCGTGATTAGTGTTCCCGCGTCGTCGGCTTGTATGATCTTCATAATATTGTCTGGCTTAGCGCCATGTGTGATGACTGTGCGTACGCCTGCAGCCGTGGCAAGATCGGCTGCAATTAGTTTGGTGGACATGCCGCCTGTACCTAACGAGGATCCGCGCGATGCCACTGACACTGTATATATTTATGAGTAAAAATTCCATCCACCCACCATGCCTTCCTTCTTCTTAAGAAGGTATAAAGCTAGTTAACCTACCTTGTTCTCGTAGCACTTGAATATCATGACACACAGATACATTCTTAGCATCCGGATTTGTGCGAGGGTTGTCAGTGTATAAGCAATCGACATCGGTCAACAAAAACAGATAATCTGCTTTAAGCATGCCAGCGGTTATAGCGGAGAGGGTGTCGTTGTCGCCGAACCGAATTTCCTATCAATATTTGGATAGATGGCTGTCAGCATTTTCCAGATCATCGCACACACATCCACACCCCAGTTATTCCGATCCTCGCTTCTGTAGTAGTAATACGTACTTGTGGACAAATGGTATCGTTTTCATTCACGATCGGAACCACACCAATATCCAGAATCTCCTCCAAGCAGCTGACTGCATTAAGGTATTGTGCTCGCTAATTAAAGAAAGTTTAGGGTCAATATGCATTGAACGCGAGAACAAATAGGAACACTCACATCGGATAAATCATTTTTGGTTAACAACACCTGAGCAACAGGTTGGTGGAATTGGCCAAACAAATCATCATACAGTCGGATGAGTCGTCCTTGACCTACTGCAGCGACAGCCTACATGCACACCTACAATTTAGTATCGAATATGATAGCTAGTAGATAAGACCCGTACGTACCTGCAGTGTGGCCATTTTGGTAGGTCTGGCGTTCATATTCAGTCGTCGAAGACCAGTACCGACGGCAGCACTTGTTATCAGGACAACGCGGTGGCCGAGCGACTTGAGTTTCAAAACTGCCTCAACAAGGGACGACAAGTTTGACAGCACAGGGAAATGTGTTTGCTCATCGCAAATGGTGGTTGTGCCAACCTTGATTACAATGGTCAAGGAAGAGCGTGTTGGACGATGACTGTTTTGATGATTCTTATAAATCATGGGAAATATGCAAGGTATATAGTCAAAAGAGATAAGAGTTAGCAAAAAAGAAAGAAGGGGATAAAGTTCAAAGTAAATATGTTATTTGTGGAAACCAAGCTTACTTGATTCATGTGAGTCACCCATACCAAAAGCCACCTATCGTATTCAAGCTGTGTTCCGTAACCGCGGCTTGGGACAATGCGCAAAAGCTTATCGGAACTCCAAAATTGCCAGCTGTCATCTACACGTCGCCTGTTGCGCCGATGGAAAACATGGGCCGGGATTGGGGTGGGGGTAAATTTAGCGAAGGGATCGTCAACAACAAAAAAAACCTGGAACTGCCACGGTCTCGGAAGCATAAACGCTACAAGGGTTTACAATCCATGAGATATATAAATATGCAACATGCCTAGTAGCAGAGAGTCTTAATAACTCTTTCACCCGAGATTTCTACAATATGAACTTGAAGACCCTGACCGCTTTGATCTTTGTTGCTTGTATTGCCGCAGTCGTCCGGGCACAAGGTAAAAAACGTTTTGATTGCGTGATCCCGCGCACGTATTAAACATTTCAACTCATCATCTCCGGTATCGTTTATCCGCCTTCTACATAGTCCCGGCCTTGTCGTCCTTGTCGTCCTTGTAAGTTGTTTCTATTCTGGTTTTGCATATACTGAGAAGGCGCACACTATAATGACCTGATGTTATTTTAAAAGATATGAGTCTGAGGTGGCTGCCAGCCGAACTAAACTTGCCAGCTCTGCAAGCTCTGCTATGAGCCGTATCTCGTCCGAGATCCAAAGATCCAGTGAATCGGCTGCCAGTCAATCTGCCACCACTACCAACGGTGCTGGCGCTGGTACTTCAACCAATGGTAACGATAACAACGGTGCTTCCCAGACAGGCGGAAATGGTCAAGCCACTGCTGCCTCCACCGGCTCTTCCAACTCTGGCACTTCGAATGGCATGTCCGCTTTCACTGGCTTGAGCAATGTCATGGTGGTCCAAGCCGTCGCCTGGTCCGCTCTCTTTGCTGCTAGCTTTGCTGCCATGTTTATGTAAATTCACGTACGAATTTTGCAGTTACTTTGTTCAAAATTATTTAATAATAAATCTTTATCTATAAATGCTTCATTGCCTTTGTCCAAATGTGCATACACTACATGCGTGTGGGTCATAAAGCACAGTGCCTCACTAGATGTATGTTACAATAAGTCATATTTTATTAGCTCGGGAGATAAATGCTCGATGAATCCAAAAAAATCCATCTCACGTATCACATGTCACAGAGAAACTTCCATGCCTTCGAGTCTTGAATTTCCATGCAAAGTGTTTGAAATCCGCTGCGCCAGTAGCAAGAAGAGGCGATGATACGGTGTACATACAGCGTACGTGCGCGTCTACAGGCATTAACCATGAACATGCTAGCTTCTTGACGATAAATCTTCTAAAATAGGGAAAAATTTACAATGAATGCTGTAAGGAAATATATTGGCTGTAGTAATCATTAACGCAGCATCTGTCTGCTGTGATAAGGAAACACTGGTACATCTAGCTCCGGGGAGTTACGGGCATAAGAAGAGGAGACCGAGGGTAGGGGAATACGAAAGCACTTAGTTATACAGGGGTCCTTGGAGGTTTGAATGTGAGTGTGTTTTATTACACCCTGCTGACAATGACCTGCTTAGCAGTAAAGCATATAACCTTACCATAAAAGTTCCGAACCTGTCAGCTTCCAAAACGCACACATCAGTCATCTTTTCCCCTGATACGAGGCTTTCTCTCTCGATTCCATCTCATTTCTTTTACTTGCTATTCTTCTTTCTCATCAAACACTACGACTTTCGAAACAAGGAGGTAGAGCAGCAAAAAGCAGAAAAGCGAACCATGTCTATGCCAATATCCATGTCTTCCCCTGTTTCCACCACTGAAACGGTGGAAAGCAGTTGCAGGTCTTTCCGGAGCCGTCGATCGCTACGATCGCTAGCTAGCTCTGCTATCCCACCTCCTGTTCATTTCAGCTCATTACGTATTCCTGACGATCACTTACAAGCTATTAAGAATAAGCGAGTTCGCCAGTTTTACCAAGTAGGGGAATTTTCTCCTTTTTTTACTCGTGATTGTGCTTTGGTTGTCTCTTTGAATCATACTGGAAAGCACTCACAATTTCCATCTCCTTAGCATCAAAATGACATGATTGAGCGGTTCATGGAGGTGGACGACGTAGTGGAAGCATTAAAACGTGGAGAACAGCCAAACGAGTATCAGCAACGTCAGCAGGAAGAAGCAGTAGAAGAAGAAGAAGAAGGACAGCAACAATATGACGCAACGCCAATTAACAACAACAAGTTTAACAGGAAACCTTCGCAGAATTCACTATTGGAAGATGAAGAGGCGATGATAACCCAGCCATTAATTGAGCGTACCAATAGTCCTGGCAACTACAAGTCTAAAAAGGGCTCCCCAAGTTGGTTAATTCATTTGGCGATCAATCTCTCCTTTGTTGCCAACTTTGTCCTCTTTGGAAGCAAGGTTGTGCTGGCTATCTTTACTGGCTCGATGGCAATCTTGGCATCGGCTTTCGAGAGCTTTCTGGATTTGCTCAGTAACGCTATCATCTTTGTCACCATAAGAATCATGCGCAAGCAAGATTACTACAAGTACCCTGTTGGAAAGGTACAAAGTACAAGAGCCAAACTTGTTTCATATTTAAGATTTTAAATGTTTGGGATGCAGAGACAGTGTATTTCTTTAAGTAGACAGATTGTGTATGCGTATAACACTCACTCTGTAAAACTTGGCGCAATCTATATTCTTAGTCACGCATGGAACCTCTTGGCATCATCGTCTTTGCCGTTGTTATTACCACATCTTTTTCGCAAGTCTTATTAACATCTGTTCAACGATTAACGGATCCTGAAAAGAGTGCCGAGCCAATTGATTTGAGTATCATTGGTATTGCTGTCCTTGTTGCAAACATTGTGATCAAGGGTGTTTTGTGGCTGTGGTGTTGGTCAATCAAGGACAGTTCGAGCGTTCAAGCACTCGCGCAAGATCACGAAAATGACGTTGTTTTCAATATCGCTAGTACCATTTTCCCGGTTGTCGGTAGGGTTATGAACTGTTTTTTCTACTTTTTTCAGTATAAGTATCACTAATAATGAGGGTGATATTTTGGTATATATATAATTAGCTGTTTGGGCTAAATTGCCTTGGTTGGATCCAGTCGGTGCTATTCTGTTATCCATTTATATCATATATGAGTGGATGGTACTTTTGCTAGGTAAGAGTCCGCTATGTCTATTTAATGAAATTTTGCTCGTTAGTCTATGAAAAGCTTATTAATTACAATTTAAATGGATATCCAGGCAACATCCAACGATTAACAGGCCATGCTGCCAGCACGGATGACTTGAAGCAGCTAACCTACATGGCTTATAGATTCTCATCAAAGATTGTCGCTGTCGATACGGTAACATCCAACTTTTTCCCCTTTGATTATCGTTGGATAAGAGAGGAGAGGAAAGGCGAGGAGATGAGATAGGTGAGGATCACATTTAGGTCTCAAAAACAAAAATGTTATTGTTGTGTATAGGTTCGAGCATACTATGTCGGAGACCGGCTTTTGGTCGAAGTCGACATTATCTTACCACCAGACTGCCCCTTGCGTGAGGCGCATGATGTTGGAGAGGCTTTGCAAGATGCATTGGAAATGATGAGCAACGTAGAAAGAGCCTTTGTTCATCTCGATTATACTGCTATGCATGAAATTGAGCATCGGTGAGTGAGCGTGTACACGCTGTTAGACATTAAAAACTTATCTTTATCAATGTTTAAATAGGAAATGTGCAACACATATGCCATAGTTAAATGTATGACCCTCGCTTCAATCGTTGGCGCCGGCGACGGAGCAGCAGATATTTATTAAGGCATTGCAAACTCATCCATAGAAAATTATTTGTAGCCACACTAAATTGAAGGCATAATTTACTTTTCTCTTCTTCTCTTAATCTTTTATACATGTGTGCTATTTTACCCATCGAATTATATATATTCTCACTTATTTACGTTTACATAGTGAGTAGTGGCATAAAAGAATGGTTGTTCACTTATTGCTGCGTTGTTGATTGATTACGACTGCACAAGAGGAACCTAAAAGTGGATGCTGCATGCGCGCCTCTCACTCTCTTTCTGAAGCTTTCGACTACGGATGTTGCCAAGGAGATGAAAATTTATTCTCATGGTGACTGTCATCATGGCGCCCGGGTCTCAAAGTAAGAATATGTTTGCTAATATCCCGGAATACGGGTCTTGGCATCAATGCGCAGGAATCTGAAATGAAGAGCGCACGTTTTTCGTTTCTTCGTTCGCTCGCTTTCTTTGAGCGGAGTTTTACCAAATTGAGGTCAGAGTTGAACTGAGAGGTCAGTTGAAACACTATATAACAAATTCGCTCCGTAGCCAGAAGTGCTTCTTCACTTCTTTCCGTTTTTTGAACTCATATCACTCCCCAAAAATGCCCATGCTCAACGCATTTACTCTACAGAAAAAATATCCTGCGTTACAGGTTAACGACATTAATTCCTTGATTGACCAGTTCAAGTAAGTTCTTTCCCCTATACCTCCACACGATGAAGTTTCCTGCGGAGAAAAAGAGGGAGAAGCGCGTCTTTATATATATCAAAGCGCATAGGTGTGTAGAGCTTCGGTTTATTAAATAAGAAATGTCTGCTTGCATTATGTGTTTTATAGTGCTTGCGATTTAGACGGTGATGGTTATTTGGACCAAAGTGAAATTCAGCAAGCTTGCAAGGACACTGGTTACAGTGATAACTATGACGAAATCCGTGCTACTCTGAAGCAAGTCAGCACAAGTGCAACTAGCAAAATCGATACTGAAGAGTTTGTCGAGGTAATGTATCAAAAGGAAGTTATACTCGAGCGGGGGTCTGTGCGCGCAACTTTGAAAGGAGGAGCATCATGCATATTATGTGAGAAAACAAAAAAGGCGGGAAGCACTTGGTGAAAATTAGGGGGCTACCATGACAAGAGGTGTGCGTTGGGGAAGAAGACGGAAAGATGCGAAGCAGAGTTCGGTGTTTCAAGCGGCTGACGTTTTTTCTTTCTCTTGGCAACCCACTGTATGTAGCTCGCTGCAAAGCTCAAGGAAGGCCGTAACAAGGGCGCTTTCGATGTGCATCAACACAAGATCAAAGTACACGGCTCCAACGCTAGCACAACCCATACAATCAACGAAGATGAACGAACCGAATTTACTCGCCATATCAACAGCGTCATGGCTGGGGATGCTCATATTGGACACCGCCTGCCAATCCCGACCAACACAATGCAGCTGTTTGACGAGTGCAGGGGTATGTTTCGTGGAGATTAACTTGAATATGGATATAGGACAGAGAAGAAGGACGAGACTGACAACATGGGCATTAGATGGTTTGATTCTGTCCAAGCTTATCAACGATGCTGTGCCGGATACAATTGATGAGCGTGTATTGAACGCATCAAAGAAGATCAACAATTTCCAAATGGTCGAAAACAACAACATTGTCATCAATTCGGCCAAGGCTATCGGCTGTTCAGTCGTCAACATTGGCCCTACGGATATCATTGAAGGTCGTGAGCATTTGATTCTCGGCTTGATTTGGCAGATCATCAAACGTGGTCTGCTCAGCAAAATCGATATCAAGCTTCACCCCGAATTATATCGCTTGCTCGAGGAAGACGAGACACTGGACGAGTTCTTGAAGCTTCCCCCTGATCAGATTCTGCTCCGCTGGTTCAACTACCATTTGAAGGCTGCCAACTGGGACCGAAGGTGAGATTAGTTGGCTCTGTAGGAAACATTTGAGCCTTTTACTGATGCTTAAAAAACTTGTTTGTGGTTAGGGTCAAGAACTTTAGCAAGGATGTCGCCGATGGTGAGAACTATACGATCCTGTTGAATCAGCTCAAGCCTGAGTCGTGCTCGCGTGCACCTTTGCAAGAGCGAGATTTGCTGCGCCGTGCTGAAATGGTCCTTGACAATGCCGAAGCCATTGGATGTCGCAAATACTTGACTCCTACTGCATTAGTGGCTGGTAACCCTAAGCTGAACTTGGCCTTTGTTGCCCACTTGTTCAACACCCACCCTGGTCTGGACCCATTGACCGAAGAAGAAGCACCTGAGATTGAGCCATTCGATGCTGAAGGCGAGCGTGAAGCCCGTATGTTCACCTTGTGGTTGAACAGCTTAAATGTCGAGCCCGGTGTTTACAACTTGTTTGAGGATCTCAAGGATGGTTTGGTCTTGTTGCAGGCATTCGACAAAATTGTGCCTGGTATTGTCAACTGGCGCATGGTCGGCAAGAAACAGCCCTTGTCTCGATTCAAGATGATTGAAAATACCAACTATGCTGTCCACTTGGGTCAAGAGCGACGGTTCTCGTTGGTCGGCATTCAGGGTGCGGATATTGTGGATGGTACCAAGACCTTGACATTGGGTTTGGTCTGGCAGTTGATGCGTGAAAACATTGTCTTTACGCTGCAGTCGCTCAGCAAGGGTGGCCGCCCTGTCACTGATCAAGATATGGTTCGTTGGGCCAACGAGATGGCACAACGCGGTGGCAAGCAAAGTCGCATGCAGTCGTTCCGCGATCCTTCCCTGCGTACGGGTGTATTCTTCCTCGATGTTCTCAATGGTCTTAAGCCTGGCTATGTCGATTATGCTCTAGTAACACCTGGTCGAACTGGTAAGCTTTTGCCTGAAAATAATACCTTGTTTTGTTTGCATTTACTAAACCTACTTACGTTTTAAATAGATGAGGATGCTTTCAATAACGCCAAGTTGGCCATTTCTATTGCTCGTAAGATCGGCGCTACCATTTTCTTGGTGCCCGAGGATATCGTAAGTCTCAATCTTTTCTTCCTTGAACTTTCTCGGGGTGTAAAAGTTTCATCATTACTAACCATCGGTTTTTCGCTCGGTTTACAGGTGGAAGTTCGAAGCAAGATGGTAAGTTACTCTACAGTCCACACAGTCTACTGCACGTTTCTGTATACTAATTCTTATCTTGCTTAATGCGTAGAATTTAACATTTATTGGCTCACTGATGTGCTGCCAACGCCAACAAGGACTTTAAGGAGCATGACAATCTCAGCCCCGCCATATACATACAACATATCTTTTATCGCAGCATGCATGTAATATCTGTATAAGAAAGTTTATTCTGGTTAAAGTAGAATGGAATTCCAAAATATATGCTATATATGAAACACCATTGGATCTTTTGGCTGAAGGACCGCGGGTTGTGTATGCTGCAGGCAAGTGATGTGAACGTAGCTTAGCTATGTCGAGTGTTCAATGGTAACCGAAAAAATCCAATGTTGATGACCGTATGTTCGAGTCAGAAGAGTGTTGTCTGGTAGTTGTAACTCTATGATCAAGGTCATACTGTGCTTGGCGAGTACAGCTGGTTATTGTTCTCCGTTGGCGCTTTGTTGACAGCACACTCTGTACAGACAACTCAGTTCAAAAAGCAGTTATAAAGATGGAAATCCCTGTAGTGAATGATAGATACATACACAGCTTCTGCTTTTGTATCTTAGTAAGATTTGTTATCCACTGTGTGTACACATTCGCAGCAATTGTACGAACTTTATGCTTATTAAATTGGTTGCCACTACTTGCAGTCGTTTCACTGGCATCTTTTACCTTTATTTCTTAGAGCAATGATAGCGTGGGATATTCACTAAAGTCCTAAGAGCACAGCGAGCATATATACACTAATATCGTAGTCTTTCGCGACTTGATACATTTCTCTACCTCACCCAAGTGTACGTTTATCTTGTTTTTGTTTACATTTTATTGTAATACTATAAATGCAAATCGAGTTTTTTCATTTGATAGTCTATCAACCAAAGTACCACAATTCAGATCTGTAAATAATAAGAGCGGCCCGCTTTCATATTTAGTAGCTAGCACCTCAGACCAACTGTCTCAAAAAAGTTAAAAACGGTTTTTACAATGCTGCACGTAAGGAAGAAGTTCTGGCTGTCAGAATGGAACTTTTGATTTTTTATCGTGACACAGGGGCCTCCGTTGTTCGCCAATTTTAGCAGTGGGACTGCCTCAGGTAGGACGGCAACCGCGCATATTTTTCTTCTCCCTCATTTTTTAGGGCCTTTCCCTGTTACCTTACCACATAAACACCAATGAACGCACTGGCTAAAATCGCCCAATTTAGCGTTGGCCTTCAACAACGCGCCTATGTTTCCGTCAAGTTCATGCGTCCCAAGAAGTTCAACAGCAGTATGTTTACCTTGTTGACTACTATTTTTTTTGCCACGTTCCATCCAACATTAAATATAAAAATACGCGCGTTTATTTGGTTTTAATGAATCTTTTCTTTAAACATTTTCTTTCAACAACTAGTTCTTGAACATGTACCACCACGCCCTCGTTCTGGGTGGCAGATCTACATTCGTGAGCACATGAAGGATTACAGTCCGGAATCTGGCAAGATCAATGTTGCTCAGGCCACCAAGGAACTTTCCACTAAATGGCGTGTTATGTCAGAGACTGATAAGCAGGTATATATCACGTCTTTCAACAAACAGCATCGGAATTTTAATATCTACTAATTCTATGTGGGAATGCAGAAATACGTGGACATGTACAAAAAGGAAACCGCAGCCCATTTTGAAGCCTACGAAAAGGCAATGCAAACCGCTACGCCTCAGCAAATTTATCATGAAAATCTGTTGCGTAAAAAGTTCAAGTTGAAAGTATTGCCAGATCCCCATGCTCCTAAACGTCCTCCTATGAACGGTTACATGTACTATTTGAAAGAAAGGCGCAACGATCCCTCGTTCATGAAAATGCCGTTGATGGAACAGGCTGGTCAGGCCTCGAAAGAATACAAGGTGCTTTCTGACAACGATAAAAAGGTTTGTCCGCAATATGAAAAGCAATTGGAAATCTTCTTTCAACATGTGTCTATATCCGAAAGATGTTTTAATTATTTATGAAAATCGTACACATATGTAGGGTTATGTGGATACGGCCAAGAAAGCGTTGGACAAGTATCATGCAGAAAAAAAGGATTATCTTGCTCGTATGACTCAAAGCCAATAAAGGAAATGGACACAAAACCACAATTACTAACAGATACGAGGTCCGAACTGTCTTCTCGCTTCATTTATAACATGTGTTGATCTTGTTTGTTTGGGTAGTTTCGTACAGTGATTAGCATCAATAATCATGATGATCGATTGCGGTGTGGTATTAAGCATTTACACAAGTCAACGATATCCCTTATTGTAACCCTTCGAGTACTTTTAATCACGGCGGGAATGTAAAACTGTCATAGATTCACGCTTAAGATGGATAAGGTACTAGAAGCGTGCCCATAACTCGTGTTGAAAAGGAAGGATATCGTCGATCGCTTTGAACTTTGGAAGGAAAACATAAGGCCAGTTTAAACTTATTGTGGCCTGTGTACCTTGCAGCTGATCAGTTTAAACTACCAGCCGTTTGTATAACCGTTTTGACTGTATCTTAGCGAAAAGATCAAAAGATAAAGTACTTGTACTTTAGATGAGTATATGTCTCATCTTGGTACTAGTTTTTTAAGAGTCATACAAAGACTTGCTGCAGTAGTTGTTACAATATATCCTCTAATCCGTATCATCATGTGCATACACATTGCAGTCCTTTCCCTTGACAACAACAGCCCCCATAAACACGTTAGATACTTCAACCAATGCTTACCTATCTTTCATTGACCAAAAGCAGTATGCGTGCCTCTGTGTGACATTTCGAACAATACACAGTGTAAGCCATTGCCTTTGTCTTTTCCTAGCATGTATAGCCTATCAATGAAAATAATGTTCTTTTTCCTTTACCAAAGTAGCTCGCAGCTGGATATGGACTCATTGTTTTCATGAGAATGAATCAGTCTGTCATTGTAAATTTTTTTTCTTCCTGATGCAGTCAAAGAAAGACAAAAGCGTAAGGAATTAATGAAGTAGATATGGTTTATTGTAATGCGATAGCTACCTGCAGGTCACGATGCAAAGGAGATTGGAGCATCAAGGTACTTTTTTATCTGAGCCTTTTTCGCACTTTGGATGGCTTACTGCGATTTTAAGTATACACGATTTACCATCATATATATGACCTATTATTTTTCTTTGCAAGATGCCAAACGTTTTATGTACCACCTGCTACATGTATTGGTGGTTGTCGCTGTCGTTGTCACTTGCTGTTAATTTACTACTCTTCTTCTTCCTTTGTACATTATTTCCGCTGGTATTCCTACAATAGCTTTTCGTCAAGATAATTCCAGCTGAGCCTGTAAGAACACGTTGATGAACCGCCTTCTGTATGCTTGAGATGCTATAGCGATTTTATAAGTGTACAAAAGAGGGATGAATTAACGCACGAATACCTGCAGGTTTTCTAGTTTCGAACTTTTGAGATTATTGCACATGTTAAAAATTCGTTTTGCATGACGATTTCCTTTGTATTGATTTCCATGCAAGTGCATGAGGCGTATCAACATTTATTACTTCATTGTTTATATTTCATACACTTCTTTGATGACAGTCATCAATGTTAGTATTAGTGACTATTTATTTGAATACATGGCTACATTGGCGCTTATTATATTATTTTTCTAATAAAGACGATGCTTGATCATTTTATTTTTATTGATACTACTACTACTGCCTGTCCATGTCACTTCTGGTGGTATTGTTGGAGTTTGTGTTGTCTAAAGTTTGAGTGGGATATATAATTATATATCAGGCTACTGCTGTTTTATAAGATTGTGTTTTCGTCTTCCTTTGAACTGGTAAAATACGTTAGTGTTGTGCTAACACCTTACCTCGATTGTTGTTTCTTTGGCTTATATTGATTTGAAATTGATTTTCAAGAGCACTCAAAATGTTTGAATGAGTCACTGTAAACTCATGCCAGTCATTTGGAACTTTGTAAACATGACATGACATCCAGAAGGGCGCGTCTGTAGTATTGTCATCATTGTGATAGAGTGGGTGTATCTCGTTGTTTGTGTGCCATTCTGCTTCAGCCATTATGATTGGTCGCTCTCGTTGAGTATCTTCCATCTCGTAATATTGATAGATTACATGATATACTTTGTCGTTTTCCGGTATCGTCGTCTGGACTGCCGTTCTGCTACCACTGGGTTCATCATGATCCGATTGCGATTGTTTCGATGATGATGATGGTCTCCTGCATTGGCGTTTAAGTGATCTTTCCCCGGCTTCTTTAATTTCGGTACTATCATTGTCGTTGATGTTGCTGCTATTGTCACCACTAGTTTCAGCAATTTCTATAGAACCAGATGCTGTTTTTGTAGTAGGATGACCTGTCGTCGTTTCTTGTCTTTGATCCGATTCACTTTCATTCCCTTCTTCGTTTTCTCTTTCCCGTTTGCTGTTTTCCGGCACCTGCTGATGTTCTTCTTCTTCCTGCTGCTGTTGCTCCGGGTACGCAAAGTGTTGGCTTTGTTGAATAATGTCAATTTTATTATCGAGTGGACCACCAGGAGGAATAAACGCAGAACCATGAGTAGTAATAGCTGCTAAACGGGCATCGTGCTGAAGATCAGCATTGGGCGCGGGGGCAAGTTGCCCCGGTTGGTTGTCAGGTCCTTGATCTTCGTCACCTGATCTTGGAATTAAAATATCATCGCTAACAATATCAGAAGCTGAAGTATACACCGTAAACATAGTATTCGATGAATATGTTGTTTGTGAGTCAGTGGTGCTGCTACTGCTATAAGGCTGATGAGATAATGTACTATTGGTTGATGAGACTAGATAAGAGAAGAATTTTATCAATTGCTTATGAAAGGAATATATTATGCATTTTGTTTCGTTTCCTTGTGCTATATATAAAGAATATGCGTAGCTACCTGAGCTAACAGGCGTATTTGGTAGTGTAGTGCTATTGTAGCTGGGTTCAGTGAACGTGCTAGCGAGTATCATGCTAGGCGTAACGGGATGGCGAGGTTGCTGAACTGGCACGGCGTGCGTCTCACCCAATGTTTCCTTATCACTGTTGCTGTTCGGTTGAGCAGGTGTATCATCATCTTCGAAAAGTGGTGGGGGACCGTCTCTATAAAGGATCTTTCCTACTGGTCGCGCGGGGTGTTGTTGAAAAACCATGCTACTTATGATTAAGTATATATTTGCCACTATATAACACCAAAATTCAACACTAAATATATCATTTGCAAATACTGACGGCTTGGAGGAGATCCTATACACTTGTGATTTCATAACACATTTACCTGAAGATAAAGCTTATTTTGAGGAGTTAACGGTAGTGTGAAATCGAACTGTTTGTTATTGTAATTTATACGGATTCAACAATCAAGTCCTTTAATTCCTTTGCTCATTATTGGACCATTTGCCTTGGCTATTGTTTTGGTATTCCTAGGCAAACAGGCAAAAACCAGAAGGACATGCGATATTACCTAGTTCTTGGAAACCAGAAGAGGATCAAATTTGGTCCCATTGTTCCTTAATTAAACGTTATATGCCTCATATCTCAAAAAATCTGTGGAAGAGTAACTTCTTGCATTTATGAGGGCGCAAATGCTCATTATTAATCCTTCCAAATCCATGAAAAAAAAAACACAATACATGATGTCGCAGCAGTATAATAGTTACCATTAATAATGGCGTTGCTAATTATTCGTAGTGTTGTTTTTGTGTATCACCCACAGAATCACTCATTAATGAATGAGGTTAGTCGTTGATCTTATTCTGCTTTTTGTCACGAAAGATGGGGTTCCTTCTTTGAATTTTCCTCAAGGTACACTGGGACTCAAAAGATCATGTTCTGGATTAGAAAGAGTGGGAGTTCGACTAACCATATTCTTTTAAAAATGACAGATTCATCATGGATGGTGCAACTTGCTTTTAAAAATAATCATACGTAGTACTGTAAGATAATTAGAGCTATCTGCAAGATTGAATGCTTTTTTTCGGCTGATGCACAATAACAGCATTGAACAAAAGAGCGATTATCACTTTCTACCCATTGTGTTTTCACGGTGAGTCAAAGATGATCAGCGATAAGATTGCTTGTATCTAGCCTCAGCAATATAACTCCAGCATCTGCTCAAAAGACACACCATTCAACAATGGTAACTGTTAGATTTACAATATGCCACCAAACGCACTAATGTGCTGTCCAACTTAAGGATCGCCACAGCGGCTTTAAGAGTTAAGCCTTGCGTGGCGCTTGCGATTTATGAGTATGAGATAACGGAGATGTTTCCCTCAGTAAGACACAACACCTTACATTGGGTACGTACATACACTCGAACGCCGGTAATTTCCACAATTGTATTCGCCTATCAAATGTTATATATTGCTATACACCGGAATATAGTTGCAAATTGTCGCGAAGAAACACAAGAAGCAAAAGCAGCAGCATTAACTCGACACACCGCATCATGTCGCTAGAAGAAGCACTCGAGCGCACATCACTGTTCATGCGACGCAGACCACCTCCCAGTATTATATCACCAGCTTAACTCTCACCAGTGATAGCATATTATATGCACACAAAGTCCAGATAGTCAAGCATAATCTCCCTGTTAAATGTAACCGTTGGCAGTAACTGCAACTTACTTGACTGCGTGTTTGATCAGGTTTTTTTAAAGGAGGTGCTACCACTAGTTTATGGATATATTTCTTTTGCTATTGCGTTTTACACTGTTAGTTTAAGGCTGAATCCAGTTGAAAATGTATCGTCAAACATGTAACATAGCATGGAAATAATATTAAATTTAAGATGCATCCTGCTGCTGAGTTTTTACGCTTTGGTTTGACAACTTCAATACAGCCATGAAGTAAGCTTTCACATTTCACAACGAGAATTTGGAAGAGCAAGTAGATTAACAAGGATCCTCCTTCTCATTCAGCGTCGTCAAGGAAATTCAACGGATTAATGAAAAGGAATTAAGCCGAGGCGACTATTCAGAAACTGGTTCATGGCACGCACAGTATAAAAACACAGCCTGGATCTTTGCGGGCAATCTAGCCTTCGATCTCACCGAAGGTGACATTATTTGTATATTCTCTCAGTACGTTTTCACAATCTATTCGATTCGATATACTTGTTTACGATTCTCTAAACATTGCAAAAACGCTATAGGTTTGGGGAGATCTTGAATATTGAACTTATTCGCGACAAGGATACCGGCAAGTCAAAAGGGTTTGCGTTTCTACAATATGAGGATCAACGAAGTACCGTGTTGGCCGTGGATAACTTGAACGGTAGTAACGTAAGTGTGTCTAGTTGAGCGAGGGGTGGAATAAAAGACAGAGGTTTCTAATACACATATATGCTCATTAGGTGCTTGGGCGTACGCTACGAGTAGATCATTCATATGGGCCAAAACCGCGTCGGATCAAGCAGCCTGATGGCTCCTATATTGAAGAGCCATACGTTCCCACAATGAATGCAGCACCACCCTTGATAGAAGGTAAGACTAGAGGGACGAATTACTGGGATTATCAGAAAAGGGAGCTAACGGAGCGTTTCTTCATGCAACTCAGCTAAAGAATCAGATTCCCGAGGAGGAGGATCAGCAGAAAAGGATGACTATGATGTAGAGGATCCAATGGCCGCGTACTTCCGAGATAAAGAACGCAAAAAGAAGGACAAAAAAGACAAGAAAACGAAAAAGAAGAAAGAAAAGCGTCATCGAAGCAGTCGTTACTCTAAAAGCGAAGAAGAAAGGGATTACAGTGATGAAGATGATCGAAAACGACGACGAAGACGGGATGATTATTAGAAATAAATACGAAAAGAGAGCTAATTATATGTATTTTCACTTTTGTCACATGATAAATCAGTTAAAAAGAGAAATTCTATTGTAATTTTTGCTGATTTGTGGTGTGCTATGTCTGGTTTTTCTTAAGCTGGTTCACATACCCATCCGCATACTTTGCTATCATCCCGGACAAGCTGCCAAGTGTCCCAATAATGTACATCCAACTTGAGCGCTGCGACTCGAACAGTCTCGTTTCTGCTTACTGTCTTGATGCGAATATATCCTTCGTCGTTGTTATCGTCATCTTCATCAGTATCGTCCGCTTTGAGTGCATCTCCATCAGTAAATGACAGCTGCTTGGCTTGTTCTGCAGCGGAACGCTTGACTGGTGGAATATAACTAGGTCGGCGCCGTCGCATCATTTCTGATTCATGTTGGTGTACAACGTTGAGGAACGAGTCCAAATCGCGTACTTGCCGGCCATTCACCTCGACAATCCATACACCAGGTCTGAGCACGTTGGACGCTGGCGAACCATATAATGTGCAAGACACATATACGCCGTCAGGCACATTGCGTACTTGTTCGAGTACAGCCTTGTACGGCCGCTGGATCAAGGCACCTTGCCACCCAATCACACGTGTCGTTTCATAGTCGCTAAACTGGCTCATGGGCACGGTAACTTGCATTTCCTTGCCATTGCGAAGAACCACCATATCGACGCTACCGCTGTCGTTGTCATGGATACGCATCAAGTCGGACATGCGGGTCACGAGCTGGCCATTGATGCTCAATACAACGTCGCCCACATTCAATACCTTGGCGGATGGACTACGTTCATCCAAAATGCTAAGCACGTAGAGCAATGTGTGTCTTGTACTGCCGCTCTGTTCGACCTTTTTCACCCACTCGTCGGTCAAGCCCAACGTACGTGCTGCAGCAATACGCATCGTCCAAAACTCCACATCCATGCCCTTGAACACAACCTTGTCGCCGTTCAAAAAATGCTCAATTGCAGGTTTGACCAGTGATGTAGGCAAGCCAGACATGAAAGAAATGTCTTTGCCTTTTTCGTTCTGGGACGAGTAGCTCACCCATAGAGCTTGAACTTTACCGTCCTCCGTAGTCAACAGTCCACCTTGCGAATTAAAAGAGTCATCGATTTTGACGCCTTCAACGTTCATGGCACGCCATCGCGGTGGCGAACATTCACGGGTGCCGATATTGGATACCCCGCTGATGTTGGTTTTTTTCGTGTTCACACTATGGTCGCTGCCCATGCCAGTAAAGTAAACTTCATCCCCTTGGTTTAATTCCTTGTCGCTAAACTCGACTGCTTCCACGGGCGTTTCGCCAATCAAGGCTGGGTCATAAGTCAAGATCACAAAGTTGTAAAATGGATGCAAAAACAAGAGTTTGCCGGGGATGATAATGCTGTTGGCAAAGGTGATCATGATATCGCCCAAGCTGATCGGAATAGTATCACGGTCGCAGACAATCAATGGTGGGTCCTTGGATACGATAAAGCCAGTACCATAAAACTGTGTTGCTTTCATACCGTCTACGAGATAAGGAAGGTAAAAGTCGATAGCGACAAAGGATGGCAGCAACTTCTTGGCAAGCTCCATAGAAGAGTCGAGTGGCGGCAAAGAGGCAGTTGAAGGCTTGTATGGAGGCGCAGAGGGTGGCGGTGGCATCTCCGTGTATTCCCAAAGGCCGTCTAAGTCTACAAATCCAGCAGCAGTTATTATAGTTAAAAACGTAACACGAACTGTACAAATATTTACCATTCCTGACAGCCAGTCTGAACTTGTGCCAGTGACGATCAACATGCATGATCATTACTTTATCCTTGTAAGCTTTGTGCAGAGCATAAAATCTATCATAGAAGAGTTGTAGATGAGTGGTTACATCATCAGTCAAGCATTCAATATGATTCAAGATCTAAGCACTAACCGAATAGGAACCCGAGCTCCATCGGGCAATGTATTCATTGCCTCAATAAACGCATCAAGATTTGGTGTTGGGATATTATTAACGCTGACAATAATGCTCTTGCGCCATGCACTGGCACTTGCCAGCATGTGTCCGGACGTGGCTACATAGACACCAGCAACAGGCTGCGAATATGACTTAGCCAACTGATACGACAAATCATGAACCACACCGCCACCAATTTCAACAAAACGATTGGGTGTGATTTCATGCAAATCTTGAACCGTCAGCATGACATCCTGCACCTTCTTGCCACGCGAAATGGTCAATTTGATTTGCTTGCCAACGGAGTCATCTATGACGCCAAACAGCGAGATAAAGTGTGGGACCATCTGGCCATTACAGCCGATAATGATATCACCGGGCACCAAGACACCATCACCCGGACCCTTGGGCAAAAGCGATCGGACAACAAGCATGCCAGTTTCGTCAGGGAATTTGGTGCGCACTTTCTCTTCAATGTGTGCCTTCAAACCAAGACGGCGCACCTCGTTATAGGGCAAATACTCGAATTCTGTTTGGAGTGTACCACGGGGCACTTGCATCCCTTGTTGGATATAGCCCAAGGCGCGCTTGATACGGTCCAATGGCAGATAATAGCTCGATGAGGCACGACTGGCACCGCCTGCATTGAGTGCTACGGCATGGCCATCAATGTCAAGAACGGGACTACCTGAGGATCCACCGCTGGTGCCTGAAGCTGCTTGCAAATAGAAAGTATTGAAATCGTTGAATTCGCCAATACCATATTCAGGAGCACTAAGTCGTTGGGAGTAATATGTAACGCACATGCATTGAGTGCCTTTGCTTTCCTTCCATGTTTCTTGACCACTACCCGCGTCTAGTCTTGTATGAAGGGGATATAAATTCCTTACCGTCGGTCCAAACGAGCGAGCGTTCCAGCAAGAATGCTCAACTTCTCTCCTGCATCATTACTAAAGGAAGAAAGTGCGGGTGTTTAACTTTCACGACCATCACTGCTGCTGTTGTATGCTTTTTGCCACCTCTGCATTCTATCCCCACCAAACCCCGCATACCCCCTTCTTTCCCCCATCCAAACGTCAGTTGCAAAACTTTTTTTGATCTTCTTACCCAACAACTCTGATATCTAAGCCCACTTTAGCTCGTTCTGGGCTAAGTTCAATCTCCTGTGTCTCCATGAACTTGATTTTACTAGGATCAAACTGTTCACACAGAATTAGCTGCCATGAGGTGTTGAAGATTTACTGTATTTGGAAGGGTTTGAATGCACGTATGTGAGTAAGACTTGCCTTCATGAAACCGAAATCGTGCACGGGATCTCGATACACTGGTTTGAGCTCTACTTCTTCATAATTCGTCAGCACTGCTTGAGCAACGATTGGTGCAGGTGAAACGACGTGGCGATTGGTGACAATGATGCCACGTTCAGCATCTACAATGAAACCAGTTGCGGTGTAGCCACCTGTATACCCAAGGAAACAACAACATTAATCAGAGAAACACAGCTCATAGCAGCAGATAAGCTTTTGTGTGTGTCTGTTGGAACACACTGTACTTACCCGATGTCTCTGTGTCGAAACTACGGACATGGCTTGCTTTTATAGAAACAATGGCTTTGATCGCTTTTTCTAGCGTGGGTTCCCAAGATCGAGCCTTATAAGGGACGTTGGTTCCAGTTGACGGCGCTTGTCCGTATGAATCAGCTGGACCAAAATGATAGTCGACCGGCAGACGTGGTGGAAGGCCACTCAATCCGGTGGAGGCTAAGGATTTAGAGCGACCACGAAACGTTTTGCTGTCAATACCAGCATTGCCTAAGCCTTGCTGTTCAAAGCGAGTTGTTGACGAAGCGACACTATCAGATGGTGCTCGCAAATTGGAGTTGACGTCACCTGAAATAACAGGGTTGGACGTTTCTATCGTTCCGCGTGAAGGAGTCGTTGAAAGTGGATGTCTAAAGTCATCCATAACAGCAGTAGCTTATATGGTGTTCTTTATGCCGTGAGAGTTAGAGGGAAAGAATAGAGGGAAAAAATTCTTTGTTCGTTCAACAGTATACAACAATCCCACAAAAAATCTTTGTTAACTTCTTTCATGTTATCAAACGCTATTTGTTTTCAAGCTATCATACTGTTATAAATTACACGACAATATACCTTTCTGTATAAACTTCTTTTCAAAAAAAAATGCTACAAGCTCCGGGGTAAAGCTAGGAGAAAGAAAAGAGTTAAAAAGAAGAGAAAAGTCGGATTCATGCATGATATCGCCTATACGTCACTAAACCGCTGCTCCGACAACAACGAGCTTGCAACGCCACTTTCCTCAGATTGTGCTACGTGTACTAAACCGTTGCTGGCTTCCAAAGTCTTTTGTTCCAATAGTTTGCAGTGACGCCTCTATTATAAGTCTTATTACCATCAACCGCTGCTATGCGACAGCCAGCTTATTGTCATGACGACTATTCAACCATAAAGATACCGTCAGCATTGTGCTACGTGATATTTTCTGACACCAAGTCGCCTCAGCAAGAACAGCGCTTGTATAAAAATTATTTCATTTGGATGATCGCCATTGGCCAGGTTTAGGAGCACAGTCCGAAATGCTTCACAGTTTGTACGGACAGATATAGTAGCCACATAGGTAAATCTGTGTTTAAAGCGACAGATCAAAAAGCTCTTGTTATGCCACTTTAAGTACAAGTTGTCCGTAACTTTTAATTGCTGCTTATATTATTTGGGCACTTTGCATTTATCTTTGAGCCATTTTCATACTTATTTATCGCCGATATACTAAAATTAACAGGAGTTGCCGCGTTATTGTTTATTGTTTACCGTTTACCGTTCTCCTCCCCGCCCTTGTCGCATCTTCATTGGCAGAATGGTTGAATTGAAGATGAATATGAAATATCGCTCAAAGCAGCCCGTGGAGAGACGCCAGGCCTATCAAAAATTCACGCGTAGTATACTGCATTCGACAAGTACTTTAAAGATGGCTCAAAACATTATAAATGAAAAGGAATATGCATATATAACAGAGTATTATTAATACAGAAGAACAATATAGTGATAGTGATACTACGTGGTTGCCTATTTCCTTTTTACGTCAATGCAATGACTACCCTCTTCCATGCACGTGCATACCATGGTCCTGAAAGTTTTGATGCTTCTTGTGGATCATAAGATATATCTGATCGACCGGTATCCAAATCCATCTCCTTAAGTGGTATCAATTTTGACTTTGTGAAAACTTTGAGTGCGATGAATCCAACTAGACAGAGAATGAGACCTAAGTATTGTCCAATGATACCCACGGCTTGTGCAGGAATAAAGTACTTGTAGCCAGTAAATAGTGCAATGATTGGACATACGAATACGTCTAGTATATCACCAATTGGATGCATTGGCACGGTCATGGGCAAGTCTTTCAGATCGCGTCCTTGAAGTTTAAATGCGCGACGGAAACGGAAGTGGGCAATACAAATGCCTGTCCATGTCACCAGCACGGCAACGCCTGGTAGTTTGGTAAGAACTGTAAATAACGCTCGTCCAGGGATGAAAAAGGTGGCGAATGTTATTAGGCTCACAAGTGATGTGCATACGAGAGCGTAGACAGGTACACCTCGCTCAGATATATAACCTAATGTTAAAAGATTGATTGTGTTGTAAATATCATGCTGCCGATGCTCACTACTAATGTATCTCCGTTATGCCACCACACGCCATCATGCTTACAAAGTTTGCGCCAAGCAATATCTTCTAATAGATAACAGTCATGTTAGTGAATGGTTTTGATACAAGTAGTAGCAGCAGTAGTGCGTGAGCCTACCTTGAGCGAGAGCTAGCAAAGTTCGACTTGCGACGTATAACCCACTATTAGCACACGAGAGCACCTAAATAATATGAGCAATCAGCATATATTCTAATTCAAGTCTGAGCTTTGAACAAAAAGCACGGTATTTACTGTTATTAAAATGACTGCATTCATTATATGTGCGACACTATCAAGGTTTCCTTTGGAAAACACTATCGTAAACGGCGATACGGTCGTGAAGTCCGAAAGAGTGGATGCTGTCGGACTAGTACCGGCTTCATTCCGTAATAACCGACCTATTACAATAGTACAAAGTGATGTGTTGACAGCAAATTTTAATATTGTGACCATAACAGCATAACCAAGTATACATATCCAACAAGAAAACTTACTATCAGTGTAAGGGATAACCATACCCATCACAAAAACTATCAGGTATGTTTAGCTACGATTACCGATCATTTCGATCTATTACTTTAGGTCAAATTTTTAAAATTCGATGATCCATACTTGCTCCAATGTAGAATATGATGATTCGCCAGAATACATTTTTGATAGCTCGTGGAACTTCCTATGGTAGATACGGAAGGAGATAAATATGAATGCCAACCAAAGCTCTATGGTCATATTTCATCAAATTCCTTCACATGGCTAGAGACGCAGTACCTTCTTTGGATTACCAGCTTCACCAGCCTATTGCGCAATGATCACCTTTCAACTTTCAGTATGCATAATTTTATGTCTATCAAACTTTTTCTAGAGAGAGAGAGTAATAGCGTTATGTACCGTAATGCCAACAATCTCGGTTCCTAAAAGTTGTGGCATAATTATTTAGCATTCGTCTGAGCTTGTAGCTTCAGCAAGTGCACACCGTAGCTTTTCCCCTCCCGTCCTTTTTAGTCCCTTCATTTCTTTTGTACCTTGCATACTGAAAGAGGCAAGAATAAGTGAGTCAACAATGCCCTGTGCTCCATTCGGGAATGCCCCTGGGTCAGACCAATACTTGAAACCGTACACTTCATCCCTTTTTATTCCGTTCGTGCGAGCTTGTGTTAATCGTTTCACAGCACTTTAACTTTTACACTCGTGCATCATATGTTAGCATCAAATACATGTTTAAAGAGCTTACCCAATGAGTCCACCCGATACAAGACATCCCACAATAATGAATATAATAACAGCAAGGATTTTAATCTATTTTTATTAGTAAAATAGAGAGATTTTTTTCTTTAGCGTAAAAGGTCACATCACCTTGGAACAATCTGGGTAAGATCTTACCAAACTAAACCAGTATTCGGTTTCACCATAACTCCGTGCTCCGAGCAAGTTGACCAACAAAACAATCACGAGCGATATCCCAGACCCTATAATACGACAAGCACAGAGAATAAAAATATTACAAGTTTAGCTCCTCATATTAATATCAAAGTAACATTAGAAGGAAGGCATCTGTGTTGGCGGTAAACACTTGTGTGACAATAAACTTACATGCCCAGTCCGGTAATGCATTGGTCCAGAAGCTCATGATTATAGGTACAGCCACAAGCTCACTTGCCACCACGACTGACCAGCATGCCCTATTGTAAATTATAGACAAGAGATGATGATAAGTAAAAGGGCTCAGCAATATTTATTAGGAAGAAAATAGAAAAAGGAGAAAAGCACGGTCATCAACAGCGTAGTAGTATTCTTGATAGTTGTACAGAGTTGTAGCAGTCCAAACCATGTTAGGCTAAGATAACATTACCAATAATTGTAGCCAATCATCGTTCCAAAGGAGTGGTCAACGAAGCGTCGACAGAAAATTGTGAATGATCCAGATACGGGTATATATGTCGACATTTCGCCTAGCGAATATGCCACCCAAAATACCAGTATCCCTATAAGACCGTATGCTGTAATGATATCAATAGAGGTGATAGTTTTTGTTGCCGTCGTGGAATGTATCGTGTTGTTGTTTGTGCGTACGAATTTGTGAGAAGCGCATGTAATTTGTTTCAAGTTTAAGTTGCATATGCATTACCTATTAGTGCACCTCCCGGACCTGATTATAAGAAGAAGAATTCATGTTAACGAGAGATTTTTGTTAAAGTGTATAATTTTCACAGAAACCAAAACTAAAAACAACGGACCAGCCTGATTGAGATTTGCGCCTGACGATAGAAAAAGACCTTGGCCGATGACGCCGCCTAAGGATATCATCTATATATTTCAAAAGAAATTATATGTGTGTCTTAGGTTTGGATAACAAGGCAAAACCTCCGTATATATATATATAAGAGGAAAAAAGCACGTACTGCCAAGTGTCGAGCTTTTAAAGATCGTTTCAGTTGCTGTGAAGAAGCTTTGCTCATAACAGAGCGCGTCGTTATGCTGTCATCGTCAAAATCGAGATCGAAGGGGTCGTTGTCTATAACCACTTGAACCCCTTTTCGTGATTCGCATACTGCTGTGAATCCACCGCCTATAATTTCTTCAGTTGAAGAGACATGCTTTTCCGGGTCGCTTATGGTGCTGCTGTACATGTGTACTTGTGTTTGAATGTTTGGTACAAAATGGAAAAGAGTTTAAAGGAAAGAAGAGGCGAATACATGATGTGGCGTCGCGCATATCATTTATGTCTATAGCAACAGAGACTCAGCATGAACAGATTGCCATATACAGATCATGAGACTACAAAGCCTTTTTTCACTTAAGAAAAATGTAGTAGACAGCAGCGGTTCGTTTCTAGCTTAAGTACTGGTGGTAGGGGCTGTATGTAGATAACTAGTTCATTAAAGTAACATCTACCTTGGACCGTGAAACGACTACCATTCTTGTTCACTCGGGTCATCCGATAATCACTGCTTTCCATGTTATAAGGAAGTGCGAGTTCGATTACTGTATTGCACGCAGCTGCTGATATCGCCACAACCGTTTATCCCAGGAAAGAAACATCTTTCAAACTCAAAAAACATCTCTCACAAGCGCATATCCAGCAGCCCTAATTTATTTGTTTTATAGAAGCAGCCAAGATACTGCAACTATGATATAAGATGACGGTATATGTGTCCTGGGGCTCCGACCCATTCTTGAGGAAATTAACACAGGGCACCTGTTCCATGTGATGTACGACAGATAGACAGAAGCTGCATAGTCGCGCATATTTATAAAACATTGAACCGACGGATGCTGTGTGCACTTCTTTGCACCAGTAGATCATAAAAGAAAGAACATTTATAATATATCAAGAACACAGGTACACCACATGTTTAAGTATGGTTTACATCTACTTTACTTGTTTTGAAAATATATTAAGATTTCGATCTAACTGTAAATCACACCTTCATGGGAAAATTGAAAATTTACAAGTAGTATGATAGTGCTTCTGTCGGTATGGGTTCCACTGGAATCGTTCAACAAGAAGCAAAGCGAGCATATAATATACAACACCAAACATAATGCTCTTGTCTTTCTTCATTGAAATTATATATACAAATTGTAAAGACATCGTTGTTCTTTGCAACGTCGTCACACAGTTTTTTCTGCAAGTGTCTCCCTTTTAAATCTATTTTTTTGCGTAGCAGGTCACATGCTTAAAAGTGTCTTACATGTAAAGTGTCGTGTGCGACGCGCTGATTCAGTAACTTTATCCAAATAAGCTTAACAATGCCAGCACAGCCTTGGCACCGACTTTTATGACCTGCGGCGCTTCTTCTTCAGTTTAGCTCAAGTAGAGCTATCCTGATTATGGAAGAGGATTGATGATGTTGCTGACAAAAGCCAATAGTAATCTTCTGTTGATGAAGGATTCGAAATTGAAGTGAGCTTTTGAGAATATTAAATTTTGTATCCAAATAGAACAGAGAGATACTCTGGTAAAAAGAAGATGTTCGGTGCAAGACATATTGCTGACCTTGATATGCAAAAATCTGTGCCGTCATTTACAAGCCCGTCTAAGAAAGTATTATTTGATTAATTGTGTGAATTATTGCATTTTAACGATAGATATGTGTATGTCCCATAAGACAATGCTAGTAGATTAATATGGTAGTACTTCAGAAAATGTTTCCTAAACACATTTGATCCATTTAGCTTTAATCAAATATATGGTCCACAACATCATATGTACTTAATTTTGATCCCAAAAAATTGCAAGAAACAGAGCCCGGAACGTGCACCGACAAGAAAACAGCTTACAACAGCTGCGCTTCCCTTTTAATCCTATTCTAGATGTTTCTCTTATTTGGCGCATTGATAATTGCATAATTCCTAAATTGTACTATGACGAAATCAAGAGCATGTAAGCATTTGAGACGAATATTATAATATATTGGTGTATGCTTACGAAACTCATGTATATCAACCATAAACTAAAGGTTTTGTCAAAGTGGATTCGATTAGGTACAGATGTAATGTGAATATGCTCATCACTCCTTTAACCTATTCAATTGCTGCGGAGCACCAGTAGATAATCGCAAATCATTTGGAAGCACAGTATCGAGATAATATCAAAGAAACAGCAGGATATTTATTTGGACATCAAAAATATAGCATAAATTCGTCAAATGTACGAGTTTATTGTATATATGAAGCTTTTCTAAATCGTACGAGAATGAATTATGTACACATAAGGAAAAACGTGTTTTAGCACTCCACGTAATTTGAGTCGGTCTCCATTTACTGCAGAGTTCACAGCATATCCTGCACGTCATCAGCATTCCTCAGCACATCCCACAACTCGCTCAATGTAAACGCTGCTCCATCATCGCGAGTCGCTACTCTAGTCACTGCAGCCACTGCAATCGGTTCCGGTTTACCGGGACATAAACGGTATTGCTTAGACTTCCTTGAAACAACGACAAAAAACGTAAAAGCTCAGTAGAAGGCATCGAAACGCCAAAGAAAACAGACCGTCAGTAGTAACGACACGAGCGGGACAGTTAGGACGACACATTTTTTCACAAAAGCTTTCCAAAAACCCACCCGTCATTCTGAAAAGAATTGGGAGCCTACGATGATTTCAACCTCTAGGGGAAACAATCATGCTTGATATAAAACGACGTTGTAAAAGAGTGATAATCTACATTGGATCATTGTTTCTTGGTCCATATATAGCCCATCATATATCATACAAGCGTGGTAAACATACAGCTTCGTTTTGTGAAAAAAAAAAAAAAACTAGGTACCAATACCGGCAGTAGCCCCATAGATAGGGAAAACTCCACGGTATGTATATTAGCAAATTAAGATGGTTCCTTTTTCTTCTTCAATGTGCATCTAAAAGCAGTTTTAATGGCATCTACATTTGTGTTTTTGTAGATGTATATGTTGACGTAAAAAATACTGCCGATGTTGGCGTTCCACTATTCTTATCATCGACTAACTAGCTCCGATGATTGCACTTGGGTGCTATAAATGCTTATTCTGACCTATATCCCTCTCTTCTTTGCATTACGCGACGTCTAACGTGTACTGTACCAGCTGCATCTGAATGCATTGGTTTAGAGATTTACATGCAAAAGCTGGGGCACTCTCACCAAATTCCCTAAAACATCGTTTGCGGATTTTTGAGTGAAGAAAGAAAAGATAGCGCGAAACGTTAAGATAAACGTGTAAACTACCCTACAGCACAGCCATGACAGACACACCCATTCTCTATGAGGTTAGCGCCACTGCATAGTTTCATCCGAAAGATACAAAACGCCGTTTGCTGCCGTTTCGCAAAGGCTTAAACGGTAATCTGAGAATTTTGGATGTTAGCCAACAACAGTGTGTTCTCTGGATAGCTGAGATCACATTATGTTCAGTTTCATAACAGTAGGGTGATGAGACAGTGAGATGTTATGCCATGGAAATATGGATAGAATTTCGCGTAAGCCTTTGTGCTCTCGTAAGTACATCTTTCGTAGTTAAAACCATTCTGCCGAGTTGGGAGATTTGGGTATAACTTCATCTATGGTAGAAATTAGCTGTGATATGAAGCATAAAGTATGCAACCGTCATTTGCGCACACCAAAGAGCTACATGTAAAAGGAGAAGCTTGATGCTGTCTTATCGGCTGTACTTCTACATTCATCAGGTCCTGTTTTAAAGCGATCAATGTTGCTGTATTAAAGCTATCACATTTCGCGTTTCGACGCATGTTCAGGTCCAAGTCCCCAGTGCTTAAACATGTTAATATAAAGTGTGGATCATTTGACTACACCGCTGTTTGCAGGACACGACCCTTGTTGGGTCTCAGGAAAGCATATTCGCTATTATTTGTGTGCGCGCTCTTGGAGTTTATCCTTGCTTCGATGTTCATAAATAGAAAAAAATGCGGATGATTCGAATTGTACAGATTGTTCCTTTAAATACGATATGCATCCAGGTTTTCTCATATAGACACTACTACTTGCATAAGAACGTGCCGGTGCTGTTTATAGAATCTGCAATTTGTCCTACTTCCCTTTCTCCATATGTCCTTTTTCTCGAAAGCTATTGCTCCTTTGCGTTTAGGAGTTTATGATCACCACATCGCCATCATAATTCGCTTGGCTTCAATAGAGTAAAGCTGAATCCTCATCGCGTGAAAAGCACTTTTTCCCGGTACAATATGCGAATGCTAGGTCCTGTACTTATAGTGATGCTTTTTGTTTGTTGAAGGGAAAGTAAGGTTAGAAAGAAAAATACTTAAAAAAGCGTGTTTTATAAATAGTTGATGACAAGCGATGCGAGAAAAGCAAATATGAATTAATATGTAGACATAGAAGAACAGCAATATTACCGAGTTATATAACATCATTAAACTAGCTTCTTCTATTGTTGCTGAGCTATGTAGCATCTCGAAGAGTCTCTCACAAATGTTCTCCCATTCATTTGGTTTCTAATATGTCTGCTCTATGTACTCGTTACTGCGTTATACGGTAACTTAAATTCTTCTAAATTCCAGAAAACGTTACCGTACTCATATAGTCTTACGTTTCAAATATCTCAAGTTGTCGGGTTCAACTTTAAAATACATAGTATCAAGTATCTTTTTGTCAAAAAGTTAGACTGTGTGGTTTATGTTACAAAGAAATATTTGACATTGTGAGAAGATATTATATGTGAGCTGTTGTTGTTTTTGTTTTTACATAACATTTAGAGTACATATAGGAATGACACGGTTGTTGTCGTTGTCGTTGCTGTGCTATTTAACAGGATAATAAGAGGGGTAATTTGGAGTAATAATAGTGGTAGTTATAGACGATGGGGATAAGGAAAAAAAAAGAAGGCAAAAATAATTAAGTGAAGACAATGACAATACGCTTCCAGATTCTTTGGCTCCAAGTACCGGTGATGGCACGCTCTTCAAGCATTTCATCCCGCAAGTGCTTCTCGGTAACGAGTTCAGAAACACCGGTATCCAAGTCAATTTCTGTCAATGGAACCATCTTGGAACGAGTCCACCATTTGGCGAATCCAAAACCAACGGCACACATAACAAGACCAGCGTAGTTACCAACAAGACCAACGGCATCTGGTGGATAAAAGTAAGAGTAGCCAGTGATCAAGGAGCAGACTACGCAGGCGAACATGTCAAAGATATCACCGAATGGATGCCTGATTTTGTAATGGAATAAGTACGTGATGTATCACCATTGAGTCTGGGTAGCATATAATCATCTTATCACAAGAGACAGTGGCCTTTTCTACTTCTCATATTTTCAGACGATTTCTCTGATGCTTACCAAATTGCCTTAAATGGTAGAATGTCCAGAGATCTGCCCTGAGCCTTGAATGCTTGGCGGAATCGGAAATGGGCAAGACAGATGCTTCCCCATGTGACAAAGCCCGCAATACCAGACAAGCTCACGAGAACCTGGTACAGAGCCTTTCCTGGAATCACCGACGTAACAAAGGTCACCAGACTCACGAGTGCAGTACAAATAAGGGCATAAACGGGCACACCGCGCTTGGAAATATAAGCTATACGTACGTGTTCCGAGAAGAAGCATCATATCGACAGCAGCGATGACGATGGCCGATTAAAAAGATGATACAGTTGGATCAGGTTTAGTTTCTTTCTGAAGATGGCAACAAACTTTTTCTTTTTCTCATGGTTACATATTACTAACCAAGCTTCTTCCACGCAATGCCTTCTTCGGCCAGAGCAAGCATGGTGCGGCTCGAGACATACAGGCCACTGTTAGCACAAGAAAGGACCTAAAAGGAGTAAAATAGTAAAAAAGGATCTTCATGAATGGCCTTACTCATCATACTGTAACGAGTAAAAATAGAATAGTTTTGGAAATTTTAATCTTTTTCTCAGTATTCGAACAGAACATACCGTGATCAGAATCACAACGTTCATAATATGTGCGACACTCGCTAGACTGCCCTTTTCGAACACAAGTGTGAACGGAGAGACGGTCGCGGAACCACTCTTCGTGTTCAGGTTATGAGCTTTATAATGTTGTAGAAGCAGAAATGATGAGCCTCACTGCTGCATGCATTACATGCATATTGTTCTTGCATGATTAGTAGTCTAAAGATAATCCCACTTACGATCATCCCATGGAATAACTTGGCCCATTATGAAAACTATGATTAACCATGACAAGAAATGTGTCAGTCACTAGAAAGAGATGTACGTTGCAAATGTTTGCATGTGTGTAAAGTATATCACCTGAGCCAAGGTAGAAAATGATAATACGCCAGAAGACAGTCTTGATAGCACGAGGCACTTGCTAAGCCAAACGAAATCAGTACATAACATCTTTTGCTGCTGTTTAAGAAAGAGGAACGAGCCTTTACCTTTAGTGGATTACTACATTCACCAGCCTATTAAGAGTACGATGATATATCAGCGGGTAAGTGCAGAGCAGTAATAAAGCTTCGCCACAAGTAGAAAATGAGAAGCACAAGAGAAAAACTTACGGTGATACCAATGATCTCAGTACCTTGCATACTGAACGACGCAAGCACAAATGAGTCAATGACACCGAGAACACCGTGAGGGAAGGCACCTCCGTTCTCCCAGTACTTGAAGCCGTACTTTTCATCACTATGTGGACAACGGCGCTTTGTTAGTTGCATTCGTTCAACGTTGATGAGTTGCTTTTGCCGCCGCCGTCAACTGCAACTGGAAAAGAAATATACCCAATAAGGCCACCGGAGACACAGGCGCCAACAATGATGAAAATAATGACTGCCAAAACCTTGATCTAAAAGATACAAACAAAGTCGCTGAGCAAGCAAGCAACGCTTTGTTGGCTACGCAGATCCACACTTCTACCACCGCCATGACAAAAATAGATAGGATGCTTACCATACTAAACCAATACTCAGTTTCACCATAGCTTCGTGCGCCAAACAAGTTGAGCAAAAAGATGACCACCAGAAAAATAAGCGACCCTGGCAGATGAAAATGTGGTTAGAAACATGCGTAGTCACTGTTGCCACTATCCGTACTTACACGCCCAATCAGGTACAGCACTTGTCCAGAACTGCATAACAAGCGGTAAAGCGACCAGTTCGGCTGCTACAATAATGGCCCAGCAACCCCTGTTTGCGATGTGTGGGGTATCAGATATAGTAAAAGGATCTTAGCTTCTAGTTGCCCATAATGAACGTACCAGTAGTTGTAACCGACCATGCAACCGAATGAATCATCAACGAAGCGTCTGCAGAAGATAGTAAATGAACCAGACACCTGAACAAATGGAAGTTCATCAACGATACAATAAACAACAAATAAGTTATTATTAGCTTTCCTTCTTCATGCATATGCTCATGCTCGAGGGCAAAGAACTTGCAGATCACGGAGGAAGGGGGAAGGGAAGGCGCTTTTTTCTTCTCTTACCGGGATGTAGGTGGCCATTTCACCCAGTGAGTAGGCGACCCAGAATACGATAAAACCGACAATCGCGTAGGCTGCATTAAAACGATCGATGATAGCGATAAGAGCAGAAATAAGAAAAGAGTCAGAAAATTCTATTTTTGCTTGCTTCTTGATTCTACCTGATTTGCAGCATTACCAATCAGCGCACCAGCAGGACCTGATAATTATTACAGATACAGAGGGTACAAGTAGTGGATTAGCCCTTCCTTTCTCCTTTGTTGTCACGGTCTTTTTTTGCCATTTACCTCCGTGATTCAAGTTGGCGCCGGCGGACAAGAAGAGACCTTGGCCAATGACACCACCTAATGCAATCATCTAAAACCATACACATGTTTAGTGCTGGGGCAGTACTTTGTTTCTGTCAGTATCTCTAACCGTCAAATGGCGAGTTTTTAGCGAGCGCTTCAGCTTGTGCTTTTGTGGTTGACCCCCATTTTGGTCTTCAACAGAGCCTCCATCGTGAGACGAAGTATAGGAGGGCACGGGCTTGTCATCATCCGACGTGGTTTGATGCTTTTCGTTGCTGGCACTACCACTATCCATCTTCGCCCAGTGTGTGTGCGTGTATCAAGGAAAAAGAGATGAAAAAGGAAAGGGATAAAGGAAACGGAAGAAAATCAGGCTGTTACAACCACACGCATTTATAACCATTTTCATACCTGTTTTGATGCACATATTCTCTCTCACACGCATGCATCTGACGCAGCCAGATCTTCCAGGATGGTCTCACAAACACACCAGCGAATAATCCGTATTACCAAGCGAGAGGTGTGTTTTGTGAGCAGAATATCTCGCGATCGGTAAGCTTATTTTTCTTCTGGATCACACATATACGCACACAGAGCAAATCACGCATCGCACCGATTTACTCGATTTACCCTGGACCGTCCCCACCCGACGGAACAGCCCAACAAACAGCAGCGCAACGCCAGCAACAATGGTGATTGGACACCAGCTATCTCTCTCTCTCTTTCTCTCTCTCTTCAGCAGGGCTTGTCAAAGACTACTGTGGTACGTCGGGTGTGCGCGTCTTGCACTTTATCAAGGTTGCTATCTCTTCTCTGGCGATAGAACACAGAATTTTGATAATAAAATATCGCAAGAAAAGGGAAAATAAACACCACGAATGGCAATTAACGCTCCCCTTCCCACGGAAAAAACCGCCCTTTGGGAAATAGCAAACCATAAGCGGAATTTTCTTTACTTGGGCCAGTGAAAAAGGCATATATACCATTTCTGAGAGCGGCGTTACTCAATGAAGACCTGTTGCTGCTGTATTGTTCTGTGATCTGATGTTCGTTCTAGCTTCATGTCGATAGATGCATATTGTCTTCTTTTCCGCAACAAGAGACAAACAGATGGCTGGGCCCAGGTCTCTATTTATTATGAATGCACTAGTGTGTGTAGAGAGAGACAATACACCAAATATGGTGCATTTTCAAGTTATTGTAGCACGTGTGCCACTTGCTTTGTCCGTTGTGTTACATTCAGTGGTGTCCTCTTTACCCAATCCAAATCAGAAAAGTCACCTTCTTGTTTCTAATCACCTGTTCTTCTCTCAATACAGTACAGTGAAGATAACAAAACCGATGATGGTGAGAGCTGTTTAGAACGGTATGTCCTACACACATCTCCCCAAGTTGGGACGATAGAGTTTTGATACGATAGATAGATAGATTGCATCAAGGAAAGTTTTCGCGGGAATCCAGATCACCTGCCAAAACGAGAGAAAAAGAGAAGCGGATCTCTTTTTGCCTTCTCAAAGACCAAATTAAAACAGCTTTTCACACATACACTCATCACTCCTCTACTCAACCCCCGCGGCTCTTTCTCTCTCTGCCACCCACTCCATCATCAGAAAGCCCACTTGAGTGTGGATACACGAATGACATAACTTTATTTCGCCAAAAACTGTGACGCCCCATCTTGGCTGAATTTACCTTTCTGTCACCCTGAGTGACACAAAGACATTGAATCGAGTGCTCCATACCAATTAACAATCACTGTACCCCCGCTCCCGTTAACGAAATGGTTCCTCAGACCGGCTCACTCCACTGACCATGGAGCGCTATGGCTCAAACTCTGCATTACTTCATGCACTTGCCGCAAGCCCTCAGTTGTCTCACTCTATATATCCACCAGCTCGATGCTGCGGCTTGGATTGAGAAGAGAGCATTTGCTCAAAAGCCATCATCACCACTTGTAGTCCACAACCATCACCGTCACAACAATGTCGATGACCGTATACCACCAATGACGACGACGGTGCGATTCGACAATATCATTCAATTAAAGATTGGCGCACAACGATGGACAAGCGAAGGATCGATTCAGTCTAACAGCGATGGCCTAACTTACGCTAGCTTCTTGGTGTTGGTTATTATATCTACTGAGCTGTAAGGGGGTATCATCATAAGCGCTCCTTCTACAGATCTCGACATCTATTATTCCCACAGTGCCTCAAACTCGAGTATTATATGGATGACACCAGTTTCCCTGAAAGCGAAGACAACATCTAGGATAGGATCCAGCAAAGCACTGAGATAGAAACCAATTACTACTACTACTGCAACACCAAGAACTTGATGATGATGATGGTGGTGGGTCCTTTTATCACCTTGCCATATGTGAAGATCACGCCTACCACTATTAACCCGACTGTTGGCCAAACACCAGCACCCGTTGGAATAGCCAAACAAAAATACAATGGTCCTGATCGGCCACCATTATCTCCATCGCTTTGCATGGCCCAGCTGCACACATTGACACTTACAGACATTACTTGAAATGTTCCTGCCGCGTTTTTTACTATGCTTGGTCATTTTTCTCGTATCGAAACAATCGACTTGGATTTCAAGGCATTTTGGATGAATAACTTGGCGTTGGACTATCAGATGTGGTGCTCTTACGTATTCCTTTGCGACAACCATGTACGATCAAACCAGCTGTCCGTATTTGCTTGTCGAAATAAACGAGCGTGATTGTATTGCATTTATGGAACGATTACCTGCAGTGGAGGAGCTTATTTCGATACATCACGGCATTGGATTCGGTTGCTGCTATCCATTTATATAAACGCATTGAAAACTTTACAGATCTGCAATATCGAAAAGCCCACCATGAGTGGCACTGCCATCATCAACAGCAACAGTGACCGTGCACGTGTGGCAACGATGACAACAACTACTATGGTGTGAGCTACCATGATCCTGCTTTACATATTGCGTTCGTTTTTTCTCATGAGCTGCGGGACGAGGGAATGAAAATGGCAGCTGTACTGAATAACGAATATACCAAACGCCGTGACAACCGACCTCCTATCGATTCAGCTGATATACCGACGCTTTATACCCTTGATGTAGTTTTTCGTGACCGGGTACAGTGTGATAGTGTCGAGGAACGAAAGCTGCTTCAACTAATCAAAAGTCTGCAGCTGAGTGGGTGTATCGAGGATTTGAAGCTCTACGGCATCTGTCATCTATATGGGCATCACCATCTTTTGCAACATGTCTTGGTCTTCCGATACTACAAGGAATTGACTTGTAAGGGCTTTTGGTATTACTTCTATCCAAGAACAGCACTCTGCGCGAGATTAAGTTTTGGGGCGTCTACGATGATGACCATTACTTGTGGATTGTCATCCTTTCTGGGTGGTTAGTCTTGTTATAAAAGTTTGCAGGGGTCATAATTGGTCGGTAGACACGTTCACGTGCAGCTTGTTAATAGTATTGGTATACTCATATCATAATTGTCAGAATATTTACAAACACAGGTGCATCGTCTAATCAACAAGCGTCAGATACTTTGCCTTCTCTGCGGTCACGTGAGAAATGTTATGGTATGCTGATGGCTCTGACCATTTAAGTATCTGATGGCAAATGGGTGCTGCTATACATAGAGCCGTAAACTAGTATACACGTATGCCCCGCCGAGCTCTTAAAAATATAAACAAAAGCTCAGTATGGTAATTTTTTTAATTAGATCCCGTTTCCACTACATATCGCCCGTACAATCAATACGCACTTGACGCATAATATAAATTTAACTTTAGCAGCAGTAACAAGGTCATAAAATAAAGCAGCACAAGTGTTGTCAGTAGTGTACTATCTCACATTGATCTTGAAAAGGCTTTAAATATTCATCAAGCTAAGCAAATGCTGTGCCCAAAACAGAGCAGCATGTGGCTATTCTATACACTTCTTGTGCATCGGTGGTGGTAATAGAACAATCAACAAAGAGTGACTGAAACAGGCAGCATGCGCATGAATACGACGTATGTCTGAAATCATCACACCATATCGATCATCTTATGTTTCAGAAAAACATCCTCCAGCACCGCCATCAAGAGCAGTGAGTTGTTTATTATCTTTTATCATTTTCTAGATTGGAGGGCCCCCTCATGAGCAGGCCCTGTAGAGTTGATGTTCAAGTCGAAAGACGCATAGAGGCTGGCCAAACCCCTTAAGACAAACCGAATGAACAAATAAACTCGTCTATCTGGAAAAGCGCGACGAACGAACATAGTTGTACCACTATGCTCAACCCACGAGCTGTTCGCTTGGTGTCAAAACCCAAACAACCTCAAAGAGATCATTGAGGAGAAGCAGAAAAAGTAAAAGACATGTTTCTTTTTATACCATTTCTACACACCTCTCAACTTTTGGTAGCTAGTCATTGCGCGTGTGTGAAACTCATGTGGTGTGACTGAGCCCTATTGATCTGGCTGTAGAGACTGCATAATGAATCGCTATTGCTCCTCCGACACATTCCAGAGCACTTGATATAAATAGCAGCATAGGATGAGGCCATAGGTCTCATCCACCACCGCGAAAAGAAACAAGTCCTGTATGAGATGACTTTTGCAGACGAGGACATCTGCAACCTGGCACTGGAAAAGGGCGTTACCGTCGGTGATGTTCACTTCCCGGCTGTCAGATCGCTCCCTCCGGAACACGATCTCACCAAAGTACAACTCGAAAAACTGCCTACAGGCGTCAAAATGTATGAGCTGGAGGTCTTGTTGCGCCAAACACTTACCCAATTCGGACACGTGTTGCAACTTGGATTATACCGCTCTGTAAAGGGTGGTTGGTTCCAGGGTAAAGGATACGCAGTGCTCATGAAATCTAAGAACACCACCCCAGAGTCGTACAAGCCCCTCACCCACAAGGTCGACTTCGGTCTCGTGCAAGGCCGAGAACGGTCTTTTTACGCTACTTGGCAATCCATGGGTGATTACTGCCGATTGTCACTCCCAAGACCACACTCTGAAACAATGTCCAAGCCGCGTTCAACCAGAATGCTTCAACTGTGGAATGATCGGTCACTATGCGAGAGAATGCGATCATCCACACAACGCACTCCCGCGCAAACAACCAAAGACGACGACTGGTTCAGCATCGCCAATAAAGTCGACGACAACCAGCAAAGGTCCAAAGAAGACCAAAACCCAACAATCGCATCCACCAGCTCAACATTTAAGTGATACACAATCTGATCATCGCTCTCATAATGTTCACTCGAAGTCAGCTTTGGACAAAACGATGATTACCATTCCAAACCCGAGGCCACACCAAAGCAACAACCCAAAGGGAACTCCAAACGTTGAAGTTCCCAGCCTAAACATGTACCCATGGTCACCGAGGAACCGCTCAGCGACAACACGGATACCTCAGACGAAGAATTCACACCTCCAACAGACGATGAATCATCATCTCAATCATCCTCCGATGAAATTGATAAGGATGAAACAGAAGACATGATACTCTGCTCGGACGAAGTGGATGCATTGACAGGATGCTACCCAACCGCTTCCGTCGGAAGCAGGAGGTTTGGATTCCGCCTTAACACACGAAGAGCACCGGAACACGTCGCCTATCAGCACACCATCGGGTGCCTCGGCCTCGAAGCACAATCCCCAGCAGCAGCAAAGTGAAGACTCAAGCGACGACAACAAATTCGACGCCACTGAGTCAACGTCCCCTGACAGCGGTCCACAGCACGCCAACGACTTGATCACCGGTCAATCGTCCGCGGAGACTATGGCCTCTGATTAGATTAACCCCTCCCTTTTATAGGGATCGGAAAGATTTTTATAGTCTCGAACTCCTTCCAATCCTGCAACAGCCAAATATGATTCCGCATGGTGATAGGTTGTTTATCCTTGGAGATTTCAACTATTCATATGCGCAGCGCGACCCATCATTCATGAAAGCAGCACCAAAAGAGTGGTGCGCACACTTGAATGAAAACTTTGTCAACCTGATGCTGCCGTCGGACGGATCCAATAACCTCACGACGACTTCTACAACGGACGAGGCACATCGTCAATTGATTATATCTTTGCGTCATCATCACTCTCCCTGCTGTGTTCGGCACCCGATGTCCGCCATGTGAATAGCAACTGGACAAATCGTGCATTGATAGTGATCAGTATGCGGGCCAGTAATATCCGGCAGGGTCAAGACATATGGGGAGCCAACCCACTTATTGTCAACTCGGTACAGTTTAAAGAAAAACTGAATTCAGCACTCTCATCGGCACATATAAGAATTGCCAACATAGCCTCGCCACAAGAGGCCTGGGATGAAGTCAAAAAGATTGCGAAAGAGGAATGCCGTCAATATGGACTTTATCTAGCCAAGAAAAAAAGACCATCGCGAAAAACACCTACTTCGTCAACGTAATAAGATGATGCGCCATTTCAAGACAACAGGAAGTCGACCTCAGCGCCTTGCTGATATTACCGCCGAGCTCAACAAGATTCAAAATGATCACGCTAGAATTTTAGCTATCAAAGCTAATGTCCGCTGGAGAGAGCGTAGCGAAATATTGGCCGGCTATCTAAAACGCACAGCACAACAACGAATGGCACAAAGGAACATCCTCCAGCTAGAACATCCAGTAACAGGCATCGTAGACTCTTCGATTGATCATATGCATCAAGCAGTCTGTTCATTTTATTCACAATTATACTCACCGGAACCGACTGATGCAGCAGCAATATCAGACCTGTTGGACCATTTACCGCCATCATGCGTGCTCTCATAAGAATCTTGCGACATCTTAACAGAAGGCATGACTCTCGACGAGTTACTTGACGCAACCAAACGTGTACCGAAAGGAAGCAGTTCGGGACTAGACGGCCTGCCCTATAACATGTTGTCTACCATTTTCAAACACCCGTTATATGGCAGAATGGCTGTTGATATTTACAATTCAGCTTTACATCAGGCACTATTCCCAGCATCATGGTCAGACACATGTATTTATCTCATTCCGAAGAAAGGGTAGCTCTCCCAACTACGAAACTGGCGTCCAATTGCATTGATCAACACGGACTCTAAAATATTTACCCGTATCATGAACTCACGAATAGTCCGTGTTAGTAATGCATTATTTAACAAGTATCAGACGGGTTTCGTGCACGGACGCTACATCGCAGACAATGGGCTTGCTGTACGACTTGCTATGGACCATGCCGCCAGCGTAAATGCCGATGACGTCGGTTTATCTATGGATATGGAAAAAGCGTACGACCGCGTTCATCCAGAATATCTCGAATGTTGTCTTAGCAAATGGGGATTCCCAGCAAAGATCATATCTTCTATCAAGACTCTTTTCTTCGGCAGCAATCTACGAATTAACATAAACGGGTCCTTGTCTCCAGCATTTAAACAACAACGTGGCGTTCGACAAGGAGACCCTCTCTCGCCTATTTTGTTCAATCTGGCCTTAGAGCCTTTCTTGGTCCGCATCCTCAACGATGAACAATTACACGGATATGATATATCGATGGCAGCAAGTAAAGCTCTTACCCCAGTCACACCGTCTCCGACTAAACTAAAGGTTCTAGCCTACGCCGATGACTGCTTTGTTTTCATTCATAATGAATCAGATTTGCAACAAGTCCGCCACCACTTAAACACCTACTCCAGAGCATCAAACGCCAAGGTCAATATGGACAAAACGCACGCCATATCGCTATCTGGCAAGTCGTCATCCACTTTGCGCTCGTGTTTGGAGGGAATGGGCATTAGATCATGGTTCGATCGACGAGCCCATCAAGCCTTGGTATATCTCGGATATCCTTTGTATCAATCGCCGCAGCAACGGGATGGCTTCCTGGACAAACTCCTAGGCAAGATCAAATCAGCCTGCAACATCCATGCGCACCGGGCACTTTCGATTCGCGGTCGAGCGACAATTCTGAATGTGCTGATATTATCATCACTTTGGCACGTCTTACGAGTTTGCGCGGTCCCTCAAGCATTCCAGAAGAAAGTTCGCAGCATTTGCCATGACTTCTCGACTAAAAAGATGTTTCCCAAGATTGCATTTCACCGACTGGCACCACCTCGCAAACAAGGGGGCTTTGCAATATTAGTCCCGGAAGCACAACAACCAGCACTCCAGCTCAGATGGATCCAACCTATGTTTACTAATGACACCAAGCAGCGATCGTTCATACATTCGTGGATAATTAATACTCAGGCAACATGGACTCCAAACCAGGACCCACATATGTGTCTCCTATTTCCCCGACTTCGGACCGCTTCAATGAGTAAACCCGTCAGCTTCTCAAATCAGCTATGCAAGGCCTTAGACAACTTTACGGTTGACTATCAATCCCAACTCATACCAACCGCTACAGTTCTACAACTGCACGTCCTAGATGCCATGACGCCGACACAGCGCCCGCTCACCAAAACCTTAGACGTATGCTTACGACGCATTGCCAAACACAGGATCCTAATGGATGATTTGTTCATCTTTGATTTAGCGAATGGCTGTTTACGGAGACGGCTCGCCACGGAATTCTTGATTTACCCGCGCCTTTTGGGTCTACTGGTTCGCTTCTTGGACTTGGGTGAGTTGGGATTCCATCCAGCGGTGTTTCAGACTTTGATCCCGAGGCATCTTCTTCACAACTCTATTGATCCCGCTATCCGTGAACATAAGGCGGTCGATCTGGGAGCATGGTGCAAGGTCCAAGATAAACAATTGACCACGATCACAGCAAAAGAACTCAGACAAGCAATCATCGACAAGTCTATACACGTCGAAGCCCGGGAAAACACGATCTTAACACCTAGACAATGGGATACCTTCTGGCGATTGAAGATCTCGCCAACGGCAAGGAATGTTTGGTATCGAGCGCTTCACAATAAGATTTCATGCCGTAAAACTCTACAATCATTCATGCCCTCCGAATTCACATCCGCTGTATGCCCAATTTGTAACCAAGAAGAAGATGATTTGTCTCATTTCCTGTACCAATGCCCTCGCAAATGGTCGATCTGGTGCTCCGTGTGGCCCGACCTACTATTACAATCTGTTACAGAATCTGCTGTACACAATGCCATCTTTCACCTGTATTTTCCCCAAAATGCTCCCCGTCTCCCTTCAGATATAATTATCAGCTGTATATTAGAATGTCTTTGGAACGCCCACTGGCGCTTTGTTTTAAACAACTCTCCCTTCGTTCCCGATAACATTATAACGCAAATCCATTCTCTTTTGTTAACCCGCACCCAAGAAATTCTTCCTTCTATCGCCAACTAGCCAAACGCTACTTAGCTTCTTCTCCTCACCTCTCATATTTAATATGCACGTGACTTGAAATAAAAACCGACGTAATAATTTGTTGCGCGCCTAAAAAAAATAAAAAAATAAATAGCAGCATTGGCAGTCGTGTCAACGACATAACAGCAGGATTGCCGAAGTAATATACCAAAACACACACACCAAAAACTTGGATTTACAAACAATAATCAAAATCCTCCTCCAAACCAGTAATCAGGTTGTCAATACATATACTGTTATAAATAAATCTACTGGCGTCATACATACTATCCGGGCCGCATTGAGAGCAATTTGAAAATTTACATATACAAACATTTCTTGTTGTTCGAAAACATGGTTTGGAATGGTCATAAAGTCGCTAGTAAGGGGGATCAGTGGTTACATAGAGGGAATGGGATATATATCAGTTGCTTTGCAAAAAGAAAGGGTCCTGTTTTTAACTAACAGGCTACTACTGCTATTACTACAAATGCCATATCGAGAGAGTGAGTCAACGACATTTTCTGTTTTAATCATTCTTCATCGCCTGCTCCACCTTTCATACTGTCACTCGGTTCCAAAAGACTAAAATATGAGTTTGTTGAGGGGTTGAGATGTACGACGTGAATTAATATCGCGAATATAGTTGGCTAATCCGCCTTTTCCCGTCATCCTTTCGACTCTCGCTTGTGCGTTGGTGCCAAGAGACTACACTTCTCTATAATCTCTTTTTGTGCCATCACTTTACCTGTACTGTTTGAGCAAGACACACTCGCCGCCGTTCTCCAGATCAATATTGAATTGATAAAAGTAACCTTCTGATGTCACAACCATCACTTGCGGTGTTGTACTATAACAGTAATTAGAATAGAATAGGATAATGTTGACCAGAAAAATCATTGGCTTGAGTTGGTTAATAGTATGTACACCTTCATTTTCACTTTACCACGTTACGATAGTTGGCTATTTTTCCTGATCTAGACATGTATATCTGCAAAAGCACGCTTTTTACCTGCTTAAAGCAACCAGACTTCGTACCCCAGCACTCGGTAGTTTAAGCCATGCAAAATCCCTTGACGGTTCCCACATCTCTGTGATCATCTCTGGGAGGTATGAGCCTACACTACCAGCGATATTTCGTCCAATGTGAAGCGAGGATCGTCGGAGCATTTGACTTATAACAAAAAAACAATGTCCATATTACGGGTTTTTTGTTTCATCGTTAGCCATTATTCATCTTCTTTTTTACCTTTCAAAACTCTATCCACTCTTTCACCAAATATGATGAAACACAAAGAGAGCAAAAGAACACACACGGAGAAAATCATCCAAAGAAAGAGAAAATGGTTTTCGTTTACCCAACACTTGAACTTCGGCTTCGTAATTCGTTGCCGTTTTGATCATTGCCGTATCCGACTAGTCCTCCTCCTGATTTACCATCTAATCCTCCTCCATTGCCACTGTAATCGTATCTATTTCCGTTTCCATTAATACTGCCAGGGGCACCGGTGCCCGTCGATAATTTGAAAATGTGAACCGTCTCCGTATCACTCGAGACACACAATAGTGAGCCCACCAAATTGAATGACATAGAATAGATTTTGGCTGGGTATGATCCTCGACGGAATTGATATAGCTTGTTAGCGCCCGGGATGGAAAAGACTCGAATTACTGTACCCTGTTATACATAATGTATATATCTTAGGTATAGTACGTGTTTTGTTGCATGTATGTTATGCAACAGGACGTGAATTCGATCCACAATGCGCATCAAATAATCCACCAGCGCTTTTCTCAAGGTACCCAACAGCAACCACAACAAGAACCTCGCTCTCTTTCGTTCTCTTCTCAAAGATAATGTACCTTTTCACTCGCCGTAGCCAACAAGGTGCCTTCTGCATTCATGGCAATGTTGCTGATCGGACTTTTATGTGCCTGAACGATATTGACGAGCTGCAGCGTCAGTGCATCGAAAATCTCCACGTCCCCCGTTGCATAATACGGCTGCGGAGTCTGATTGTTCGTAGTGGTGAACAGTGAGGTCGACGAAGACCGACTTGGATAAGCAATGTAGCAGTTTTCACTCGAGGGTGATAGCGCACAGACAGCTATATTACATAATAATAACAATAATAGATAGGGTTTTAGACGCTGTTTAGCCTCATTTTCCAACTGATAACGACCATATTCTTGTATCTTCCTCTCCTTTCCCCTTCAGGTCCCAGACCCTTTCTTCATTTTGTTACCTCCGGGATTGGGACTCGTATCGATGGTATGAAGCAACTTCATGTTACTGATATCGTAGACAAAAATCTGTTCTTCCAAGACAACAATCAACCGCCTTCGATTCATCTTAACTGCAAGAATTGATGCCGGGAACGTCAACTCGCATATCGTCGATTGTCTCTATTTGTGGTAGTTGTTGGTTTATCATATATCATACATTTATATATGCGTAGACGAGGAACAGGTTACTTTGGGTTACTAAACAGCACACACACACACACACACACAGAGTCCCAAATAATATAAATTAAAGAATGCAATTACTTTGGTATTAATAATTTGCAAGTGTCTTGGTGAAAATGTAGGCTGTTCTCCAGCGCCTACAAGAGCCACAAGCGAAGTACAGAATAACATTTCCACAATACCCGTACCGTCATCGGCTAATTATGATAACAGCAAGCATTGTAAATTTTAATTAGAATTGCAATTTGATAAAAAGACAAAGTTTTTTTACTCTCTTACGTTTCGAGTAACATTTGCTATAGGGATCGCAATTGTATATCCTGTAACCATGCTTGCTGCCCAGGGAGATACAGCTAAAGTCTTGGTTGAAGTTTACAAAGAGTAATTCGTTGGTTGACTTGTCGCCTAAGTTCATTCGTGTTGTTGTAGCAAACGGGAGGAGAGTTGTTTAATGGAAAAGAGAGAAGAGGTGTTGTTGGGGACAGAGTGTAACAATAAATCGGTTCTGTTCACAGGATTGAATGAATATAAAGCTTAAACCCGAGAAGGGGGACCGCTACCCCGCTTTTTCTCTTTAGTTGCTTCCCACACACATTAAAAAACACTTGATACTCTTTCTTTTCCTCCAACGGTATTACTCGTGAAAACTTTCTTTTATACAAGATGAACAAGGTATGACATGTAGTAGTAGCTGTAGGAGATGTTTGAATGTGCGTGTCGTGTACCGTCGTTGGGTTGGATTGTGCTATTACTGCTTGGCAACAGCTTGGATTTTGTGTTCCTTTTGGAACGATTGGAAGTCCTGTTCTCTTCGCTTGTATGATTGCAGCAGTTGTTGGATCACCTGCTGGATCTGTGTAATAATACGGTACAATGAGTTTACCTTATGCACTCCTTCTGAATCCACACAAATTATCGGATAACTTACACCGTTAAAGTTCGTTTCCAGTGCTGGTAATACTTCTTTGACCGTTCGTTCAACAAGCACGCCACCCACCATACGGAAACACTTACGTTCGGGCTCCAATGGTGAAATACTGTCAATTACGAGCCTACGATCGAAATATACATTTCCCCGCATTTGATTATGAACACATTTCTTATGCGCCTGGCTTTTCTAACCCAAATCTGTAATTACTTGTGTTCCTCAACTTCAGATTCCAGCTCGCCAATCTTTTGCGCTAACTGTTGCAATTCACCCTTGAACTTGTTATACTGAAAGCAAAAATAACAAAAGATTAGTTCTCTCAACCTTTTTCATCACGCTAGAAAATGGTGTTTTGCTAACAAAAATAGAGAATTTACTTGTTGTGTAATTTCGGCTTCACTGGGCTTTTTGCTAGACATGATGTAATTCGGATTCGAGCGATTCAAAAGGTTTAACAGGGCCGACCAAACCGCGTTTTTGACGCTTCAAGCCTTTTTTTTCCAAGTCATTAAACTCCGGTTCCTGATTTGGTTCGGTTCGTCCCACCTTCAATCGTCGTATACGGTGCGTCAAGTTAAATTTGTCAGCCAGCCGAACCACCGCGCGATATAAAAAGGAAAAGAATCCCATGGGTTTGTCAGAATCGAAAATTATGCCTTCACCCGCACCAAAAAAGTTATTCAAGGTGAAATTTCAAGAGAATTGCCCTGCTTCTCTTCAGTAAAGTTCTCGTAAAAAGATGTTTCTAGAGGAAACGCTAATGTTGCGTTTATGCCCTTGTTTATGTAGACGGAGTTCGCCGTCGAAATGACCTGTCAATCGTGTGTGAACGATATTGACAAGGTCTTGAAGCAATTCCCCGGTAAATGTCATGCTAAAATTTCTTCAGTACATTCGCTTTTGCTCAAACAAAACGCACCTCCGTATAATTTGCCCAATTTTCTAGATATCAAAAAGTACGATATCGATCTTGACGAGCAGCGCGTCATGGTGGAAGGCACCAGTAAGTTTTTAGATTAATAATCAAGCAGGCCAAAGGCAAAAAGATAGAATCGATGATCAAACTACACATCGAGCACCAATGAAGTGCACATCACTTATGCACCCTTTAATAGTGGCTCCTTCGATGATTTCTCGTGCATTGAAAGATAGTGGTCGTACTGTCATTATTCGTGGCCAAGGCGTATCTGATGGGCAAGGTCACTCTGGTGCCGCCGTATGTATTTTCGACACCTTTGGCAGCAATCCTTCACAAAACCTACCCCAGGGCACACAAGGTCTGGCCCGCTTCGTACAAATCGACGATGCAACCTGCTTGATTGATTTGACTGTGGAAGGATTATCGCCTGGTAACCATGGTGTCCACATTCATGAGTTGGGCGACATTTCGCGTGGATGGATGTCAACAGGTGATCATTTCAACCCGACCGATGTTGATCATGGCGATCAAGAGACAGGCCATGTCGGTGATTTGGGTAATATCACGGTGGATGAAAATGGATGGGGCGATTTGGTCTTGGAAAGTACGCGTGTCAAGGTCTGGGATATCATTGGTCGTAGTATGGTGCTCTCTCAGAATGAGGATGATTTGGGTCGTCTCTCGACAAAGGAGTCCAAGTGGGATGGCAACTCGGGTCCAGGCGTGCTCTGTGGTATTGTTGCTCGAAGTGCTGGCGCATTTGAAAATATGAAGAAGGTCTGTGCCTGCTCTGGCAAGACGTTGTGGGAGGAAGCACGCATCCAGCAACAGGATAAAAAGGTTTCCTCCTTGTAGAAATTGGCGTCACTCGTCTTTCGTATAATACCCTTCCTGTTCTTTTCCAAGCGCCATACATCTCACTCACAAACCGCTCAATGTAATATGTTTCTCTTTTATACACAAATATAAAAGATGTGTTTATTTTTGTTTATTTTGATGATGCAATGTCTGTAAATTGATGTCATGTATATTGCTGTTGTCGCAATGGCAGTGGTGGTATGCTCTTTTTTTAGTGCTCTTTCTATATGTGTCCTTGTTGTTCGATAAGTATATGCTGTAGGGATAGAAGGGAAGCTGTTGCGGGGATGGGAGATGGGGTATAAGAATGAGAATTATCGCCGCTGTTGTTTGTTTTGATGGTTTTGTTGCACTGTCTTAAAATGAGCCAGTAACTCTTCAAAGTTGATTGTTTCAGAAGTTTGTTTTGTGTTGCTATTGTTAGAATGCGATGATGATGTTGATTTTGTAATGCGTGCTGGTGTTGTGCGGGTGCTGATGCTGGAAGAAGCACTGCTAGTAGTAGCGCTATAGAAACATTAATAATAATAACAACGGCATCTATCCAACGCTTGGCAGCCGGTATACAATAGGTAAGTGTGTCGAACATACCTCTTGGGCATGACGTGCATGAACCCTAAAGAAGATGCACTGTTGAGTCGACTACGCAGGGTGGTGAACGCAGAAGATTGTGGTAACAGCATGAATATGCCATATAAGCATTTGAACAAGTAAGGGTATCTATCCGGCTCCAGCAATTGCAATCGAAGATCTATTTCCGAGTAATACATAACAATACGTTAGATCCCTCCCTTCGTGTGCTCGCTTCTACAAGGTAATACTGCTTTTCGCTATCTTCAGCTTACACGCAAACGCAGGTGATTCCAATAGTTGTACCAGCTGATCCAACTGTATTAACATGTTAACTGTGATTTCCATATCTGCGCTATATAAGATAGAAGACTATAAGTATTGCCGGGTTTGTCATAAGACTCCGTGTGTGTATAACAAATAGTTCGAGATTGTATGTAAATTTACTACTTACAAGATTTGTAGCATGCTTGCAGCAAGTTCATAAGCCTGTGCTGTTAATGCAAGAGAAAATGCAGCTACAGGGTTGTGTGACCATGACTTATAAAGCGTCAAAAAGAGCTGTTGTCCGTGCTATAAATCATGCAATTATTTAAAAGCACGCACACAAATCACGCGATTATTCTCCTTCAGTCCCTCCCCTCCAATACCTTTGTATCCAAGCACCGTAACTGTTTTCGTAAGCAATTCATCTCCGAGGATGTGATCATTATTATGTTCAAGTTCTGTACCATCATGCTTGCAAACTCCAGATCCTATTTACGTATAATCATGCGAAATACGAGCACATTAGTAGCCACCCACATTGCAGCTGCTGTTTTAGCTGGCTGACCAGTAAAGGACATGAAAAGAAGTTACCTTATCATGCTCGAGAATGTCAGCCATGGTGCGATACATTTTCTCGACGTCCAGATTGACGCACAACTGACGAATGATGAAACTTCCCCGTGACTCGAGTAGTTGACGCTTAATCTCGAAAAGCGACAGCAGCCTTTTGACAAATGCTAGAAACGCATCGTCATTTGAGTGCGCTGCTATTTGTGCTAAAAGCTCTAGGTCACGATGCACCACCTAAAAAGGAATATTTATATAAATTTCGTCCTCCTCCTCTTCACCTGTCACATTACCCGTTGTATAAAAAAAAACACAGATAAACATACATCCTCTGATGGATCCAGTAGCGCTTTGAATAGTTCCGGCAAAATGCCATCCGTCGATGCCAATACCTGTCATTTAAAAACAATGTTAGTCGCGTCACTACATGTATAAGAAATAATCTTACATGCAGACTACTTGAAGCCCTTCGTGCTGGCAAAACAAGAAATCCTTGCTAACCTTGTTGGGTGCTTTTTTGTGCAACAGTAATAACCACTCTAGACTTGCGAATCGTGCCTGTTCATGCTCACTGAGAAACTGTACTTTAAGGTTCGCCACGGTCATTGAGTAATCGAACGGTTCGCCATTTTTCGGTCTTCCGACAGGTAGGCCGATATCCGACCGATATGCCCGACGTAACAAGATGGGGCCGGTCGTTGTCTTTGCTACAGAACTAATGGATGATGGTGCTGCTCTTGCTTTGGACGATGTTATTGTTTCGGGGTCACTATGACTTGCCACAGGCTCAACTTTGCCACTACCATCATTCGTATTATCCATGACAAGGTTTTGTAGATTCCTATTGATTTCCATGGCAAATGCACTGATGGTTGGTACTGAATGTGAAAGGAGCGGCAGAACGGCAGAGACAATGCGAGGCGTGAATTGAAGCACCACAGGCTTGGCCGCAGCAGTGAATTCTATCATCCATTGCAGTGCTGTGCGTTGGATTTCTTCTTTAGTGGATGAAATATGCTGGATTAATATTTCTAAGATACGATCGTACTGTAACTGTTGCTGTTGCCTCTTTTGTTGATGTTTGTCATCGCTTGTTGTTGTTGTTGTTGTGGCTGCTTTTGTTTGTGGTGTTTGCGGTGGGGTTAACAATTCATTACTATTGTTGATAGTGTCGGAGGTCGTGAACGAAGATGATGACGACGACTCACCACCAGCAGAAGCCGACGACGACGAAGAGACACTATCCCTTTTTTGCATGGCAACTCCTTCATCCTCGGTTTGTCTTGAAATAAACTGAATCTCCTGGAAGAATTGGGCAAGCAATAATCGAGCATTCGCGCGGATCTGGTGGCGTGTGTCGGTCAAATAGCGGATGATACCGTCTAGCAGGTCTGGCAAGTACCACACCAAGTCGAGTCCCGGAACAGAGTCGAGAATGCCAATCCAGGACATGACGTACATCCGTTCGAACGGGTTGCTCGTGTAAAGATGGCGGCGCAAAACAGGAATAAACTTTGACAATTGAAATGCCTTTTCGCCGCTACCGTCTTCTTGGCTGTTGCTATTATTGCTGATGCTGCTGTTACTGCTATGGGGTGAGACATGGGTCGCTGCGAGTTCAAACACAATCTCCTTGATTAATCGATCGAGAATCTCTCTACCGTTGCGCACAGATTGTTCTTTGTCACTCGAAAGCTTATTGAAATAGTTAAGCGGAAAGAGATTGTGAGATAAATGGATCCGATAAACGGCTCTCCATCCAACACGCCACCACTAGACAATTAAAAATATAAGATGGCTTACTATGCACTGTGCCTCGAACAGGCCATTGAAGAAGCGGAGCAGTTCGCCTTTGGAAACTTTGGCAACATTGTACATGCATTCACACGCGTAGTAGCGCACTCTGGAGTCTTTACTGTTCAGGCATGCCAGAATAGGTGGGACCACCGTGTCGAGATAGGCCGCTACACTCTACGTAAAAATGCCGTGTGAGCTGCCTGCTGTCATAGTTAGAAAACAGGCGTTCTTTTTTTTTTTAATTGTCTAGACACCATACTGGACCCAAGGCAATCGCAGTCGCTGCCAGACTAATAAGCCCGCCACATTGTGCATTGGACGAGTCTGAATAGATAAAGTCCTCCACAAGTTCCCGGATAATGCCATTGATTTGCTCTTGACTGCCCTTGTTTTGCTTTACTAGTCTTTTTTTTTCTCTTTTCATTAAGCAAAAGAATACTAAAGAAGGATTGCTCCACAAAGAACACGGGGTTACACAAGAGGCCGAAAAAATACCTTTCCACTTCCAAGGCTGCCACTTTTCGTCGATCGTACGTTTTGTCGGTCAATTCCTGAATGACGTTTGTTGAGAAAACACTTGATTTCATAGCGGACATGCACAAAGTTCTGGCCAGTCAAGGGCTCGAATCCACAGAAAAGGAGGGAGAGGAGAGGAGAGGGGTGGGAGTATGAGTAGTAACTGTGTGTATATCGAAGCAAAGTAGAAAGAGAAAGAAGAAAGAAAGTAAGAATGTGGAAGCACTTGGAGGCAGGAAACCTGATAACAGTTAGCAGAAACGCGAAGCGCAGGTCGGTTGGGCGTGGGGAGGAGGGGGAAACGAGGGGTTGCAGCAGGACGCAAAGGGCGTTTCAGCAGCTGTTCACAGTGAAGACAGCCCACGGCACCGTTGATACCCGATACGATCGGGGGTTGGGGGGAGTCTAGAAGCAGGCAGATGCCTTGTGCATGAACAAAGTTTGATTGGCTGCTGTTGTTTCAGCACATGAATAAAATGACCTTTCTCCATAGGCTTTTCCTCTTTTTTTTTTTTTCTTTATTTTATCAGAACTCCCACTCCCACACACACACACGCACACGTCTTCTTTATACACACCACCCATTTGTAAACATGCTCTCAAGAAATGCTATTGCTGTCCCACGACGCTCAGTTGCGATGCTGTCCCGTCGTCTTTACTCCTCGTCGGGTTATGGCGGCAGCGAAGGTGCCACTGCCAGCTCCAAAGGTGGTTTCAGTGACAAGGAAAAGGCTGTTGAGAACCAGTGGGCACGCTCACACGTAAGCTTTTCTTTCTGACCTAGCAATATACGCGCCGTCAAGTGGGCTACATACTCTGTGTTACTCACGCTGAACAATACGTATAGGATGCTGAAAAGATCAAGGCACTGCACGAAGCTTTGGAGAAGCAAAAGGAGGTGACCAAGTCGATTGAAAAGGACCTGGATGATTTGAAAAAGTCGTCGGGCAAGAAGTAGGGAATTGGACAAACAGTGAGGGGAAGAAGCACACGACATATTGTATGACCGTCGTCATCAACAGCATACTATTAGCCACAATCTTGTACAGGAAATAAAGTGGCATTGTTGGCCAAGAAATACAACTATCAGGGCATCCTGTATAGGCGAAGAGGTTGTTTCCTTTCTTTGATACGGATAGTGTTTGAAAAATAATCTGGTTCGCCACCATCGTTTTTCCCCAATTCTTTTGGTTCCGGCCCGTGTTCTTCTTCTTTCCCACGTACGTGTACAGCCAACCATCATCGTGTTCGTTCTTGATGGCCGTGTCCATTGACAATTGTGAAGAGAAGGGTTAAGCGTGACGCGTCAAAAATAATCGCTGTATCTGGGGGCTGAGTGGAAGAAACGCCTCACCATTCCATCGATAACAACAATTAGCCAATTTATAACGAAGTTGTCTATCCCTTCTTATTGCTGGTACATTATAGCTCAATTACATACCTTTTCATAAATTCCGCATACGATTGGTTCTGGGACGTGTGCAGGGACAAGCGTATCCCCACCATTATCTTCGGTTCCCGATCAAGCTTTTGTAAATCATGTCCAGGCTATTTTTGGAGGCTTAACCTCTACAGCAAAATTTAGATGAGCATCCATCGTTGGACTTTGATAAAACACATAAAGTCTGGTAATAGACGTTCCACCCCGGAGCCGTCCTTAGTACCGACATTGATGCTTGTGGGCTTTGCTGTACACTGGTGCAGTATGGAATTGCTTAACCTCCAGGGTTGCTATATATGCCTTTCACTATCTCTATAACACAGCTACTTCGTCTGCATTTTTTTATTCAGTCTGGAGTGTTAGTCAAGGATCATAATGGTAAGGCCCAGTGCACTCTCATCATCAGCAATTATGAGAGTAGGGCTCTGTGCAGCATTTGTTTCAAATGCTTCGTTTTAACTAGCCTACTCTTCAACACACCCACAGTATACACCGACGACCTGTTCTGCCTTCAAGCTTGAATACCAAGATTGAACTCTCAAGTACTAATTTATTACTGTGCGCTCATCTTTCGAAAACCAGAGGCATTCACTATCGTGCTAAGACTTCTGAAAGCAACCGAGGAATTCGATAATAACTTATTCGATTTTGCAGCACTGTATGCTCTCTTATACTTTTTCCACCTTCCACATTTACAAAATGTCTGATCATTTTGCTCCCAATATCTTACATCTCCTAGTCTTTTCCGCACTTGTCGTGCTTGTCTTAACAGGTCAAATTCTGCTAGAGCGAAATATTCGCCAAGAGCAACAGAACATTTACACTGTCTGTTATTATGGAACATGCCATCCATTGGTCTTGATCCACATAAACTCTGCACGTCCTAGGCTACTTGCTCCAATCCATTGTGTGTTATAAAAAACCCGTTCGTAACATATTTTTCAAATGCATTGTTTGCCCGCTTATCGAGAAAGCAGCGAATAGCTAAGCGTGAAAATTGGACGGAGTGTCGTACACATCAACTTTTGAACTATTCTCTCGTTCTCTTTCCTGTTGCATCGCCTACGCACACCCACCCACTGCAAAAAAAAAAGCTTAACCCTCGATCTATCGTCAAGCTTTGCTCAATATACATTATGGTACGAAATGAACGACTTAACAAACATTGCACTACACCATTTTGTTGATAATGAGACACAAACAACCGCGAATCTTACTCGATTACTTTGTCTTTATTTCTCTTACTACTAGGCGCGTAATGAAGAAAAAGCTCAATCGATGCTGTATCGATTCCGTGAGGCACAAGCTGCCGAACTTGGTCTTGTCAGAAAGAAAGAACGTCGACCTGCCATGGCATCGAGTGTAGATACTGTAGGCGAATGTGAAAGATGGCGACGTCAGATTCTAGGCGAAGTGTCACGCAAAGTATCCAAGATCCAAGATGGTAACAAATCATACAGCACATGAATTCATTTTGTTAAAAAGAGGACTCGAGTGGATGAGTAACCCAACGACTGTATTCTTTGCTACAACTTTCGTCGTTGAACTCTTTTTATGATAGCAAGCTTGTCCGATTACCAAGTGCGCGATCTGAACGATGAGATCAATAAGCTTTTACGAGAAAAATATCACTGGGAGAAACGGATAAAACAGCTAGGCGGTGGTAATTATTATGTGAGTTTTTCTCTCCTTTATACTGTCTGCAGTCGAGTCAATACAGAAAAGGGAAGCTAATGATAATCGTAAATTCCTCAGAGAGCACCCAAAACTATTGACAGTGAAGGCAAAGAAGTACCTGGCAATCGAGGATACAAGTAAGATGAAGAAAACAAAAAGAGGAATATTGACAGTAACTAAACGCGTATAATGTATGGTTCAACGCCACACTTTGATAGATATTTTGGACGTGCACGCGATTTACCGGGTGTGCGAGAACTATTTGAAATGGAAGGTAAGTGTGTTTCGTTCCACAATTGGCAAACCAGCCAAAGAGATCTTTCCAAGAAAAAAAAGAAGAGAAGAATTCACATGGTGGACCTGTATCCTTACTCAAATGGTTCTGTCTCTTTTAAACATCACACACACACAAAGAGCCTGAAAAGGTATCACGTTCACGAACGGAGCTTTATCGCAATATCGACGCAGATTATTATGGATATCGAGATGAAGAGGATGGCGATTTGCTGTCATACGAAGAAGAGTTAGAACGTGAACGTTTGGAGGAAGCAGCACAGAAGCCAGAGCCAGAAAAAGAAGTGCAAGGGGAAGAAGAAGAAGAAGAACAGGCCAATACAATGGAGGTTGACGGCAGTTACGCTCTGGATGCACCTATACCCAACCGCAAGCAGATTGAAGAGTATTTGGTGAACCGGCGACGGCAAGAGGTTTGTGCACTCTGTATTCATGCCGGGCGTGGGTGCAGTGGAGCTGGGTTGTTTTGTATTAACCAAAAGGATACAAATGTTGTTGTTACTATTATTAGCTCTTGGACAAATACGTGTCGGACGACTTGGCCAAAAGCGAGCAGGAAACAAAGGAGCTCACAGGTCAAAATTAATAAGAGAAATAGCGACAATAAAGAGAACCAAAAATGTAGACTATTACGAGACAATAATGATGGAGATTACATGTACAGAAAAGAAGGGGGGGTGCATAGCTCACTGCTGTACTACAGAGTATTGCTACTATTATTACTACTAGGTCTAAGTAGTAAATGTTTATGATATATTATGGAAGCACTTGGCGGAGGATGCGTATGAGAGAGCGGATGTTTATTGTTTGGTGAGACCGTATGCACCGGCAGATTTTAGACGTTGCTGCACTTGGTCCAGTGTTTCGTATTCATCACTTGACTCGTCGCTGCTGCTGCTGCTGCTGCTGCTGCTGTTACTGTTTTTGTTATCGTTGTGCGAGGCTCCCTTCTGAACTCCTCTTCTGTCAAATCCGGTAACGTCACCGAGGGTCTTGCGTCGCTGCTGTATCCGTGCCAATGGCTCATCGTCATCCGAATAGTGGCTGATGTCTTCGTATCGGGGTGGCAGTGTGCCTGTGTATGCAGGCGGTGGCGTCTGTGGTCGTCGTTCAGGGTATAGTTGCTGTTGGAGATGGTGCAGCTGCTGCTGTGGTGGTAATCGATCAATGCCAGAGAGACGTATTAACGGGGCAACAGGCATTCTGCGTTTGGCAAGCGGATAATCTGCTGTAGCCCACAAGGTTGCGGCAGGTATGGACGGAGGATACGGTTTCTTTTTCCGCAACTGCTGCTGGTGTTGCTGTCGCAGGATAATGTGCTGAGGGTGTGGTTCTGGCGTCATCATAGTTTGCTATTATTGCCGAGAAGGAACAGAAAAAAAGCGAGAAAGAAAGCAAGGAAAATAGGAAACGAATAAGCAGAGTTTAAAAATACCGGAGCGCGTGTATGAGTGTTGCAGGTGTGTGTAGCGCGAAAAAAAAATAAATAAAAAATATCGGGCGTGCTTTGGGCTGGTTTGGTTCTTATTTTGGAAACCCAGAACGCTGTCAAAGGATCGTTTATTAATTAATAAAGAAGTCTAGAAATGATGGTTCTCAGCGTTTAAGCTTCAACAGGCGGCAATCGCTCCTTGATGAAGCTGGCAATGTCTTGGAGTTCCTGTGGGCTTGCCGAGTGGACCAGACCGGGGTACGTGTTGAACTTGACGTTGTAGCCGAGCTTCTCGAGCAGGCCAGCAGAATCCCTGCCAAAGGAATACTTTACAACAGGATCTGCGTCGCCGTGGCACATCATCACGGGAGTCTTTTTGTTTGCATCCGATGCCATCTATTCATAAGCACACAATAAAAAGCGCATGCTGTTAGCAGAATATCCCTTTTCTTTGTCCTGCTCTACTACTGCACTTACAGCAGGGAACTTTTCTGCAAGCGGCAACCAGCCACTGCAGCCAACGACGCCACCAAACTTGTATTCGGATGTGAGGCCGACCAGCAGCGAGAGAGCACAGCCTTGAGAGAACCCGCCAATAACGATCCGCTCGCTAGGAATGCCGCTGTCGATTTCCTTCCGGATCAAGGAGTTCACTATTCGAATTTCGTTATTACTCGGTGACAACAGTCAAAGCACCGCAAAAGGAAAGATGTCGATTTCGTACCAGCAACTGACGACGCCAAGAGACCCTTTTCGTCTTGGTTGGCGGTGATGGCTCTGTCGAGACCATTTAAATCAAACCAAGCTAAAATATATCCCTTCACGTTAGTTCACATCATCCCATCCATCTAAGCCTTTTAGTCAGCTTTCTTCTCTTGTACTCCAAACAGTCATATCTACCTGGCATGCGCATGCCCTGGTTGAGGGTAATAGGCAGCATGGGTCTAGACAATTTACGCGTTAGTCAGTTATGATGCTGTGTGTTCCATGATCCGTTTCTAACGAGTCGCGACATGATATGCTGGGATAAGACGAGACTTACGCGTTGGGCAAGACCCATTTGATATGCGGAAACAAACCAGAAAGCTCTTCTGCCAGGAACGACCAGCTGCAAGTACGTCAACAAAAGAAAAAATAAGCTCTTTGTGTTTATTCGTTGGTTGGATCTCTAATCAGTTAGTTTGGACATTTTACCCGGAGCCACTGTCACCTAATCCGTGCAAAAAAAGAACAGTTGCGGTATGCTTGGCTTTAGCATTGACAACGACTGATGTAAGTGCTGATGCCATTGTGTACAATTCAAGAGATTCGCTGAAGAGGAATTGAGTCGCAACTTTCTCTCAATAGACAGAATGATTTCAGAGCCAGCAAGGACTTTATTACTATGACACCACTTAGCAGGAACCCTTCGAGGCACACCAACTTGTCAGACATGAACACAATATCCATGCAAGTCTTTTGCCAGTGATCATTTCGGCACCAGTAGCTTTTGAATGACTCGCTGGCCAAGTCGTTAACTTCATGTAAAAGCGGTAAAGCATTGCATTCTCTTCTTTGCTGCCTTTTGTTGCTGCTTATTGCTGGGGCATCATCGCTTTTGGCGCTCCTTTTCCTTCAAATCTAATCGTGTCCATGAAGTTGGCTCCGCGTCAATTCTTGCATGGTCTCCATCCAACTCATTCAGCATTCTCGACTTAACCCGCATACTTGATTCAGTGATTATATTCTCTAAAACAGGTCAGATATTAAACATAACTCGCAATATCACTTAAAATAAGGTTCGCGCAACCGTTCCGCATTACTGTTGCATCTGTGAACATAATGTATTTGTACAACATTGACATATAAACTAATCACTATCAAACTACATTTATAATACAGGCGTCATCATCGATTTACTCAAAAGACACAAAATTCGAGCAGACAAAAGAGTTTACAACGCGGTTAATTACAGTATCGCAAGAACTATTTGCGCGGTTATTGCGCCAGCTTTATCGCCTTCCTGTCGCCTCTTGGAAGTGAAGTTGGTCCAAGAATCATGCTTTCAAAGCAGGCGCAATTTTCTGCATCTGAATCAGGTAAAACCCAAAATGACAAGAAAACCCTGTTGTGATAAGCTACGTGCAGGAAGAAGGAAAGGACGAGCAGCTGTAAACAGACTTTCCAACTTGAAGATCTGGCAGTTATTCATGTCTGTTGGCGTACGCTCTGGTGTTGCCTGTTAGAAAATAACCCCTTATCACAAGGAGGATAGCACCATATCCGCGGTAACAAGCAATTTAGGCGATCACAGAAGGTGAAAAGGCGTGTCAAAGTGTGATAAAGCGCGTTGTGATCGTGTTACTGTCGGCTACGATACAGATTGTTCTCCGCTTTGTTTAGCACAGAGCTGTGGGTGGGCAAAAAAATAAGGAACTTGCCAAGCACATGAAAAAAAGGCAAAGCAAAAAATATAAAGCGGTAAAACTTTTATGAGAAGAGTGCGAAAAGAAAAAGATTGTTTTATTTTGTTTATCATTTTCTTATTTGTGTGTAAAAAAAAATAAAAAAAAGTTCGTTTTAATTATCCCAACATATACCGTTGGCATCACATGCACCCGAAGGTTCACGATCGGCTGCCGGAGTATATGACCACATTCCCACTGGTATATATTGCAAATTTTCTTCAGGGCGCGGACCACTGAATCTGCCGATCATCAGAAGAATTATGACAATAGCCAGCACAAGCAATGACCCGATCATGGCACAGAGCAGTGCATCTGTACTACAGACCAAAGCTGTACCAAAACGAACTGAAGAGAAGAGAAAAAAGAAAGGCGAAATTGCTCGCTTTATATAGACATTTTTCTCGTTCGGGACTTCAAATCCCCGTGAATTCTCATTGGCCCAGATAACGGGTTGCGTATCAACTTGTGGGCTGCCTACTATGGCATAACAAAAGATACAGCACCAAAGGAAATGAAAGGAGTGGTATACTTGGTGGTCCAGACAAGCGTGCTTCGGCGGTAGTGGTACGTGTCTCCCACCATGCGGAGCTGTGCCCTCCGACGATGTCGCCGCTTGTTTGTGAGTGGGGCCGTGCACGGCACCGTGTCAGACAAAGAACAAAGACATGAATGCGAATGAGCACGTAGAATCACGGAAAAAGCGCTTTTCTGCGAGCAATAAAGTGGCAATATAAGAATGACTGACAAAGTAAACAACTTAACAGATTCCCCGGCATCAGTTGTTCCTGATGCAGCATTAGTAAACATCAAGAACACGATCCTCCCAGCAGCCAGTTTCCATTCCTTCACCCATCAAGGCAACAACATGTGTATATAGCGTAGCCCACAGACTATTCCATTTTATTAGTATATTTTGATTGTATCTGTGGTGCATAATGTTGTGCGTGTGCGGGCATAGATACAACACACTGGACCCCATCGCTGCACTATATAAACTGTGCTCGTCAACCACTTCCGCCATCCGCCAACGGTTCTTTGAACTACGCCGTGTAACCTCTTCCCTCCATCTCGAATTAATACTGCTGCTGGTGAGGTGTCACCCTCCATCTCAGTTTTATGCTGCTGCAAAAGTTCCATCTCCATCCCAAGTATGTGCTGCCGCAGATAAGTTGGCCCGCTCATAATAAGTATCCGCTGCCGCTAGCGAAACCGACTCATCCTTCATTGTTCTTTATAGCTACTGACAAAGTTAATAGGTTCGTTTGTTTTTGTGCGATTCTACCTTCCTTTTAAGCAGCGTTCAAGATCCATTGGGACGATCAGAAGAATAACACTATACACGATGACTTCCTACAACTTTTGACACTTTTGCACGTAATTCGTTGCTCCAATTATTACCTTGCTCACTCGCCATCCCTTTGTGCATTTCGAGTGCGAAGTCAACTGGCCAAATCGTTGCTTCACATTGCGCTTTCACTCTACATAGTTTTCGTTTCAGGGGAAAACTGTTGGAACGTTCAAGGTTTGACACACGCATCACTTCGTCACTATCTAAAAAAGAAAAACCTGTGTTGCGCTCTTCCTGATTTCCTCATTCCTAGAATACCTTTGCTTCCTGCTGATTTACGTTCGTTATGCTTGTCGTTAGTATGGGTCTGTGCGTGCGCGTTCATAGCCTTCGTTATGTAATAAAAAGAGAGACGTAGCGAATTTTCCCTTATTGTTGCCTATTTCCACAGCAAAATACATATTGTGTCTCTGATCGTCTCTTTGCAGACTACTTGTCGTTGCCGAATTGATGATGTTAGAATAAAGCCCGAGAGAAAAATCTTGCTCTTTTGCAGTTGCTTTTTATATACGTTAAGAGCACCGTTTACTGTGCATTACGTCCCACTTAGCTTAACATATAGTCCCTTTTGGTATAAATTACGATCCGCTTAATATTTTATTATGTCTTGTCTTTAGATGCCACAGAAAAGTGTGCTGGGGACGAGCAGCTTCTTCGCTACAAGACTTCTTCCAGCAGTAGTTCCTACCACGACTGGTGCATTGATTGGTGGCAAGGTGGCATATTAATTGAAGTTGGCAGGAATAGTATGTGTTTCTCTTGGACTACATGCGTCTGTATGTAGTGCTTGCCGTAAAATGGACGGCTAAGGCTACGTTTTTTGGTAATTCTATTTCACCATATTTTGAGCCTCTGATTTGGTCAGTATACGGAAATGTTAATCAAGCTCATGTCAGCTTTACCAATATATATGTCAAGAGAAGTACTTGGTTTCTGGATCGCATTCAAAGGCACTGTATACAGTATACAACCGTGGACGACGACTCATAATGAGCGCCGAAATGACCATCTGTCCCTCCGATTGTGATCGTCGCTTAACAGAAATACTCATAATTCCTAGATTTCAATCAGTGGAAGTTTCCCAACAGTTTATTATGATGTTTGGGGAATCGTTTGGTCATATAAATGTGTGGACAGTAGCATGTCATCAAATACATAATCAAAGGACAAGATGGGCGGTGGAAATAAGAAAATCCCAGCGTGATCTGCCGACGTTGGTCAACATCCAAACTTGCGTTGAATCGTTTTTAAATATAATGAGGATAATCTCATGGAATATCACCAACAACCATTGGAAGAAAAACGCCATATGTTGGGCAAAAAAACCATGGCAACTATCATTTACATTCTCAAAAAGTGGTGCTTCCCGTTTTTGCACCATCATCTCATCGATCAAAAAAACCTTACAATGTTTTTTGGTATGAGTTCTATTTCGCCCGGTACGTCGTTGGATACACGGATAATCATGCCTTGTGTTATCAATCGACGCTCAAGCGAGGCGTGCCCTCTCTCATTATTATCGAACAATTGATGAAACACCTTGTAGCCGAATAAATTGCACAGTAGATTGTCTGCAAGAGAGACATTACCGAAACTACAATACGTTTATGTGCGATACAGTAAAGTTATACCAATTCTATCATACAAGCGACCAATCTGGACGTATAACCAAAACTAGGAGACAGTATACGAGTAACTTCTTGTGAGAATCGTATTTTTCTTAGGCTAGTAGATATATACAGTAACGTGCTTCCAATGTATGGTCATTAACACACTACCTCTGCTACTTTCCGCTTAGCTCTCGATTGCATTAGTCAACCTGCATCTGATGGACAGTACTCTGTCGTTTCCTTCAACAACGAATTAGGAGCAAGTTCTATTGTCTCTCTACCTAAAGCAAGTGTCGAGCATCATCCAACATTGCAATTCGCTCAACCTGTAACCATTTGGACTATGTCAAATCAAGAATCAACCCTTACAGCATTGTCCCAAGACAAATTTGGATCGCTGCTTTTCAGAGAAATAGCCACGCAAGTCATCAGCCATGGAACTAATGCCGCACTGAATATACAGACAGTGGAGGAAATCATCATCAAGGCAAAGAACGGTTCGTAGGTTTGGTCAATACTTGAAAATATTTGTGGCCTACAGTTTGTAACAAAAGGATGTGTAGCAGGTTTAAAAACAAATTCAGAATTAAACTTTTTTTATTAAATAATTTCATTTGCAGTTTGTTATACAAGACACATAGTGTTGCAACAAGCCCAGGAACGATATTATTTACATCGGATGTGTCCAAGAATTTCAACACTGTGTCAAAGAAAATGGGTTGGAGGCAGATGTATCTTTGAGATAATGACAAAAAAAATATGAATCAAGCTCTTTTGTAAACTAGCCATTAAGGTGACGAGGTCTATCCATCCGGCTTGGGGATACACTATGTATAATCGTGATTGCTTAAGGACTTATTAAAGCTGTGTAGGTCCTTTACATAACGAATGGATTGGTTTGATGCTAGTGGTTATCTGTGTACATTAATGTTTAACTGGGTGTCTGCTTACGATGACTTGAGCAGTGCAATAATGCGGTTCACCACAGTGTATTTTATTTGTGTCTGCGTTCTATATTCTCTGCTTGTAGAAATCTAGCAGCGAAGATATTCTACGAAAACGCAGGTTCATCATTATCAGTGCCTCTATTTATACAAAAACCGAGAATTTTTCCTTTGAAATTAACTGGGGACCGCTTTATTTGATGACCAGCAATGCATCGCAATTATTGGGGACACGACTTTAGGCAGTCGATTGCTAGATGTGGCAAATGTTATTGACTGCAAACGTGAGATTGAAAAGATGTGATCACTGCTTTTTACAATTGAATATGCAATAATCGATAGGTAAGGAGTGAAGAATCTTATAAACTACGTTAGAGTGAGGGCTTTTCGCACTCCGAATGTCGAGTGTCCCTTTTCTGCGCGTTGTATAACCCTATTTCCTGGTTTCCTCCTCTCTCTTCTATTTATGCACAATGTCTATGGATGAATACACAGCTTTGAGAGATTCCACCGATACTAATGCTTTATTAGACGTTCTTGAAACGGTTGAACGGAATCCTACGAGTAAAGAAATGAATTTCTGATCGACATTTTAACTCCTTTTTCATTCACAGATTAACAACCCCTCATTTATTTCTCAGGTATTTCCCCGGAATCAAAGGGTCGACTTGTAAGTGCATTGCTTGATGATCTGGATCGATTACCTGACCAAGGTCGCTGGAATGAACAAGGTAGAAAATAGTTATTCAGGAACGCTTAACGTATCCTTTTGCATGAAAAATCATATGGTTCTTATTTCGCTTTCCCAACACATCGGCAGTAACGACACGAGCCCTACAAGCGCTGAAATCATTAGGACGAGAGGCTAAAGGAGCTGAGGATTTATTTTCAGAATGCGTAAGGTTGGACAAATAGTGCTGTGTGTGAGAGTGAGTGCAAGGTGGAGGAAATCGATTGGAGAGCCCGGGAAATGTGCGTGTGCGCGCAATGCATAAGCTTCTTTTATTAAATATTAACAATACTTTGTTCTGAAATAGGGCATAAAAACTCTGATGAAGCTGGGAGGACTGTTGGCTCCGGGCAGCCATACAGACAGCATGCAATCTCGCGAAGCGCTAAAATGTTTGTCGAACTGTCTCCTGCTTCAAGATCACACAAAGGACTTTTTTGTGAAACATGACGGCGTGCCAGCGTGTTTCCATCTTCTCAAATCCTCCACACTCAGCACTGAATCGCAATTTTTGACATGCCGAATCCTATTCTTCATGACCGTCAGCAATCCCGACGTTGTGCAACAACTGATCCGCCTCGACATCCCCTCAGTACTCCAGAATGTAAGAGCCGCCCAACCTTGTATTACAAATCCAATCATTTAGCTAAACCAGCAATTCTTTTCTCAGGTACTTGTGAGCAATGTCGCTAAACTACTCGCTAATGAGCCCCAAGTTGGACTTATCAACAATGCTTCTGTGACCAACGAAGCACTCAAACTCTTGTTCAACTTGATGCTGGTGGATCTGCGGGCACATGTGGGAGAAGAGGAGGGTGCAGAGGAGGTTGGCATGAAGTTCATTTGCTGCTTGCCACCGATGTTGGACATTACGTTTAATATGCCGCTCGCACAACCCATGCCGCTCGTCCCGCCATACACCCACGCGCTCCATGCCTTGATGCAGTACCCATATTCTGTGATGGCTAAAGCCTGGTACTCGTACGATCAAGTCAAGTGCCATCACACCACGCCTGAAGGTGGACGGGAGATGGTTTCCCACCGTTTGTGCGACATGCTCGACGGCGCACTCGCGTACCTGATACCTAGTGGCGACCCAGACGACCTCGAGTCTGTTACCACTGCTTCGGGATTAAATATCGATGCGTCTTTGTCTCCTTTGATCTTGGTGATCCGCGTCATTGCATGTGGCGAGCCTGGCTTTGTTGAATACTTTAAAAAGCGAATGCTGCCGTCTGAAAAGTAAGTTTGTTTCACAAAGATATTGGCACACACACAATACAGGAAAAGTTAGAATCCAACTTTTTTTTTTCTCTTGCTCTTATACGGTGTTTACCTCTTTTGTTAAGTGACCGAAATACACCCGTCAATCGAGGTACAAGCACATCTGCTCAATTGATTCGTTTGATGACGTCCACCATGCTACCTCAAACCCGTGATGCGGTTTGCGAATGTCTATTTGTACTGTGCAACGAAGATGGTATGTTGAAGCGAACGCGTCATGACGACGACAAACTGTGCTTCTTGTTTGTTTGTTTGTCTGTCTGTCTATTCTGCTAGTATAATCACATGTCAATCGTCCAACCATCATGAGTAACACACATATGGATTATCTCATCTCTCTATAATTAGCCACTCAATTAACACAGGAAGTGGGTTACGGTAACGCGATTGGATTTCTTGTCAACCGTGGGATCGCCGTGGAACCACCTCGGGGATCAGACGCAAATGATCCCAACAAGCAAATTAATCCTATTACGGGACAATATGTGTCTGCAGAGGAAGCTGCCGGTCCAAGTTTGGCGGAGATGACGGACGAGGAAAAGGAACGGGAAGCCGAGCGCTTGTTTGTCTTGTTTGAGCGATTAAAGAAGAATGGAATCATTCAAGGTAAGTTTGGATGGGCAAGGTGATGCCTGAACGCCCTCACTAAAACCAAATGTCTATTTAGCCGAAAACCCTATCATTGCCGCGAAACAATCGGGCCGATTCGAGGAGATCCCGGATGATAAGTCAAGCGACGATGAAAAGTAAAAAAAAAAGTTTAAAAGAAGCCCCTATCTAATATATACTTTATACCTGCCTCTGCTTTCGGTTATTGAACCCTTCTTCACTCCATCTATGGCACCCTTTCTCCTCCAAAAACTCTTACTCTCTCGTTCTCTGTTTACCCAATACTACCTAAATAACTCGTTTACTGTCATGTTTCTATCATTAGACTAAGGTTGAAGGCCCTCGGAAAAATGATGTGATTGTTCGTCAATCAATCCTTACATAGTAAAATGGCGTCATCGATATAAGTGTTCTCATAAAGTGGTATGCCTCACTTTGCATGAGTGGATCACTTACTACATCCTTGTAGATGGTTGTAAGCCTCGGTATACAATTTGCAGTTGTGTTTAAAAACGCACTACTAGCTCTATTATCTGAAGATCATTAATGTAGTAACATCACTGCACCAGTGTCCCTGACAAGCACATCCAAAAATAGAAATTTTGTGTCACCACGAATTGTCGGATTAGTGTGGCTTGCACTCAAGCAGACTGACACTTTTTTTTTGCCTTCGATTCCTGCGATCGATCTCGACAACCGGAATCCCTCGCCAACGCTCTCTTTTCTCATTTTCGACATACTCACCACTCACACACACTTTTGCATTTCCTTTGTCATTTTTTGTTAATTCTACCTTTATTGCATTTAATCTGATTTCAATCTATTGTCCCATACGCACACACGTATACACCACATCTATAACACACCGCATCTGTACCTAGAAGAGCAAGAACACCTCGTCCACCATGCAAGACAAAGAACTTAACGACACACCCGAAACATTCCTTGCCGAAGGAGCCACAAAGCGATTTAAGGTAGAAACGAGAATACTACTCGACTATGACGACGGCGACTCGTGATTGTCTTTTTTTTATGTACTGATCGTAAACAATTATATATGATCAGTTTCAATCCTTTAATACGCTTGTCGATCGTATAAAAGTCGATGTTGTGCGACGATCCCGACTTGTCGAAGAAGATCCCGATGAATTCGATTCCTTCTTTTATCAAGCATTATTATCATGGAAGGATTTGAACCTGACAAAGAATTTCAAAACCTTTGAACGCGAAATGACCCCGTTGTCGAAAACCTTGCCTTCCATTATCTACAACAAGGATAAAATTGTCGACGTCCTGGAGAAACACTTATTAGTAAAAGATAGTACAGCCTTTGATGCTTTGCTAGAGTAAGTTTGCTTCAGCTTTGTGCTTCGAAAGGAAAGGAAAATACCGTCCAGACGAGCCGACAAGAAAGCAATAATTAACATTTTTTTTTTGATAATAGTTTGGTGACGAAATTGGCAAAGGATCTCGAAGGCGAATTCTATCCATACTTTCCTCGTTTGCTTTCTGCTATGCTACCACTTGTTCATCACCGAGACGTTCGATTGCTCGAGGTACGATATCAATACAAATCACGCTGCATGATGGAAGGATTGAGTTTAATTATTTTTTCGGGACAACTACTTGTTGTATATCAATAGAGCTTGTTTAACGCCATTGCATACTTGTTCAAATACCTCGCACGACAAATTCTACCCGACCTTTGCTCAACGTTTACGCTGATATCCAGCTTATTGGGCGAAGATCACAAACAAAAGCCATACATTCGACATTTTACAGCCGAGGCATTTGCATTTTTACTGAGAAAAACGCGTAACAAGGATTTCGCAAAAATAGCTGCACATATTTTGACATCGCTACGAGAAAATCCATCAGAACAATATACCGAGGGTCTTGCTATGCTTTTCTTTGAATGCATGAAGGTAATATATACATAATCACTCACTCACAAGAAAGAGAGGGCCGTCGTATGTGTGAGAATGTGGAAGTTGACCAGATTGTTATTGTATATATAGCAAGTGGATCATCAACTTCATTCAAGAGCAAGTGCCATGTACAAGGAGTTATCAAGTCAAGCGTTAGACGAGAAAGTGAATTTGGAAGATTTGGGTAAGTAGTTAATGACTATGACTTATGAGGTTTTTCGCTAAATGGGGAATTTATGGATATATTGTAGAATCGAATGCATTGTACAACTTGATTCTGAAAACTACATTACTGGTTTTGCATCATACCAACGCACAGCACCTTGGCGAGTTTATCAATGTGATCCTGCAACAAGTGGACGCGGAACTTGAACGAAAGAAATTGGATCAAAAGCGGTTAACTATGCTTGTTTCATCGCTCAAGCTGATCGTTACTGTGCGCGGAGGAAGCAGAGTTCAAGGTATATTTAGTTTAAAAGAGTGTTACCCGGGTTTTGGGATGTCATCAACAACCGGATATGCTGACAACAGATTGCACCTTTCAGAATATGCACCCATTGTACAGCGTATGCAGGCTGTCGCAAAAATGCTGTTTACGACGAAGACGACGTATTCGAATCTTCTCTATGCCGAGGCATTGAATGTCACAACGGGAATTCTTGCATTGGGATCACTTGAAAGTGTCTTGAGTGGTGGTCGACTTATTCTGGAATCGATTGTAGCGTTCAAAGATCCAGAGCTGGTGTATGGATTCTTTTTGGGACTGTCCAAGTTGGAATGGACTGATTTTGCTCAAGTCATGTTACCTTATATTGTCAAGTAAGCTACTCGGAAGTTGGTTAGTAGGAGTTATTGTATACAAGTATGCTTACGCTAAATGATAGGTACACAGCAGAAAAGTTTGACAACTTCCCAGAGCAAACAGTTTTGTTATTGGCAGAGCTGACTTCATCCGGCTCACTTGAACTTCCTGAGGGCACGTTGTCATCATCTTTGACAGCTGAAGGTCTTTTACGTCTGCCAGCAGTCAAGGGTAAATCGGTTGCAGATGGGTTGATGGAAATGCTGCACAAGACGTATGATTGGAACAAGGAGCGGGATACACTTAATGAGATCGATATCAACAACGTAAGTTTAAGTCATACTTGAAAAAAAAGGGTAAGAGTTTGAAACTAAACCTGCTCTCTTAACATAACCTAGCGCGATATGGAGTCCACATCTATCATCACCTCTTTATCTGCAGCTGCCTATGTCTTGCCGCGCGTCCATGTTGATTTGAATAGTGCACTTGAAGCACTGCTTGCAGTAATCGATTCTGTTACCAACCATTTGACACTCCAGTCCGATGGAGACAACCATGCTATCAACACACCGCTGGTCATTGCGCACAAGAACTTTGTTTTGGAAGCACTTGTGGGTCAAGCTATTGAGTCACTTGCCAAACTTGCATCCGACAACAATGCGGTACAAAAGACGAGCCATTTGCATGACAAGCTTGTGGACTATATGCTTCGAAACCATGGTCACAATGAAATGGTTCTTCGTGGTGTTTTCACGTACTTGGATATGCTTCGAGCAGAGTAAGTTACCATGTCGAGTCACTTATGATAGCATCGAATCTGTTTTTCACCAAGACTTCATTTTTTTTTCGGTTCTCCATGTTTGATCTTGATTAGCACGCAATACAATGACAAATTCACTGTGGAACGATTGGAACAAATATATCCATTAATCAAAGAGAACCTCGGCTCGTACCAAATGAACTGCCGTTTATACACTTGTAAGATTATTGCCTTGTACGACCAACCATTGATGGAAAAGGACAAGCAACACACAGACGACGAGCCTTGCGAACTGCCTCAAGTAGCTGTGGATCTGGAAGAAGCCTCCATGTCCTTAGTAGATTTCCGTGACAAAATCATGTATACCCAGAAACTCGGCGTGATTTTGGAAACTGGACGTGTGCCCGAATTGTATACCGACTTTGTCTTGCGTTATGGTCTTGGTATTTTGAACATCCAGTTGCGACCCCTGTGGACTGAAGTCAGAAAGGTGCTGGCCATGTGCGCGGCTAATGATCGCGAATCCTACTGGACCTTGTGTTTCGGAGAACTGTCCAAGTTTGATGATCAAAAGCAGTTGGTGCGGGATGGGTTTACCAGTGATGCCCTCGTTGCTGCAAATGCAGATTTTCCTGCTGCTGGTCAATCCACGAGCAAGAAAGCAACCAAGACCGGCAGTATCACGTTTGAGTGTCATACATTGGACAAGTTTTCTGGCGTGCAAGATCATTCTATGGCCTTGATGGGTAATGAAAAGGCAAACGGCTATGTTGCCCTTTTCGTAAAGGTATGTTGTACATAACATTTGATCGCCTAGTCATCATTTTATATACTAACTTATTGCTTGTTGCTGCTACTTCTATCGTTGCAGTTGTCTGGTCAAGAAAATGCACGCATGGACTACTGGCATTACTACACCTTGATTCTGCAAACGCTCAAGGGCACACCTGCTGTTACCGAGCAACGTGCTCGCCATTTGATCCCAACTTTTTTCAAATTCGTCGAGACTGAGTTTAACAGCATTGTAAACGAAGACGAGCACTTTACAAACGGCGAACCCAAAGCCAAGGATGAGGACGCCATGGATATCGATACTACCACTGAAAGTGACTTCACGCTTCTGAGACGTTCGCGCGGTATCATCAAGGCGCGGATGATCAGCTGGTTGGAAATGTTTGCCGTGTTCACCAACCCCAAGGTCATGTACAAGACCGAGGACATGTTTACCATTTTGATGCGTCTGCTCAGTAAAGGTGAACCCCCATTACAAAAGGCCGCGCTCGAGTGTGTTTTCACATGGAAGAACCCAAGCGTGATTCAGTACACCGACAATCTACGTAACCTGCTCAATGAGCAACGTTTCCGTCACGAAGTATTTGCGTTCTTGTCAACCGACGAAGTGCAAGCATCGATTGATCCTGCCCATCGTGAGCAATTGATGCCTATCGTTATGCGTATCTTGTACGGCCGACTTGTGCAACCTGCTCCACGACGTACCAAATCCGGTGCTCGCGTCAACAAGGAGTCTCGTCGTAATGCTATTCTCAATGCTGTGGCCATTTGTCAGCCTACCGAAGTCCAGTATTTCCTCGATTTAGCACTAGCTCCTTTCAAGTCTGTCCTTGAATTGCCCGAGGGCGATCATGACAAGACAACGGGTGCGTTGACTGAATTTAAGCTTGACGAACGTCGTGGCAATCAACTTCTGGAACATATTCCATTGGGTCGGCAAGCGGGTTATCTTTCCATGTTGGAAGGATTGCTGGCCGCTATGCGCACCAAGGTCGAGGTCTATTTGCCTACGCTTCTCAAGTTGGTGCTTTACATTGGCAAATTTACTCAACGCAGAAAGACGGATGATGACGCCGACGACGACAATGAGGTTGAACCAAAAAATGGCAACGAGGATGAAGAAGAGCAACCGCTGTACCAGGCCACTGCCAAAACCAAGGATATCCACAATGCTGCCGTCAAGCGTATGGTCGAAGCATTCCGTCTCAATGTCAGCTTTGATTTTTCGCCTTATATGCATGTTGTTTTTGCTGCATTCATTTCGCCTCGTTTGCATGCCTTGCCAAGCGATGCACCTCAGGGCAAATTGGCTATCATGGCCATGTTCCGAACTTGGATTGAATTTCGCGAACGTGTCACATACTTTGCCGACTACGATAAGGAGCTTTTGCCACAACTGTACGGTATCTTGGGCGCACCCAGCATCAAGGAACATGTCATGAAGGATGTACTTGATATCATCGATACACTGTTGGATTATTGCGATGAAGAAATGCAAGTTGACGATGATAGGTCGGTCGCTGTGTCGCTCAAGGACAAGTTGTTTGTGCCCCATGTGGATGTTTTGCTCCAGCACTTGCATTTCCGTCTTACTAAGAGCAAGGACGATAAACAATTTGGCAGCGGCCAATATTCTGTCCGTCAAATTGCCGTGGTGTCCCGCATTGCGCCGCTCACAACCAATGGTGAACAAGCAAGAATCATTGTCGATCTGTTGCTTCCCAACTTGCGCAAGTCTAGTCGCATCATACCCGAAAAGACCAAGGAACATATTCTGTCGGTGTGGGCCAAGTTTATGCATCTTATTCCTGGTTTCAAGGAGCTCAAATTGGTGTATTCGCAGTACTACAGTGCAGCATCTCAACTATTTTCCAGCTTGCGCTCACGCGAATGTCGTACGGCCTTGCTTAACGTGTTCCAAGCCTTTGTGGATGTCAATCCTGCGCTTACAAAGGTCGGCGAGCTCTTGCGTGCCATGAACACGTATTCGGCCAAACGTTTGGATGACCCCGACTATGATGGTATTTTAGATGCCTTGAACTCTGTCGCTGACGACTTGTACCCGACGTTTGATCACCAGCAGTGGTTACCACTGCTTCATCAATTTGTGCACAACATGCATGATCCCGAAGAAATGGCACTTCGTGGTGCTGCAACGCACTGTATGACCGTCTATCTACGCACAGCCAAGGATAAGCAGGATCCTGAAGAGAAGCGTCTCTTGATCAACTACGTGACTCACATGATCTTCCCTGCCATCAAGCGCGGCTTGACAAACCATATCGAACTCATCCGTATGGAATTTGTCAACTTGCTTAACGCTGGTATCCATAAGTTCCCTGATCTTCCTGTCTTTGAAGACATGGTGGTCTTGCTCGGCGATGGCGATGAAGAAGTCAATTTCTTCAACAATATCTATCATATGCAATTGCATCGTCGTGTACGTGCGCTGTCAAGACTTGCTGATACAGCCGAAACCGGTGTATTGAAGCCAAGCACCGTCAACAATGTGTTTATCCCATTGGTCACTGCATTCTTTTACGAGACCGACCGTGTCAAGGACCACAATTTGATTAACCAGTGCTGCGCGACCATTACGTCGTTGGCCCGTCAACTGGGTTGGACGCGTTACTATGGCATGTTCCGCACCTACATGGAACTGATCGCCAAGAAAGAAGATATGGAAAAGGTTTATCTCAAGATTGTAAGTGCTATCCTGGACGCTTTCCATTTCGATTTGAAGCATGTGGAAGTGTCGGACGAACAGGCCGTCGCTGTTATGGGTCGTCAGAAGGTGCGCATCGATTTCAAATCATCGGTGCAACTTACTGCTGAGGCAGAAAAGAAGGCTGCTGCTGAAGTAGCTGAGGCAGCCAAGCAACAGGACGGTGCAGACGGAGAAGGCGAGCAAGAGGATGATCAAGAAGAAGACAAGGAAATGCCCAAGGACCTTGCTGCCAAGATTCATGATACAGTCATCCATCGCATGCTGCCCTCATTAAACACCTATCTCACAAAGACAGCAACCAAGCAGGCTGCACTTATCCGCGTACCCATTGCTCTTGGTGTTGCCAAGTTACTGCGTGCTTTACCAGAACGATCCATGCGCACCAACCTGCCCGGTCTGTTGGTCAGCTTGTGTCAGATGATCCGTAGTCGAGCGTTGGACGTACGTGAGACGCTTCGCGAGACATTGCTCAAGGTCAACGCATATCTCGGTCCCGCCTACCTGTCATTCATCATCAAGGAACTCAAGGCCGCATTGACGAAAGGTTACGAAGTCCACGTCCTCGGCTACACGGTCAATGTCTTGCTCGCTGATACGATCCCACGTCTACAAGTTGGCGAACTCGACTATTGCTTAGAAGACATCATTGGCATTTTGATCAACGATGTATTTGGCAAGACAGGCCAAGAAAAGGATGCCGACGAAATGACAGGCAAGATCAAGGAAGCCAGAAGCCAGAAGAGTATGGCCACGTTTGAAAGCCTCAGCAAGGTGATCCACTTTAACAACTTGCCCATCGTGCTGCTGCCGCTCAAGGATGTTATGTCTGAAACCCAGAGCTTGAAGATTTTGCGCAAGGTGGATGATATCTTGAAGCGTGTTTCAGCAGGTCTGGTACGCAACCCAGAGTTCGAATCGTTGGAGTTGCTCGAATTCTCGCATGGATTGATTACGGAGAATTTGGATACGTACAAGGCCAAGGCCAAGGCCAAGGTCGAAAAGAGCCAGCAAGAGAAAAACTTTGAAGTTCAACTGAAACGCGTTGATACGACACCCAAGGACCATTTGACAGTCAACGCTTACCGTTTTGTCGATTTTGGTTTGCATTTGCTGCTCACTGCATTGCGTCGCAACAAGTTTGATTCGCGCCTGGAAGAGCACAAGGCGAAACTGAATCCATTGGTGCCCTTGATTTCTAGTACGCTGCATTCAAACCATACGAGCAGCATTACTTTGGCGACTAAAATCATGCGCATCCTAATCACTTATCCTTTGGAAGAAGTACCCACCGCAATCCCTGCTGTGATGAAACGTGCGTTCCAGCTGATCAAGAGCGCTGGCAATTCCCGCTCGCAACTCATTCAGTCGTGCTTCAAGATGATTACAGTATGTATCCGTGACAATGATACAGCAAGACTGACCGAACACCAGCTTGTGTTCTTGCTTAATATTATCCGGCCCGATCTGGAAGAACCTGACCGTCAAAGCACCGTGTTTGCCTTGATTCGAGCCATCATTGGCCGCAAGTTTATGGCACCGGAGGTATATGATTTGATGGATTTGGTCGGCCAAATTATGGTGACAAACCAAGCCAAGGAAATCCGTGACCAAGCACGATCTGTCTATTTCATGTTCCTGATGGATTATCCACAAGGCCGCGACCGCTTAAAAACGCAAATCAGCTTCATTGTCCGTAACCTCGAGTATGTTCACGAAACGGGCCGTGCATCTATCATGGAGCTGTTGCATCAAATTATTGACAAGTTCGGTGACGCTATTTTGATGGAATATGCTGAGTCCATGTTCTTGGGTCTCATTTTACGTTTGGTCAACGACGAATCGGCGAAATGCCGTGAAATGTCTGCAGAACTGATCAAGATGCTTTTGGGCCGCTGCACCGACGACAAATTGACGACGATCTATCGATTGCTGGACAAGTGGATGGACCAATCGGACAAACCAAGCCTGCAGCGCGCTGGTTGCCAAGTGTATGGCTTAATCATGGATAACTTCAACTCCAAGTCAGTGGCGACGGGTCTGGTACCACGGTTAGCGCACTTGCTTGAAGAAAACAAGGCGTTGAAAGAGATTCATCCGGATGTGGATGACGAAGAAGAAGAAATGGATGTGGATATACCATGGGAAGTCGCTTACTACAGTCTCAGCACGCTTTCCAAGGTCGGCAAGAGTTTCCCAGAGCTCATGTATGGTGAAGTAGAAGATGCCATGGCAATGTGGTACGGAGTCAAGGAGATGTTATTGCATCCTCACGCATGGATACGTGCATCTTCTGCCCGCTTATTTGGTCATTATTTCGCCAACGTCGATGCTCAAGACCGAACACATGCTGGTGTACGCTGCGAGTTTTTGACAAAAGAAAACTTGAGTGATTTGGTTCTCAAGTTTATCGAGCAACTCAAGAGCCATTACTTGACCGAAGATCAAGCAAGCCAGATTGTCCGCAACTTGTTCTTCATTTCCAAATGTCTTTACTATTTGCCTGCAGATGAAGACACGCGACAACACGAGCTGGAAGACGAACAGGAACTCAATGGTACTGCTGCTACCAAAGGATACAATCAAGAGGAACTCAACACTGCACAGGCCAAGTTGGATCAACGACCCAACCGAAATGCACACTACTGGATGTTCCGTCGACTTACCTTCACTGCACGTGGCGGCTTACAAAACAAGGGCAGTTCCAAGAATATTCTCATGGTAAGAATCTTACATATATACTAGGTCGTTAATCGATATAACGTTTAATTAAATTATTAACATAATTGCAAATAGCGCTCATCCATCTTTAAATGCTTTGCTGCTATCACAAATCATATGCAAGCGGAAGACCTGCCTCCTTATTTGGTATCCATGATCATGCCCATCTATCGCGTGACGAATGATCAGCAGATCAAGGATGACCAAGAGTTTGGTAAGATATACCATTACCAAATAAAAAACAAGTAACAGTATTGCTAACATGTATGTATTAATCTATAGATGAACTGAAACAACTTGGTAACGAAGTACTTAATATGGTACAACAAAAAGCCGGATCGACGGTATACTTTGCAGCTTATCAGCGAGTACGCCAAAGAGCTGCAGATGCACGACAGGAACGAAAGGCAAAACGAGCATTAGAAGCAGTTGCAGACCCACAGTTGGCTGCACAGCAGAAGATTGAACGACGTCAAAAGAAGCGCAAGACCGGCGGTCCCAGAAAGTTAAAAGCAACTTATTAATAATAATAAAAAGAACGAACAATAATGTAAATTTTCTTTAATCTTTTGTATGTAAAAATAATAAAAATTCTGTATTTTCTAATTTTGTGTATGTGAATAACGTGATATTTTTCTCTTGTTTATCATCCATGACAATAAATTACAAGTAAAAGAAGGGTATACAATAATAACATGCAAAGAAACGGAAAGAATAGGAATGATGAGTAGGGAGTGTGCGAGAGAGACAGAGAGAGAGAGAGAGGAGGTGGGGCGTGCTGGATAGTAAGTGGTTTGTTTGTGCTAAAAAGGGCGTGCACACATCACACATACATTTTTGGAAGGAAAAGGAGGATGTAATACACATTTACAATAAGAGAGGAATAGGTAGAACGATAATACATAGAAAAAATAAGTAATAATGATAGCAATAGTAGTAGTTGTTAGTGGTAGCAATTAGTGCTTAATGGCTCTGAGAAACCGTTGGGGTCGCCATCGACTTGTCGTTGCGACTTTCTCCTCTTCAATGGTAGTTGAATTGTTGTACGGAGGGCCCATACTGCTTGTACTGCTGCTATTATTGCTACTGCTATTACTATTGCTGCGTTCTGAATGATGATGATAAAGATGCTGAAGATGCTGTTGTTGTTTCTGATGATGATGATTTGGATGCAGATCTACGATAGGCGGTAAAAACTTGAGCACACTACTATTGCTGTCCTTGGACGATAGTGATGGCGACTGACTGAAAATGTATCGCATGCGATCGTCGTCGTCCGTCCAGTGTGCCGAGCATAATCGATATTCAAACATGACCAGCGTCAAGTCAGGCCGCTCGACCAGTCGGCGGCGTGACACGTACGATTGAAAATAAGGCTTGCCACAAGCTGTACACGGCTTGGGTTGTACATGAGGTAAGTAGTATGCTGCTTCTTTGATATTGCGTCGAGCACAGATTTCGAGTAAACTCGGTGGATCGTGTTTCAAATCGTTCATTATATGAAGTTGTTCTTCTTCGGATGTTGCATTGTTGTTATCTTTCTTTGATACAGATGCAATCTTGAGACGACGCAGGTTGGGCAGTTGTAATAACTCGGCTGGTAGCATGTTTATTTCTGGACAATGCAGGACGGAGAGTGAGGCCAGACTTTCTAATCCACCGACTTCGATGGGCAGTTCCGACAGTGAACGGTTGTGGTTCAGGTTTAAATGAGCGAGTTTTTTCAAATGGCCGATGTGTGGGCTCACGCGGGTCAGTCGGTTGTGGCCCAAGTCCAAGTCGGTCAAGTTGATTAGGCCACAGATGGTGTCTGGTATCTCGACGAGCTGGTTATGAGCGAGTTGTAAGGTTGTAAGGTTGATAAGCGATCCAATGGCATCAGGCAAGTGGGTAAGATGGTTCCTTGACCTATTGCCAATGGATGAATGGTTATTATACCGTCACAGTGTTCTCCTTGTCTTTCCCTAAACAAGAATGTACCGACTACCAGTAGCAGCAACCCCTTTCTTTTTCGCCACCCAAGCATAAAAATAAAGGGCTGTTGAAAGAAGAAACTCCTGAGAGTGGCAAAAGAAATCCACATCTCACTTTCATACACACACACACACACACAGCTCTTTTTTTTTCTTTAGACTTCCAGGCACCCCCTTTCTCTTTCTCACTCGCTCATCTCCCCTATAATGCTATACGACGACGACTACAACTACGACTACAACTTACAAGTCGAGCTTCTGAACCATAGTAAGATGATACAGATTCGTGCAGCTTAAACTCGTCAAGTAGCGACAGGGGAGATGCAGTTCTTGCATAGATCCACCACTACCATCCTTTGGTACTATATCTTTAAACGTCAATTTCTTCTGTTGATGGTCACTCGTGTTTTCGTCGTCGTTATTATTTTTATCAATTCCGGATTTCAAACTGGTCGGTTCTTTGGATGGCGACCGAGAACTGCCACTACTACTCGGCAGCATGGTGTCAAGATAGTAGGTCGTGTCAACATAGGCTAGTTCCTTCACCAGACGATCGTCTTCAACATAACCGGAATCCGGTCGTCGTTGCTGTTGTGAAGTTGGCACGGGCTCGGGCTCATTGCTGTTGGAATGGCAATTGTTGCTGCTGTTGTTTGTTGCAGTTGACAAGCCATAATATTCAGGTCGGTCAAGTAACAAGTCTGTCGTAGTCGCTGTCGTTGTGATGGCTGTGACGGTGACGGTCGAGCTAGTGTTATCAGTGCGATGGTTCACGTAGCCAAACGTTAGCCCTTGGTGCTTCTTTGTACTGACACTTTGACCCATAACCAAATAGCCGAGCAAAGAAGAAGAAGAGGTGTGTATCAAAGGTGGAGAAGAGGGATAGAGTGTGAGCCAAAAAAAAAAAAAAAAAGAAAAACGCAGAAAAAGCGAGGTGGAGGAAGAGAGCGAAGAGCAAGAGAGAGAAGAAGAGAAATTATATATAATCGCAACAATAGAAAAAAAGGTTGAAATAATAAAGAGGGCAAGTAAACCGCACAAATAAAGAATGCACGAACGCGCGCCGAATTTTCTTTATTTTTTCAGGGGCTGGTCAACATTGGCAAAAAGTGGATAGGCAGCAATTGCACATGCTGCGCGGGCGCTTCTTCTTCTTCTTCTTTTTAAACTCGGAAGAAAACAGTTCCGGGGGGTGGTAGGAGAAAGGAGAGCGCTTGTTGGCGAATAGCCGATCTTTTAGTCGTACCTTACCCTCCCCTCCCACGCCCAGAGCAGGCGAACAACACATCGGTGGTGTAAAGACGGGCCTGTCCTTAATTGGGGCTATCCCAATAATAACAACAACAACGACAACGTTCTTTTTCTTTTTAGCTACCGGTATGTTCCTACTATGTACTACAAAGAGGTCATACGACGTGCTGTAGAATAGGTACATGGAGTTTCTCAAATGAAGGAGAGGATGGCGATGATGGTAGAATAAACTCCATCGATTGTCTCCCCGCTAGAAACTTTAAATCGAAATCTCGGGTAAGTGTGTATGTACAGTACAGTTTTTACAATGTACTACTATACTGTTCTCTCCCGTTGTGTCTGTATTACATAGTGTAGATGCTACATGTACAGAGGCCTTACACGCGAAAACAGTAGCAAACCGTTTATTCCCGAATAAAGCTCAGTTCTTAAAATACATCGAAGATCATTCTCGGGAAAACAATACAAGGTTCATCGTGATCCTCGCGCACGGATTGGTGTTAACCCCATATATTCTAGTCCTGGCGAATATGTCGTTCATATCATCATAATTTACGGCTATATATACGTTGTTTTACCTCTATTCATCAACGGTTATGACGTGAAGAGCATGATTATGGATATCATGTACGTATCGACGTATATTACGTATTAGCTACTATGTAGACAACACCAACAAAGTTATATCTGTCGGTATGACGATACACTATGATCATATTCATTTCACACCAAAACCTAATAAAAAACTCAAGCTAAATCAATGATCATTTTGTCCTTTTGTTTACAGACAACGGTACTAATGTTCTTTTATCTGGTGGCACGCCGAGATCGACGCATGCAGCCGTGTCTTCCTTTCGCTTGCTGTCGTTGATCTTCATAAAGAACAATACGCAGCAGACATATTGTTGCATTACTGTACATCTTACAGAATTCATGCATCGAACGAAAGAAAGAAAGCTGTCAATAGGGGAGAGTGAGGAGGGAGTATATGTGTAAGGTGAGAACACGACTCTTTATACTCTTTCTCTCTCTCTTGAGCTCAATGCTGCGGCAAACGAAGAAATGTTGTTTAGTTCTACATATACGTCATGTAGCAGCGCTACTACTAGCATCAGCAACAAGAAGACAGAAGCATACAACCAGTTGATAGCAGCCTCCCTATTTTTTTCTGTTGTCTTTTGCTTCTACCGACGTGGGAGTTAGTGCTGATGATGATGGCAGGCGTACATATATGTCACATCACATATCCAGCCCCCACCCTCCCCTCTTTCTTCTCCTCCCCTATTTTATCGTACATACTTTCCATCAAAATTTGCAGCAAGCAATGAGAGAAGTTGCAAAATGCCAACTTTTCATTTTGTACCTTAACTGATGCAACATTAAGCTGTGTGTATCGTGCTGCTACTGCACTGCTTTCAAATGGAGTGTGCTTACAAGAAGAAGAGGTTCTGAGCCTTTCATCCCGCCATTTGCTGTACATAGAGCGCTTTGCACTGTATGGGCCATTTACCCCTCCTCTATCGCATTTATTTGGAAAATTGTGATAAAGTGCATATTATATGCCGCATAGATGCACGCCTGCCACATTGTACAATTACTGACTACATAATGCGCACCATGCTTAGCTTACTAAGAAGATCGCTATGCATAAAGCACACAATAGCCGCGTGCTCCGGAGCTAATACACAAAAAAGAGCATGCTTAATCCGGCTTGCCGCTGCCATTTATTATACTCCAATCGGCGACTATCACATCAATCTACTGCTTGATATTACCCTGTAGGAAAATTTATCTTAAAAAAGGTTTTAAGTTTCCGCTCGCGGCTCCATTTTGATAAAAGGCGGGCTTTTCACGTGCAAGACTTCTTTTCTAAAAGTAAACTTGCACTTCCGATTCGGTTGTTTCAGCAATTATAGTTTTGCTAATCATCAGTATAAACAAGCATGGTAAGTATGTCTATGCAAGTGGATACCGTGTAACCTCTCGACAAAAAGAGAAAAAGGGGTGATAATGATCTATCTTTATGCACATGTTTGAATATGCATTTGGAGTACACTAGCACCATTTGCCTCTTGTCCAGAGACCAGCAGCACGTGTGGTGTGTCAGATAAGTACAGATACAAATACGTGCGTGTAGTAATTGGACGGTGCGCGCATACTGCTACCGTTCGAATGCAATATGCACTGCTACACATCCCTCGCCTCATTAGTTTGGCGTTTCGTGATGATGAATGTGTTGCTGTATACTTGACGCATATTGAAGGCGTGTATTATGATCATCCACGGATATTTCAAAAATCCAAAATAAAGAAACACCCATAATCATGACATAGTGTTGCAGTGCTGCGCGAACTTGCTTGTAATTACATACAAAATGGATTGGACCAATTACAAATACGCCGTGCGCCGATGCTAATAATCATCGCTGTTGCCGCGCATGCATCCATCAAAAGGGAGGGGAAAAAGCTGCCACGTATTTGTTAATGCAAGAAGCATTTATAACAAGCAAGAGACAAGCAGCGCGATCTAGCCCGCGACAACGACATACCATCCTCATCTGGGGGTTCCTATAAAGATAAACCATATGCTTTTGGTTTTTTATCGACTGTGTAATAATGTACATACACAGGATTTGTCTCTATGTATAATTACAAGAAGAAGAAGAAGAAGAAGAAAAAGTACGAATGGAAGAACAGATAGCGAGAAAGATCAAATGTGCTGTGTGTGTATGTGTGTGTGTGTGTGTGTATGTGTGTATGAAAGAGGCGTACAGGGTGAAAAGTTTAGGCAGCATCAACCACCACCTTGAGAGTGACAGGCGATCCGGCGACCTGGACAACGACTTCGTGCTCACCCAGCGATTTGATACGCTCCGTCTTGAACTGAATCAATTGCTTATCCACATTCAATCCATAATCCTCCTTGAGCTTGCTTGCCAAATCATCAGCAGTGACAGATCCAAAAGTGTTGGTGGTTTCAGGGATCACAGCGCGCTTGAATTCAAGTGCAGTAACACCCGAAAGAATCGATTCTACTTGGCTGGCTTGTGCTTGACGCTTGCTGGCTTCTTGAGCAGCACCCGTTACCTAAGTATACCATCATCTTTGTAAGTCATCTCAACTCCTACTCTCACGTACATCCAACATGCAAACCAACGCCCAGCTTTTTTGTTGGTGAGCCTGGCATGTACCTGATCGGCCTTTAACTGTTCAGCTGATGCCTTTTGCTGCTGTTCCAGCTGCCGATTACGGGGACCTTCGAATGCTTTGACATAGCTTGCCTTTCCACTAGGGAATAGGGTATTGCGCATCAGACCGGCTACATGTATAGCTAATGTCAGTTGTCTAATCTACAGGACGAGGAAGAAAATATTCTCATTCCACTACTTACGTCGAACAGACACGATTTCGTCTATATATTAACAAGTATTTTTAGTGAGAAAAGATTGCTAAGACGACGACGATTACAACCGAAAAAGACAAGGAGAGTTCGCTTTAGTTTACCTTGAAGACCAACACCTTCAATATATTCATTGAGTCGTACTGGGATCGATGCTTTCTTGTGAGCATGGCGCTAAGAGTAACCGACAGTGAGTTAAGGGATTTAGTAATGTTTGTGGAGCCGATATCCCAATCAATGCTTTTATTAAGTACCACAATAATGGCTCTTGACGAACGGGCAAACTGACGCGCGCAAATGAAGGGTAATGACATTATCTACTTTTTTGTTTTTGTTTTTTTTTTTTGGCTTTGACAACCTCTTTCTCTCACTCGTTCAGTAAGCGGAGCTTTTCCAGTATTTTTTTTTTCTTCTTGATTTGTTTGTCAGGTGAAGGTCCCAATGCGGCGGGGGACCCAATGAAAAATGTTTCGATTTGAGTACGGTGTCAAATGAGCATAGTGGATATTGAAATTGCTTTCAGATATGCTGTCTGTTACATAATAGAGTAGTTCAAAAGGAACACGACTCGCGTTTCTTATCAGCAATTGTTTATTTTATTTTATTGGTTATGCATCGTATCATAAGCACTTTGTACATCGTAATAAGGATTTGCAGCTGGAACAACAGGCTTATTCTCGGGAGATAATATATCATGCATCGTTTTTTTCAGAGTTGATTTTCCACACTTAAATTAAAGAAAAGAAGGATCAGCTCGACGGAGGGCTGGGCGTGCACATCGAACGGCTCCTCACTGTGGAGGTGGCAGTAAGAGAGCCCAGCTTCCTCCCACATTCTCCAATTATTTTTGAAGTCAGCTGTTGGCTCAATACTAGTATCATAGCAGAAGCCAAGCTTGCTTGTGTCAAAATCCGCCAAATGTACGCTTCGAAATTACTGTTGGACCCTAATTTGCTGCAACAATCTGTGTGAGATGGACGGAATCGTGCGGTGTGCTTTTTTGCCTCTCTGTAGCAAAATGCTCGCCGTTTGCCAGAATCGGATGAGGGGAAGCTGGTCTCCCTTACTGGCACCCTCATGAGTATATTGCTGCTGGAACTCTTCCTGGGCGAGTTGCTTGGGTTCTTCTGGTTCTTCCTGTTGTTCAATTTGCCCATCTACATTGTCGATATTGCTAATTTCGTGGGGTCGGAGGCTGCTGTTGATGCTTTCCGCATGGTGGATGTTGCTGCGGGACTGCCGTCTCTTACTCTTGGCCGTGATAACCACCTATTTGACCCGACCCGCACGCTTTGACGTCACTCTAGTAATAACCGTACATATCAAATAGTTTCTTCGCGCCGGAAAATGTTACTTTTCTTATATTTTTAGAGAAATAAAAGAGTGGAAAAGAGAGAGGAGCGAAGCCAGCAGAGCTTATCTCGAAGCAGTGTTTATATATCTACTTTTGCTCTATCATCAACTGACCCCAGTAAGGTAAATTAAAGAAAAGACTTGACAGCGTCACCTGCCAGTCCAGGTCATGCCCTGTTGTTACACAAACAAGCACACTAAACACGTACAATGGACATGCCGAGCAGATGGTTTTCGCCATCTCCCGAGGCAATGGGCAACTATTCTGACCTTCCCCTTTGCCATGCGCACGCTCTAGGTTACACGTACACACTGTTCACGTCTTTTTACCCGGCTGTTTTGCAGTTTTGCCGATTGAGAAGACAACGCGTTTTCTTCAATTCTGCTATATATGCTGGAGTTACACAAAGTCAACAATAAGGAAACGTGCACGGAAGCATATCGGAACGGTCAATGTATACGAAAGTTGAGCCTTTGGTACCAAAAGTCAATCCAAACTTTAAAAAGTCAATGCTCGGTTGGATTACATATACATCAATAAAGCTCCCACACGAACCATGACATACAATTAAATCATGGATAATCTACCCAAAAAGGACTGAATTCTATACAAATAAAAGGCACAGCGTCTACGATTGCTCAAGACCACAGCGCGTCAAAGAATGCCTCTTCGTGCTCCAGTTCCTTTTCTAGCTGATCTCTGATGTCATCCATCGTAATATCGGCTTCCCTTGTTTCGCTTTCGCTATCGTTTCTCGTGTCGCACTCATGAGTGACAGTGCTGCTGCTACTTCTTGGATAAGTTTGATTTTTGTCGTAGTGAGCATTACGATGATGCCGGTTACATGCTACTATCTGGGGTATGCTGTTTCCGTCATGTTGGTGAAGGGAAAAGTTGCTGTCGCTATAGTAATCATTATGATAACGTGTGTAATAATCTTTAACATTGCTGTCTTGATATTCTTGAGGTCTGTAGTAGTAGTTGTATTGCTGGTGCTGATAGTAGATATTATAGCCTGATCCAAAATAGTAGTTTCGGTTCTCATTTGCCTTGGCGTAGTAGTGGTACTTGTTTATATGCATATTTTCGAAAGATGACGAAGGATTTGGAGAGGAAGAAGACGTATCAGGATTCTTTTGATGTTTTCCCCTCTTATATGTTGGTGGGCTCTTTGTCAGTGCATAGGGGTACTGTACTTTGTCTTCTCTGGCCAAAAAGTTCAATGATGCCATCCTTCTTTGTTGATTGATTGAAGTAAATTGCAGTTTTGCTGCCTTGCGTCACCCGGTCAAAAGCGACGACGTGAACATAAGCAATGTATTTGTGAGCCTCCCTCGATCTTCCCAAAAGCTTCCCTTTTTTAAAAACCTGCAACTGTTGTAAGACCGGGTAACCCCTGTATTTCCATCGAGTGAGTCGTTTGATGGGTTCTCACAGAGCGAACAAGAAGCGCACTTGGCTTTTCCTCTCCTACAACCTGTATCATAACCTTACTATTTTATGCTACTACAGTATGTGTCCTTTGTTCCTTCCGCTGATGATTGTCATGTAATAAGCACTTTGACCTTTTCTCTACTACCAAGGGATCCCGTATACTCATTGTGTTGCTCTTACAGTATGCTCAATGACATAAGTCATAGATAATCGCAAAAGCTTTCTTCATTTTAAGCTGCTACTACAGTACTACTACTACTACTACTACTACTACCAAGAACAGTGTATTTCGTTTAAAAAAAGCAGGGACAAATAAAAGACTTTATGCAACTAAAACAAGAGTAGATGTGCGAATTATATGTGCGTATACATGCGTGTTGACATGGTTTTTTGATAATAACACTAGATACAAACAGAGAAATGGAAAAGAAGCACGAACAAAAAGATTTTCAATGGGAATTGTTTGTTGGCCGTGATCTGGCACTTCGTTTAGTGGTAGCTTGTGTCTCAACTTTTGTGATTGCCTAAAAGAAAGCCACCATAAGACTCATGCATGATCGTACGGTATTCAATCTCTTTGAGCCACTTGCCTGTGCACGTCTCTTCATAGATTCTGCAATGTAAGTATGTCGTTTTGCTATTTCGTTTTTCAGTTTGCATTCACGGATACCTTTTGGGTTCAGCCATAGCAATAAATGCTGGATCTAAAAATGTCGTATCATAATAATACTTTGTTAAGGCTTTTACTCTATCTTTCTCGGGAGCCAAAAGAAAAAAAGAGGAGCCTACTTCTTCCGGATCAGAATAGCATCGCCACCAACTACTACAACTTGACATATCCTCTGATGAACTGTTTAGTCGCTGCTCAAGCCAATCACTCTCCTCTTCAAATCCTTGCGCCTTCATCAAAGCCAGCGTGAACCATTGGCCACCTCCGCGTCCCCACGGTTGTTCTGGTTCACCGTCTGGATAGTCACGTTCACGGATCATTTGGATGTCGACATCGCTGGGGCTCTGGACGTAAAGACGACCTGTACCATAAGTGCTCGAGGTACCGATGTTGTCCAGATAAAGGTATCTATTATAGAATCGATCCCGGCCTAATGGACGTATCCGCAGCGTCATGTACTTTCGCATATCCTTTTCCAATTGTTCCTCCTAGAAAAGGAATAAAGACAGTTTTATTAAAAGGCCTATCCCTTCATTGCCATCCGAAACGAAAGAAATCAGATATGTTACCTTTTTGCGAAGCACTCGTTCTTCTTCTTCCAGTTTCCGTCGCTCTTCAGCTTTTTGCCGCAGTTCTTGACTTCTTGCCTTGGCTGCCTCCCGCTGTTTCTTGTACATTTCCTTCTTTAACTGTTCCATCTCTTTGCGTTTTTGCTGCTTCAGCCTGAGTTTCTCTTGTCGCGATTTATGTCGTCGTTCATGACTCTTCACTCTACGGGAAGAACTAGGATACCACTGGTCAGCTAAATTGTTTTCCCATGCAACTGAATGTAGGTTACTCACGTATCACTATCATCCGAACCAGCACTTGCATCTTCCGAGTCATCATTAGAGTCCGAGTCGTCATCCTCACTATCCGAGTCTTCATCATCATCATCATCTTCTGAAGTGTCTTTTTCTTCCTTGTCTGCACGATCCCGTTTGTCTAACTCTGACCGTCGCGCCGCTCTGTTTATTATAGTAATGCGTATTAGTTCCTTCATAACATACGACGGGTGTAGGACGTGGACTAAAAATAGTACTTACAAAGTTTTAACTTCCTTGTTTAATTCCACTTTTTGTCGTCTAAATTCTGTAAGTTGTTCTTGGCACTCTTCCATAAAGTCCCTATACAAAGGTACTTGAGTTAGTACACCTAAAGCAAATCATTACATCTACAAAACTGTAACAGGTAGTAACTTACTTTACAGCGGTAGACTCGTTAACAGCTTCTATGAGAAAACCGAGAATCGCGAGCTTGTGTTTGATGCTCAAAGAAGGGTATTGGCGTTCTCGTTCAGATGCTGTAGAGTTGTTTCTTGGGACCAAATGACGCAGGATCATGTCTAACTCAGGCACAAGAGCCGGAGTCGCGATCTTGTTGAGACATCCGATCAATATGTTTTCCCATCCTTTACGATCATTTCTAACTTCACGACGATCCCATCCTTGTGATAATTTAAGCTGCTCCGCGTCCCGCCATCCTCGCTCCACCTTGTCACGTCGAAGACGGGAAAATGCAGTATTCTGCTGTTTCACTCGTCCTGATGGCGAATCTTCGTGATTATCCTCCTTCATTGAATCCACATACTCTTCGTTCATTAACCCGCTTGCGATATCACCGGCAATGTCTTGCTTTCGATCTTTGATGATGACGTTAAGAAGGCACACATTGCTCTCAAACAAGATATTGTTTGATCTTGGCTGAGACTGCTGTTGCTGTGGAGACTGACATAGGGCGCGTTCGAAATCGTCGATACTAAATGGCATCAAGCTGAGTGGATCCGAGAAAACGGCCAGGAACGACCAAATGGATATGAACTGTTCAAATATTTCGTCAGGTATCGCATTGTTCTTGTGCGGTGGCGGTCGATCAGGTCGTCCGCCCGTCGGATATGGAATCGTGGCTGGGCCGGTGTATTTGTCAGGTGCCATGTCGACCAACGCCCAGTTCAAGTTTGGATCCTTTCTGTAGATTGGCAAGTCGAGATCCTCAATAGGGTACTTGACTGCTGCTTGTTTCCGTCTTTCTTCTCGTTGACGCTCCTTTTCTTCCTTTAATTTTGCCTTTTGCAAAAGATTTTCTTCCTTCCTTGCCCTTTTTTCTGCCTCTTTGTCTTCCAATTCCTTCAAAGGTGCTTTCCGTTTCCGAGCCTGGCTGGCGTACGCTAAATCCTGTGCCTCTTGTAAATGGTGTGGTAATACAGTGCTGATGCCATAGTGATATGCAACGTTTGGCTGGCGAAAAGAACGACAGATTTATTATTTAGCTAACTTATTCGTTGATTATTCTCCATTTCATTAATCCCACATCTTTCGAAAATATTTACCTTGACCAACCATGGTGCTCCGATATAACTATCTCTTTGAGCACATTCTCGAATAAGTCTTTGGATCATATGACGACAGAATACACGCTTGTCTCGCCTATGTATTGTATACGAGATGATCAGTCACTGGAAAGCTAAACTCTATATAACCGTCGTCCACTATGTCATACCTTATTTCATCGCTATCCACAGTTCGCACGAAGTCTTCAAGAGGTTGTCTATATTCATTGATAAGTTGTACCCTATATCGTAGGGCCTGAGATGGATTGAAGATATTCTGTTCGTAATTCGGTGGCATAGCCTGATCGTTGCTCGGAACAGGTGTAAAGGAGGATGGATCTGGTACTACCATATCCTGCTGTTGTTGCTGTTGCTGTTGCCAAGGTTCTTGCTGGACAGGTTCATGTGTAGTAGTCGTTGTTGTACTATTAGAAGTAGAAGTAGTAACGGGCGTAGGGTGTAGAAAAGCGTCCGGAAACCGTAAACGTCCGTTTGGTTGACGTGGCATGTCATCGGGTTCAGATTCTGTTTCGTCCGAGGAACAAGCGGGTGCGATAGGCGTATAATGTTGTGTTTTGCCGTTCATTTCTGGATATATATCAACGATCTGCGCCAAATAACTGGATCCCATGATTCGGTTATCAAGTGTGTTAAAGGAAGTAACAAATTAGGAGATCATGCACACTCTTCTCTCCCCCTTTCTCTTCCGTTTCAAAAATAATAAAAAAAACTCCTGTCAAAGTCATGAGATACGTTACATATTCTCACTCAATTTGCAGTGTACCACTTCGCCGATTGCAAAGTTGAATCGAAAATAGGTATAAATTTCTTCCACAAGAGGCTCCAGTCTGATCGTTTCTAGAAACACCAGATGCAATTAGCTTATATACTTTTAATCATACCACATACACGTGTGTATATGTGTCATCAACACACCAGTCCCTCTGAGAAATTTCAAAAGTATAACTTACGGAACTGTACATGATACAGGATACGTTTTCGTAAAACTTCGCAGAACCTAAATTCTGCTCGATTCTGTTCGTCGCGACCTTCACTTTCTAAAGCTTGTTCGTACGTCAGATTGTCTCGTCCTGTTGCTTCGCAGGTCCAAATTGGTTGATGGTATAGCATGAGCCGATTAATGTATGATCTAATAACGAAAGAAACCGCAAATAAAGGTAGTTAAGGATTGTCAAGCGTATAGTGACAAGTTGACAGATTCTGCCAGAAGGGAAGTAATAAAATGAGTTGTCGTTGTAATGGTGGTGATAAAGGTGAGTTGTTGATAGATATGCAAGACAAGTATAGGCCCGGGCTGGTAATGCGAAAACCAAAGACTGCAATGCCGACACACGACAAGAGCCGGCATAGCATCCAGATTTACTGCAGCTCTATGTCAATTGGTAGAGTATATTATATAGGGGTTCTTCCACTTCTCTTCTCTCGTTAATAACTGGGGAATGAGGTTTGTTTAGAGAATTAACAAACTAATGCCTTCTTTTTTCTATACGAGCGTATACACGCGCGAATGCGTGTATACATACAAGGCCAAAGTCGAATATTAAAAAAAGGATACTCGTAAGTTGTAAAGATTTCATTCGTGAAGCGCAGGTACCACACTTCTTTTCGCTTCCGTCTCGAGTCGTAAGGAGGAGGAGCCGCAAGAGGTATACGTTTGTTGTTTAACAGGGGCATATGTAAAATGGGTCAAAAAATGAGGTAAGGGGTGGGTGTATGTATGCTGGGTCAAAACCAAGCGTTGACGAGAGAAAAAAAAGTACAGTCAAAGCAAACACAAAAAAAGAAATAAAGAGAGGAGAGACGAACTTGGAAACACGCACAGAGCGCACAGCGCACACACAATTTTTTGATCTCACCGCGGCAGAGTATTACTCCGAGGCATCGCATGCTTTCAAAATTCTCTTCTTCCGCATACGAGAGCCCGTTATTTCATACGATTCAACATGGTTTCTGTATTTATTAGTGTCATCTGCAATAAGGATAGCATGCTAAGTGTGGTACTATGGATCGTCTCCCAGTCACCCACCTCATAGCTATATATATTCTGTTCTGAGGCATACTTAAATCAGATTCGCATGAAACTGTGATTATATGACACCATCGTCATTTAGCTTTCACTGGCTTGGTATTAAATGGAGATACTGTTAGCAGTGACAGTGATATTAATACACATCTTTCAACAGACAACGACAAATAAATAAAAATAGGAAACTTGGTAGCTTCATTATGCTGTAGCACCCTCCTCATTTCCACGAAGTATCAACTGGCAGTAAGTACGCCTATAACACAACACGCATGGATTTTATAATACCGTACTCATTTACATACGGGTATGCGCGTTTAAGGTATCAATAACTATATATATACACCTTAGCACGTTTACATATGTACAGAAATGTACTGTGTCTGAGAAATAATAGTAGCAACAGCAGCTGTAACTCGTCTCTGCTTTTTCTAAAAAAATGAGACGAGCAAGCTAGCAATCAATCGAGACTTTAGATCACTTGTTTGTAACACGAACCGTGTTTCGTGTCTCTATTCAGTCCCTTGACCTAGAGTTATATGTTTCTCATTCATCATCAAGAACAATCACTGGCGAATCTCGCACGATGCTATAACCAGGCAACAACAGGGTCATCAATTTTTTTTAAGAAACGTTTCCAATAAGCAAACTCGTCTTGACTGATATCAGCATTAAATATCAATGACGATGTTTGGGTTAAAGTCTATTATATGTGTTGATGATGGGCAACCTTCGTTCGTGTTTCAATCATAAATATGCCAAAGATAAGCATTTAACGAAATCTCACTACGGTTTCCTATCTGATATTTCATTAGCCGATTGAATGTGAAGTAGATCTTACTTAAATGCAAAGGAAGATGCTCTGATATTTTTATGCCATGTTGAAAGGTCAGAGTTCTTTTAAAAGGGCTACATATCAGGCATCCGCTTGAATGTCGCCGTACAGGATATTGTGGTTAAGGTAGTAAACAGCAACAAGCTACCGATACTGTTGCTGTACATAGATTACGTTCCACGCGAGGATCATGAGCTGCATTCGTAATGAAAAACTGTGTCCCACTACATTATGAAGATTCACAACTGAGCAAACGGCGAAATGCTGACCTTGGGATGTGGTAGTAATTTGTTATGCTACCCAGCATCGAACATGGCTTTTCTACTTTGTTGCATGATAATTCTCACGACTACCGATATACTGTATACAACAAGCCTTTGGGTTCCTTTGCTTATAAATAAAGTCCCTGAAGAACTTCAAGCGATAGCCTTCAATCATGAGATCCTTCTATGATGCGTAACACTGCTCTCATCGTTAAACTGCCGTTGTATAGATTACTGTTTAGTTCGTCAGGCATGGCCGCAATACGTGTTTCTGACATTGACAGGATGTCTATTAGCGATTCGGAGCTTTGGCAAACGACATGTTTCTATTTAGGCAACAACGCGGTGTGGTGCGGCAGCGACAGTGGATGACGCCGACTACGATACTACTTATCATCGTACCCCTAAAAGTAGATTGAATGCTTTTATCAGAGCAGAGAAAACAGCCTTGCTCGAGAAATTGTTGCTTACGCTTTCTAGTTTTGCTAAAGACTGAGGACCGAAGACGGGCCCAGACATTATTTGTTTTGACAGGTTCACCCAGCTTTTACGTAATCCGGGCCGTCATATAAAAGGTTTAATCGTTAGCTTCTGCTTCCTATTTACTTTTTCTTAGCGCGATTGACTAATTCAGCGGCAAAAAAGGTCTTTCGTAGAAAAAGAGTATACAGGCTATGTCGCTTTAAAAACCATTCGCCCCTTGGATGACGACGAAGTACAGATCTCCATTTTGGCATGTGAAATGTATGTATTGGATGGATGGATGCGTGCATACGTGCATCTTGAAGATGAGAGAGATAACTGATTTATTTATTTTTTTGGGAGGGGGGAGAGGGAGGAGAAAGGGATTCATCATCATCCTTCATCATCCAACTCGAAGAACCAATAATTATCATCACTGTAATATAGCTGTGAATTTATCAGTTACAGTACATGTAAAGCAAGCAGTTTAAGGGCAACAAACATATAAACAAGCAAAGAGAAAAAGAGGTAGTTCAGAAACTGGCTTGGAAGACCGCAACAAAATCAATATGGATCTGTAGGGCACACTATCCATTGATTCCAGGACACGAGTTTGTCGATAGAATCACACCTGTTGGAGGTCATTTTGCAAGTGGATAACCGTATTGGCATGAGCCCAGTTTCCCGGAGTTGTGATTTAGGCGAGCAGTGCCAAGATGGATTTAGACAACTGTGCAACCAAAAGTGTCTACCTATGGTTCCTTGTATAAGGATTACAGAACTTACGGGGTAAGTCATCATCTCAGAAGAAAGAGAAGCTCATATACGCAGAAGCAGCGTGTACATACGTGCAAAAGCAGTCGAAATTAAAATAATAGTATCGAATGAAACTAGGGTTATTCAGACTTGGTCAGGGTCCAGGCTGATTGAACCATCAAAATCCCGGATTAATTATAAATGAAGAAGGTGCTCCTTTGTAAGTTTAAAAGGTTTGATGTTTACCTTGTGTTCGCTGCAGGTCATTGTACACTTAAATCATGCAGCACATATTACCTGTCATTTACGATGCTGAGGAATGCTGAGCGACATATAGATTCGTTATATTAGACTTTGTGCTGGTATCACACGTAAGTTGTCATCATCTTTGCTTTAATCTTCCTTTATGTTGATGTGTTCTTGCTTGCCCCGTTTTACTGATTGAACAATTCTATAATTTATAACTTGTTTCAGTTACCTTCCCTTTAAACATCAAATATCAATGAAAACACGATTGTCGGCATTGTTCGGTATTGGCGGCTTTGGTCATCTTGCTGTAAGTATATAACAGTATTGAATAGTAACAGTAGGATAAGTATGGAAAGAAAAGATAACCTCCCCTCTCAAGGGGTGAGAGTGAGTGGGAAGGTTTAATTCAACCTCAAATGTATACATACGTAAATATAACCTTTTGAAAATGGCATCGGCCCTTTACATCATGTAGATCTAATGTACACGAGCCAATAAGTGTCAAAGGATCGTGGCTATATCATCATCCAAGTCCAAGAAAGCGGAGGCGGCTGAACTAGGTGCTACTGATTTTGTTGCCTTTCAAGATGATATTCCCCCTGAATATCTGAAATCGATTGACGTCTTACTAGTATGTGGCTCAGGCAAAATGACCAATGGGATGATTTTAGAAGTATCGTCAAGACTGAGGTAAATTGATTCTACCCGATTTCCCCGATGATTCTGTACCGTTCACGCCGACTGCTTTTGTCCTACACCATATTAGCATCATTGGTAGTTTTGTCGGTAGCAGTGATGATTTGTATGATTAGTTGGCTTTCGCAAAGCGAAACAGGGAGTGCGTCCATTGGTGTTGGCAATTCTTTAGACGAAGTGAACCATGGTATATCTATGATTATGAATGGAAAAGCACATTATCGTGTAGTCATCTGTGGTGGAGGACGCAAACACTAGCAAAGATTATGTGTATACTTGTGTAGCCACTTGACACGATATCAACTTATAAAACATACATTTTCTGTATACAATAGCAATTTTTATTATCTTACACTAGCCGTTTCTGCGCTATGCTCATGTTAGGCAGGAGTAGAGAATGCCACAGTAGCGTCTACAAACATCTTTCCTGGTACAAATGTGCAACGATGCTCGTCTTCCATTTCGCTACTTACACCTGAGTTATTTTGTTGTCAGACAACTTTAAGGTGCAAACAAATGCAGCAACCAGTGGCTGGTGCGACACAAGTGTTTCACTCACACGCCTTTTCTGCTCAGACCACTTTTTGTCTAATTTTCTATATAGACGTACATACCTCTTAATTTATTATACAATGTCAGCAGCGGATGGTCCTACAACTTTTGCCGACGACGGTCAAGCCGTCATTGAACGTACGATTGACGTCAAGAGCGAAAAGCATGCAGATCTATCGACATTTTACGAAATCGAACGTACCGTAGATCACATTTTGAAAGGCGGTTACCAAAAGGTCACTTTACAGTTTCCTGACGAACTATTAGCAGACGCAGCTGGCGTGGCTTCCGAATTACGCTCCAAAACGGGACAAAATATCTATATTTTGGCCGATACTTCGTATGGTAGTTGCTGTGTGGACGAGGTCGCCGCAGAACATGTGGGTGCCGACCTTATCGTTCATTATGGCCGATCGTGCCTGAGTCCGTAAGTATAGCTATCCTTATTGTAAAACATATATACCACCCGAAATATGGGGAAAAGTATACATTCAAAGCAGGGGAAAAAGCCAGGTTTTTCCAATTCGTCGTGTATTAAATGCGTCTGTTGCTTTGCGTTCGCAGTAAAAAGAGTGATATGCAGTGTATGAATAGTAAAAGGTCATTGTTGCTGATCAATATTGTATGGAATTTATACTAGAACATCCCATTTGCCAGTATTGTACGTATTTGGACAAGAACCCATCGACTTGAACCATTGTGAAGAACAGTTTGAGATTCAGTTCCCTGATACGTCCACTCCTGTTATTGTCATGTGTGATGTCGAATACTCCTATGCCATCGGTGAGTTCTTTTCGCTGAAAGAAAGCTACGATTATTGACAACTATGTTGGATGATCGAATATGCATGGAATATCAACTGGTTACTCAACAAGCAATAAACCGAAAAACAACAGCTAGCAGCATAAACTAAACAGCAATGTCTTATGTTTTTTGGGTCGGGTGAATAGAAAAGTTGGCGTCTCGCCTGTCGCAAAAGTATACGAACATCATTCCTACCACGATACAAACGCAATCTGAACTCCAATCGACTTTACGGAAAAGCCGTCATCAGCAACAAGCAGGTGGTTGTTCCGATACAGGGGGTTGCTCTTGCTCGAAAAAGGCGGGAAATTCCTGTAATAATTCAAATGATACGAGCATGATGACGGACCAAGACCCCACAACAGAACCGAGGACGGCGTCATCCGTTGATAGCAACGACGATAAACACAATAACTACATCGACAATCCATCGTCAAGGAAAGGCGGACGATCATATGATCTTCCAGAAGGAGTGGCACTAAATGCATGCTCGATCTTTTTTGTTGGATCAGAAAGTTTAACATTGACCAATATTATGATGGTGCATAATATGTGTCCGGTATGTTAGATGGCGTCATGTCATCATCATTATCATCATCAGTCGTTACTACAGTGGCTGAAACCACAAAAACGAGAGTTTCACGAATTTCGCGCTTGACAAACAATAAGGAGTAATTTTGACAAACTTCATCTATTATAGGTATATACCTATGATCCCAAGACGCGTATAGCCAGGAAGGAAACTGTGCAGGTGAACAAGATGCTAATGAAACGGTACGCAATATAGAGATATTTGTTTTCACATACAATACTATGTACATATTGGAGGAAAAAGAGAGAAAGTTAGAAACAAAGTTATACTAGAAAGAAGATGAAAATTACTGCTTGATGGCGTATTGTTCGAGGGCGGTCGTCGTCGTCGTCGACATATACTAAAGTCATCTTTTCTGTTCTACATAGATACTTTTTGGTGCAAAAGGCCAAAGATGCAGAAACGTTTGGCATTGTAGTGGGCACACTAGGTGTTGGTAAGTCTTGGGAATGTAGCTCATTGATCTTTTTTTTTCCCGTGGGGAGACGCTTTGTATCATCGAGACAAGAGCTAATCACGCATTTTGTAAAAAAAAAGGTTCCTATATGGAAATTATTGATCATCTCAAAAAAGTGATAAACGCTTCAGGACGCAAATCCTACACATTTGTCATGGGCAAATTGAATGTGGCCAAGATGGCGAATTTTATGGAGGTGGATTGCTATGTACTAGTAGCATGCCCCGAAAATAGCTTGATTGACTCAAAGGTACGCCTATATGTCATTATTCACATTTTTATATTTGGTAGAGGAATTGGTATTGTACACACACCACCATTACCACCACCATCTCCTTCTCCTTCTCCTTCTTCTCCTCCTCCTGCTCTTACAATCACTGGATCACTGTTACTTTATCTATTCTAGAACGGTGTATGAGCAGGGTCCCCCAAGGAAGGGAAGGGAAAAGAAAACTCAAGAAAACTCTTTCATTCGTGATTTTTGTTATCGCAACTCATCTTAACATCATGGCTTTTGACCTGTGCACAGGAGTTTTACCGCCCAATTGTGACCCCATTTGAGTTAGAGCTTGCAGTTGTCAGGTACAGTGTTTTATCCTTTGATTATAATCCTCCTATGTGGTTTGCAAAATCCTCACTCTGTCTTTTGCTCTCACTCTCTCTCTCTCTCCCGGGTGTTTTAATAATATGCGGACGAAAACATGCACAGGTCCAAGGAGTGGACAGGCGACTATGTCACGGATTTCTCGAGGTTACTTCCTAACGTTCGTTCTGATGGCTTCACTTACGATGAGGTTTGTATCATTACCATTATGCTTTTTGAACTTTGACACGTGTGTACCAGGTAAGCATGTAGGATTTCTCCTCTTGTTAACACATGAAAACGTATTGTAACCATTCAGGAAAATGACGAAGCGTCCAGCGATGAAGAGCCGCACTTTTCCTTAGTGACTGGACAATATCGTTCGTCGAGCCGGACCACGTCCAAGAATGATCGTAAGTCTCAAAACACCTAAATAGAGGAAAAGCACAGCTAGTAACCTGGATTATGCTAAAAATAACGTTTCTTCAATGTAGGAGCAGACAGTGAGCTGTTGACAAGCAAACTGACAGACCTTTCGCTCCGGAACAATAGCACGACCATTACTAGGCTTCTCAATAGTACAGCAGGTAAATCTTGGAGGGTGGTGATCCGTGCTTTCTTTCTCTCTTTCTTCCCTTATTTTGTCTCCAAACATGCAACATATTTCCCGGAAGACCGAGCTCTAATGGTAATGTAGGGGAGTACCTGAAAAATCGAACATTCAGGGGTCTGGAGCAAAATCTCGGGCAGGATGAGGCTGGAACTATACAAGAAGGTCGTAGGGGCATTGCAAGAGGGTATAGTCATGAACGAGAACTGTAAAATAAAAGGAGCTTGTAGCGCGTGGATACCAAGTTTGATTGGGCGGCGGTGAGGTCGGGGGGTTAGTATAGTGGAGGGCTGTATGAGAGATACACAACTGTGGCGCGAGCATCAGAAAGAACCAGAACGGGCATTCTCTAGTAGTGGTTTTGGGGGAGTATGAAGGAGTGGGAGTGGGGGAGGGGGTTATTTGTGATCTGAGGGTCGTCTAAAATGGTGAAATGAATGCAGCCACGCGCACGCACCACGCCTACTTCATTCTATCCCGTGTTCTAAGAGTTTAGCTCACTGCGTGTGTACTTCCTCTATGTATGCTCTACACGATCTTCCTCCCTCTTTCTCTCGCTTCATTTCACGCTTCGAGTATGTGCTTGCTACCTCTTCTGTCGCCTAAACCACCCCCCTCCCAGGTTAGCATCACCACCGTCAACCCCTTTCAGTTCCCTCTCAATATATTCATCTTCTCTCAGGGAAAGAGGAAGCAAAGGCAAGGTTGTCTTACATCGTAGTGACACTCTGTGTGTGTGCAGCGCCCCTCTGTGTCTTTATTTTCCTCCCCCTTCCTTTGATCAGTCAGGGGTGGGGTTCATTCTGGATTTAACCAAAAGGGAACAAGAGAAATATGTGCAAGGATTACACTTTATGATATGATGTGCTATAAGCTCAATAACTTTAACAGCTTTTTTCTATTCATGTGGATAATCGCGAATCTTTGCGTATGTACCGTAATAAGCGATCTACCGTTTTTTTAACACAACTATGTGCCCCTCTTGCAGTATAACGCTATCTACTACTTTAAGCACATCACTTGATTGTATTACGTGCAACTCCCTTGGCGGTCTATTGCATTTATGACGAGTGATGCATCCAAGCAGAAGCCAAGATGTTTTTCTTTCTCGGCTCTGGCACACATACACTCTGGCGCTACTAGCCAGTAATCTGGGATCCACTAGGTAAAAAAAGCGCGCGACACATGCATAAGGGTACATCCTACCATCGGAATGATGGATGAAAAGGAGAGACCGGCATTTCTTTTCGATCTGTCATGAGCAGCAGCACTTTTCGGTATGGTAGTGTTTTGGTGGGATGCAGGGTTCAGATCACGGTACATCGAAAACACGCACTGTTGCTAAACCCGAGAGCGAAGCACACACCACATAGCAAAAAGTGCATGTGTGTGGGTCTACAGCAAGGCTCAGAAAGAGGGAGAGCTGTGTGCTATTAGAGACATGAGAGAGAGGGGAAAAACCTAGGGATCATTTTGCGCTCGTGCGGCCGGATAAACAATGCAGCCGATTGGGGTGGGGGGGAGGGAGGAAGAGGTGTGTATTGTGTGCGATAACCAATATAGTAGAGACACCGGGAGAATACAGGGTTTAGTAACAAGAGATCGAGCATAGGGGTAGTTTGATATTCACTTTTTTAATTTTGTTACATGCTTTTTGCACCGCGCGTCCCTGAACGCTTTGGTAGCTTTTTTGTAATATCTCGTTCAATTGTCCACAGTCGTTATCGTTCTCGCTCGTGCCCCGTTGTTAAGCTCTTTATTTAGCCATTTCTAGTACACTTCTCGTGCATTACCACTTTGATAAGCTATTGGGTCCGAGACCAAAAGCTCTACTGCGAGTCATTGTGAAGTTACTTACAGAGATCGAACTGTGTATCGCAAGGTTTCTTCTTTGCTATCGAGAGCGCCGCAGGGAGCTAACCCAAGTTATCTCTAACAAAGTTGCTGCTGTGGCATACACATTGCCATCAGCCTATACACATATAATACACGAAAATTCTGTATATTTGTATTTGTCGGTGCCGCATGCATGCCAACGAAAAAGATTGAAAAAAGCCAAGGCCATCTTGGGCCCCCTTTTGTAACTACATCGTTGTCACTATGATACCCTCGTTTCCTTTAAACGCTATGAGCTTCATCCCGCGCGCTCTCCGTGAGCTGTCGCCTCCCCTTTAAGCGATCCTTTTAGTAGGGACAAAATAACACACAAATGAATTGATGAAAGGGACCCTATACAAACACAACTATCCCCACCCGCGCTTTTTTCTATGTGTACTCGTTTTCAGGTACAAGCACAAGAGTGTCCAAGTGCTACCTCTATCCCGCAAAACGCACGCACGCGCGTAGACCCTCTCTCTCTCTCGTTTACTTATTCATACCCTCGTCGTTACGTATTATTCGCTTAGCACAGTTTTCTTACAATAGACAGACAGACAGACAGACAGACCATTCCCACCTTGTCATGTTGTTCTTCAAGACCCTATTTCTTTTCACCCCTTTTTTTCGCTGGAATTTTTTTCACTTTTTGCTCTCCTTCTCCTTCTTTATGCAACTACCGATATGAGAGGCCTTATCCGAGTCCGTTACACTATATAAACTAGCCTCAAGTTTGAAATCCAACTCGCTTCAATCTGCATCCCCACTTTCACACAACAACTACAACAGCAACTGTTACTATTACTATTACACACAAACACACTTTGCACTTTGTTTAATTTCCTCTTTCACTCACATATACCTCACACATACACTTTGCATTTCATACCATAATTCATCATATACTCCACCCTAATGTCAACAGATACCATGCAATCATTCGAGCAGTCTTTCACTCTAGTCAACTCTTCCAACGACGCACCAGCTTATTACGCAGCCGCCGCCGCAGCAGCAGCCGCAGCCGCAGCATCATCAGCACCTCCTCATCATCCAGCAGAAGCCGATTCGAGCTATCTTCTCGAGACTTTCCACCAGTTTCCACACGGTGACTTCCGACCCACATTCTACAATCCCTTTGAAATCAAACATCGTCGACGGACATCGCGGGCTCAGCTCAAGGTATTGGAAAAGTCCTTTTCCGAGAACTCCAAGCCCAACGCTACTGTCCGCCGCATCCTCGCACAGAAGCTTGACATGACGCCTCGTGGTGTCCAAATTTGGTTCCAAAACCGAAGAGCAAAAGCCAAGTTGCAACGTCGCAAACAATCGGCAAGCGAAGATCAACAAAAGCAACAGGCTCACCACCACCACCACCAGCAGCAGCATCATAGTCACGAATACCAGAAGCAGCAGCAGCAGCAGCAGCAACATCATCACCTTCAACATCAAGATTCCTTTTCTTCGGCTTCGAGTGACGAGTGTAATATTAACAGCAGCGGCAACAATAGCGACATGGATCAATCTGTTTTGTTCTCTCAATTTTTTGCTAATGTCCAGCCACAATCTGGTAATGCAGGCAAGCCAGCGTTCACTAGCTATTTGCCTCCAAGTGGTGGCCAGATGACCACCACTATGAAGCCTCAGCAGCAACAGCAAGAGGCGCCAGTATGGGGTTCATTGCCTTGGCAGCAGCAGCAACAGCAGCAACATCAACAAGAGCAGCAACAGCAGGAATCTCAGTCATCGGATAACGTTCGTTCTGTGGCGGCTGTTGCGGCCGCAGCAGCTGCTGCCGCTGCCGCGTCTACTTCTTTCGAGATCAACCCCACTTTTGCACCTGCATTCGACAATAGTACTGACAACAACGATAGCTGGTTGAATGTACCAGTTCATCCATTGACGCACAGCGACGAATCTTCCAAATTCGCTGTGAGCAGCAGCGACAATAGCGTGTCGCGTAGAAAATCATCCCCAGCGGGTGCTTCAGCACAACAAGCTGCAGCGGATCAATCTTGCCTCTTGGCAGCTCAATATTCTTTAAGCCTTCCTCAATCTTGGGCAGCTACTGATCAGGTATGTTTTAAAACAAGTAGTTTAGTTTCATTTATCCACTTGAGTAAAGTATTAGCGAGCATGACTAACTCGTCCTTTTTTGCAGTGCAAGGAGCGACGTTGGTCTGAAAACGATGTGGCATCATGGAGTACAGCAACTACCACTAATTCCACGACTGCTAATGACAACAACAATAACTGCTGCAACTTTTCCGGCTGCAATGATCTGCGAAGGGACTGGTCGCTCGAAGCATGCTCTCCTTTACCCGACCAAATCTCGATGGATTTCTACCCTCTGCAAGACTTGCCCTTGGGCTATCCCCCCGTACCGGCTGCACCACAGCAATACACTCCTCCGCTTGCATCCTCGTGCTCTGCCTCCACCGTTTCAACTTCCGTCACAGGGTCACCTATCTCCATCGATGGCTACTACGAAAGTAACAACACTAACTCTGCCAACCATCATCATCATCAGCACCATCATAATAGCAACAATGGATGTTTTGATTGCCTGACCCTTCAACAGCCCCCCATGCAACATCAACAACAACAACATGCTTCATCCACCTCTACACCATCAATTACATCGTCTGCAACTTCATCTTCTACGGTTGCAGAAGCACTTTTCACATCTACTTTTGCTTAAATCATCACTATTTTTACTCTGCATCTTTGACTTTGTTACTATTGCACAACCACATCAACCTACTTCACACCCGCACACAGTTCTCTCCTATTCCCTTCCACACCTTTTTCTCATCTAATATCTGCTTTTTCTCTTTGCCCTGCTAATCTCTTTCCTCCCCATGCTTTCATTTCTATCTATTTATTTGTTTCTCACTCACTTTCCACCTACATACATTACACTATCCGTTTCTTCTTTCATACATTATGATTACTTCTCCGCTTATATGCCCATGACCACCGCCACATTCAATTCTATAATTTTGCATATATCCTCCTCTCTTTCTCTATGCTCTAATCAAGGGAACAAAGTCGAAAAGGAGTCGAAGGAAAAAAAAAAGTTTTTCTTTTTGTAATCCTAGGGACAGGAAGCACCCTGCAAAATCATTGTAATCACCACTTATTCTTTTCTTTTTCGTTTCAAGGGACTTTTTTCTTTTTAATCATCACCATCATCTTCATCTTATTCTTTTCTCTCTTCTTGGTTTTTTATATATACAAAGTACATATACAATTTCTTTTTTCCTTTCTCTTTTAGCATTACATCGCATAAATACATATATGAATTTATACAACCGCATACATCGTTTTATTAAAGACTTTCTGCTTATTTTTACATTTAATCTATACACATTATTGCTTTGCTTTTTTGGCTTTTTGTTCCAAGTTACCAGTGGTAGAAGAGCTACTGCTGCTGCTACCAGCACCCTCTTGTTTCCGCTTGTTATTAAGTGATACTAGATCACTTACACCTTCAACATACGGTTCTGCAAGACGCATCCTCATCTTTTGACGCATGCCTTGCTCATCTCCTTCCACACATATTTCTACCTTCACCGTTCCGAACATCTTGATGATCACATCACCTGCAACAAGTGAATTATGTTCTTCGTTGTATTCGAATGGTGAAGTGTCGCCAGGCTTTTTGCTTGTGTATACGATTCCTTCGATACCATATCTAGTTTGAGATGTATGTGTAATATTACTTTTAATCTTTGGGTTCTAACTGTTATTCGAAAGGAGTTCATATGCATCTTTAGACTTACTTGGGAGCAAGAACAACAAAACCATTCTTGAGGATACGAATAACGCGGCCTTCTTCGATTTGCACCTTGTTTTTGAAAAACATGTTTGTATACAGTTCTACTGAACTACGACCGGCTTGTTGTGCCATTCTATGACGATGGTTCAAAACTATAAGAGAAGGGCATAGAACATATTAGTACGTCGAGTCTTCTTTAGATTCAATTACGACATATTTACAGGAAAACATGAACTTACCATCACATAAATCTTTCATCTTGCTCTTGTCAATAAGCTCTTGGCCATAGACAGCATCAGGATCAATACTAGCTTGCAGCAATCGATGTACAATGACGTCTAATGGAATGGTTTAGTCGGTCATAAGTAAAATCTTGTTCTTTCCTTTAGTAAAAAAGAATTCGATCCCAGTATCGTCCGTAGTACATACCAGAATAGCGGCGAATAGGTGATGTAAAGTGAGTATAGATTGGTGTTGCAAGACCGTAATGTCTAAACTCGGATTCAATCTCTGTGCCTGAGCAAAAGTATTGCGCCTGCATCATGCAGCGAGTTGTCATAATTCGCACAAGCTTGTTAAAATAAGGATCATTTGGTAGCTAGAATAAGCGAGTATTAGAATAGCCATCATATAGTGTCTCTCAAAAAATCCTGTTCTTTGCGTGTCACTGTTCACTTACAACAGCCTCGTCCAGTGAATCGGCTAATGCCTTAGATGATTCGACGTTCAGCGTTATATCTACTTCAGACAATGCCTTTCGTAAAATATCGAAATTGTTTGCAGGAGGCGCCGCGTGTTTACGAAGCAGTGCTGACATTGGGAACTTTGAATAGATCTTTTCAGCGACCGAGATATTGGCGAGTAACATGAACTCTTCAACCAAGGCGTTTGTTTCCTTCAACTCCTTCAGTTCAACGTCGACCGGATCCTGCGAATCGTTCTCAAGGTTGAATCGGACTTCTGGACTAGATAAGGTTAGTGCACCCCGCTCAATTCGCTTTTGACGCAGCTTTTTGGCAAGCGAGTTGAGCACGCGGATGCCCTTGGTAATATCATCTTGCATACGTCTAACGTAAGTGAAAACAAAAAGGCGCCGCAGGCGCCAAGGAGAAAATTAGAGTAAAGTTTTAGTATTACTTTCGGTTGTTGTGGCTGCAATATCATGATCCTTAACGCCTCCCCCACTTACTCGTCATCAATACGGTTCTGCGCCTCCTCATACGTGAAAGAATTTTTGGACAGTATGATGCTCTTTGCAAAGTCTACATTGACAATCTCCGCGTTTTCGTTTATTTCCCAGATACAGGAGAACGCCAGGCGCTCAACATTGGAACGCAAGGAGCACAGATCTGTTCAACGTTTAACGAAATTAGTAATAAGAAGCTGGTTACGAACGGCACAGAGACCAATAGTAACAAGTTTTTTTCTCCTTTTCTTGCAAAGCCTTTTCCTTTTCCACTTACTAGTTCCGAGTAGAGCTGGAAGCATATCAATACGCTTATCAACCAAATATACGGTTGTGCCCCTGTTCGCCGCTTCCTCATCCATTGTCTGGCCAGGTTTGACAAAGTATGTGACATCGGCAATATCTATCAAATGCAAAGTGAGTTGATATAGATTCTCTTTCGATCATAAGTGCTGTTGTCATTTTTAAGGACAAGTTTGATACATACGAACACCAACTTCATAATTTCCATTTTCAAGCGATCGAACGTGAAGCGCATCGTCAATATCAGTACATCCTAGCAAATCCATTTTGTCAGTATAAGTTGGCATGACAAAACGTGCTAAAATAACCACGTACACACACACGCACGAGTTTTAATTCGACATACCTGGAGGATCGATACTGCATACGTTCAAATGACGAAGATCACGGCGATTTTCTTTCTTTACATGTTCTTCAGTAACCACCCATTCATCGCCTTCAACGGGTAGGTCATCCAATACGCGTTTAGAGAACTCCTGATAGGGCACATCGTGTTCCAATAATAAAACTTCGGTTTCAGTTTCTCGATCACCCGATGATCCAAGCGATTTAACAAAATGTCCCAAAGGAAGGCTAATATCACAAGCAATAAAGAGACAAGATAAGACACTCTCACTTTGAACAACTTTTCTTTTAATCTAAAAAAATGACTTACACTGAATTTGCGGGCCAGCTATCAACAGCAACAACAATACGTGCACCCAACAGGCTGTGCGCCTGAGTCGTTTTAATTTTGATACCTGGAATTCTTCGATCAATGGCACGGAATATCACGTTTTCAGCTGCAGTCGAACCAGATTTTGAGTGCACCGATTTTTTGACGATAAAACCACAGTATCTAATTGATAAAATGTAATAAATCATAGTTAGCATCCGGCATTTCAAGAGTTTTGAGACTATTACTTACGGTCTCCATTTTTTCCGAATAACACCAACAATTCTGGCAGTAGGCTCGCCCACTTCATCGGGATTGTTGTCTTCAGCATCCTTCATATCGGCATCCAAAGAATCCTCGCCGTACATTTTTTCTTCGTCTTCCTCTTCCTCGACAGCCAAAGACGTGTTCTTTTTCCATTGCTCCTTTGGAAGAATCTCCACAGCAACAATATCGCCCTGGATACATCGATTCATATTTTTGCGCCCAAGGATATAAATCGTCCGTTCTTCGCCATCCAATTTACTGTAAACAGTACCCTATTAAAATTTACCCATTGAATTACATTTAGTCGAACTTCAGCCTTTTTTTGCCTGTGTGCCATCAGTTTCTTTCAATCCTTTTTACCTCCAAAACATTGTGTTGGCTGATATTCAATGTGCCTTGAACCAAAGAGCCTTTCTTGATACCATTAGCGATCTGAGCAGCTGACAAATGCTGTTGTTTTTGTTGTTGCCATAATTATACCATGTTAGTTCCATGATTTCTGTATCAGTAAACCTTTTTCATCTAGATAATTAACACTTTACCTCCTCATATATAATCTTATCCTTTTCCAACGAATTATCCTTATGTGCCGCTAGCATATCCAATAATTCTGGTACATCTTTCATGCTTTCCACATAATTACGTACTATGTAATAGAATAACTGGTTTTAGTATTTTGAACGTATGCAAGACAGATCATTAGATGCATACGCATATACATATGCATATTCATACCTGACAACGATTTGATATTGGTGACGGAAGCCTTATCGCGATTGGCACGGTCATCACTAAGCATGACTGCCTCTATCCCAATTCCTTTCAAATGATTGGCATACCATTGCGTGGCCACACGGATAGCTAATATGAAGAAATGTATCAAATTCCATTAGATAAAATGCATATTATGTATACCATTCTGCATAAACTATATATTACCTCTATCATTTCGATCGTTCGGGGACTCGTCCTTGAGCTTTTCAAGATAGGTATCTCTATGAAAGGCTGTCAGCATTCTTGCAAAACAATATTTTTATCACTTCACAACCTCCTTTCGAAAAGGATAAAACCGTTACCTATGATGTTCGTTTGCAAACATATAAAAGCGTTTGTTCGAATCGGACAGGATTGCATTTAATCGGTTATAGACAGGAAGACTAAGATGTTTAACTTCTTCTCTAACAGTTTGCAAGACAACAACGTCCTTGATCGCAGGATGCTCCATAATATCGAGCTAAATATAATCAAAATCGATCAATTCGTGAGCGTGCAATTAAAGAGCTATACGTTTACATTGTGATTGGTTTTTCGACCGAAATGCGAGAAATTCAGACCTGATTCATAAAGACATTGGTGTCGGGTATGATATAGTGAGGATGCTTGAGAGTGGTCGTGCTTCGTGGAGTACGAGAAAGGACGGGTCGACTATGTTGTTCGCAGATCGTGCATGCTTGTGAAGAACATGGAATGTCATCGCGCAAGTAGTGTTCTTTAACGACTTTAACGACGTTGCCTTTTTTCGTACGTTTGACAAACGACTTGGATCGCAACATGATTCAGGAAAAAATGTCGTCTGAAAGGAGAGTGGCTGATACAGAAAGCGTTGGTTCAGAAATTTGACAAGCGGCGGCGATTCTTGTTAGCATTGCACAGAAAAAATTAACCATCAACGAGTTGCGTATAACTTTTTACTCTTATCACTAAGAAAAGGTATGTATGAAATTTAAAAGCGATGGAAACGTAAAGGCCATTGCGACGTTCGCGAGGAGGTGAAGATCAAGCGTCTTACATCCTCAGGGCACCATATTCTTGGCACTGTTGGATGCTCGCCCCTCTGGATAGTAACCGCATTTGGTACATATTGGGTTTTTCGTACAAGAGTTGGTATCGATTAAATTGCTCATCTTCATTTTATTAGAGAAACAGCCAATGATTAGGTATTCTCGAGCTTCTGAAAAATAGGTTAACGCAACGTTGCTCGTACGAAATTACTTGAAAACTTATTTAACCTCTTGTTGGATTTGCCCAGTAAACAGACCATATCTACAAAAAATTCTTAGATCAACAGAATATGAGCTGAGTCGTAAGATAGATATGTACTAAAACACAACCAACAGCTGAAAGCCAGAGTCGAATTTATGTCTCATCGATTTGGTTTTTGCATATCATATCCGTATTGATTTCTAGACAATTACCATGCGTCTTTACGGTCTTGCCATCTGCAACTAAAAGTACCAAATTGCCCATACACGTAGTATTTTTGTTTCACGACAATGACTAGTAGCGCTAGGACCACCAATTAAAATGTGTCATAAGTTTCGATTAAGAGTGTCGACGTTATTCTGCGTGTATATGGTCTAAATTGACTAAATGTACATGAGAAACAGATATTCTAACGTTATTATGGTATTCAGCACCACTGGTATGCAGATAGAGGCTATCGGCTGGATTCCGCCCCATACTCTATACAATCATGTCTTATTCTTAACAGAACTCTGGCTATTCCCTCCGAACCACTACTACCCTTCCCTCATCCACAAAACAGATAACATAGGAGCTGACAGCTACCACTATTGCATTTCACCTCCTATAGAATTTACGCTCTGTGGTACGGATAGCTTCTCGATATGATCGGCTTGCTATTGTATCCCATGTAAATAGCAAAATCTATTGCTAAGCCCGACGACAGCCCCCCCCAAGTATTGCTTCCTTTAAGTGACACAAGGAGTTTTTGATTATGTAAGAAAAGAAATGGGAGAAAGAGAGAGCGAGTTTATTCATCTAATGGGAAAGCAATACGAATCCAGGAAAGATATGGCACGAATAGAGTTCCTGAGAACGCAATCAGTATGTAGATGCGGGGAGAGGAGAGGGTGGCGACAGCAAAACCAACGGTTGGAATGCACTAAAAAAGAAGAAAAGAAGATGTGATATGAACAGGATCATTTGATTTTTTGGGACGAGGGGAAAGTATGGTAGTAGTAGTGTGTGATGACAGTGGTGGATAGCAGTAATAATAATGAAGTCGTCGTCGAGCCATATACACAATTGTCATTGTTATTGTTGTTGAATCGGTGATATGGGGTAACAGAAAAAAGGTGGCGTGCTTATATTTATAGCTGTAAATACCCAAACATGCAAGTTAGCAAAACGAGAAAGAAATAAAGAAGCCCAGTAACATGTTGTTTCCTCCATCCTTCCTTCTATTTCATCCGAGCCCCAAAGACAAGTGACTTACAATAGCATCCATTTTCGTGAGCACGTTAAGAACAGCCGCAGTGACTTCCAATGATAACTCAGTACCGGCTGCCATCTCGATCTTTGCACCTGCGGTTCCCGCAAAAGGCCATGTAGAAAAGTCATTCATGAGCTCGTCGACCTTGTTGAAAGCTTGTTCCCGAAGATCGGGCTGCAGATATAAAAGTGCGTTTTCCAAAACATTGGCTGCATAAGCAGCACAAATCATGCTGACCGTCCGTAAATATGCGTGGGGGACGTCTGATTGCAAATCAATTGAACTCGAAGATACACGCGTAACGAGCATTGTACAGACGCGCTTGATGATTTCTTCCTTGGCTCCCGTGTCGGCAATCGGATGCGTGGCCATGTCGAATAACAAGAAGTTCCGTTTCTCCGTTCGCAGCACGCCCTTGTCAACCAGTCCCTTTGCTAGACGTTCTCGTACTTGTTTTAACTGATATCCAATTTTCATCACATTCCATGTTTCACCTATTTAAAAAAAAGCGAGTCTATATAAGCTTCTCTGCATTTGCGGCCACAAGAAGGAAATCCTTTCTTTAAGAACGGACGCAAAAGAAGACCAAGAGTGTAACCCACCGCTCATCAAATCAATCCAGCTAGCAACGCTCATTTTTTCGCTGATCTTCATCATCTTTAATGCCTCGTCAAGAAGTACTTCGCCTGTCAACTTGTCATTAACCACCTCGATAAATCGGTCAGACAACGGGTACTTTCTCCGGTTGGCGTCTTTTACCATGGCAATTCGTCCTCGGAACGCAAGTTCCATTACGATACAACCGCGCAACGCATAACTGATACTATCATTCCAAAATGAAAGGTATCCCTAATGATGATATATAAGTATCCACCATCACACATGATATTAGAGAACAAGAACTGGACAATGCCTCCTTTTCATTTACGCACATACACCACCCATTCATATAAGGCTTTTCCTCCTCCCTCTTCTCTGTGCGTATCTATGTGTTTGCATATCCAAACTTCAAAAGGTCTCGTTACCTGTCTGTCCTTCAAGCCGAGTAAAAGAACCTCTTCCATAAGAGTGAGTTTTGGAGTGCTTTTGCTTTCATCGACATCGCGTGGGTCATAAGCGACCTTCTTTTCTGATGAAGGCGACAAATTGTCTTGCGATCGGCTAGCTCCTTGACTACTGGATTCTGTACCATCATCTGCACTGGCTGAAGCTCCAGCTACCCGTCTTCGCGTGATGGTCGACATGATGTTGATGTTACGTTATGTTGTATAAGGTGTTGTGGCAATTTATAAAAACAAAATATTGTGTGTATATAATAAGATACGTCTTTTCGTTTTATGGTCGGCTGGTTGGTTGGTGAAAGGTTTCGAATCGTTCCAAAAGATAATAAACTAATAGTACATTAAAAGGTTTAAACGATGGAAGCAAGGATTAATACTATGACAAGAGAGTATGTGACATACCAAGCAAAGTACAACAACGACCACGCACGAATTTTTTTAGCACGCACAGTTATTACACTCTCACAGGAACGCAAAGGGTGATGTTTGCTGGGCTCACCTCGAAGAATTATAAAAAATGGCGGATTGCCTAATTAGTCCAAGCAATGGCCTACCAGGCCGTCACGTGTTGGTGCACTCTTTGTGTAAACTTGCCAAAACCATCCACACACGCTTACTGGCTTAAGCATGGACAATACGTACTATGATTGACGTGTCGTTCCCATACAAAACTTTTTGTAAAAGCTCAGCATGATTTAAGTACACGTCTGTCTGTGCATAGAAGTGTAGTATAATAGTGTAGTATATATTAAAGTCATCGATAATCCAACCGCATTCACCTCTGGCACAATGAGCCAGGAGCTGCATGTCATATACAGAAGAGTCCTAGACAGCTCTAAGATGCATATATCAAATCGTGTGTGTGCTAGTACGATAATGATTAAAGAAGCTTTCTTCTTTTCGCATGAACTCTGATATGTACAGCAAAAAATTTCAGGTTTGGCTGGAATGAAACAAGAATAAAGAGCATCTGCTCAAAGTGACAGTTTTGTAACCCCTCTCTCTTTTCTCTTTGACCATCAACCCCTTTTCTATCCATTTCTCGTATTAGGCGTGACTATTGAGCCTCACTCTTCTGTTTCTCTGTGTCTGTGCTCGCTCAAAATATTTATATCAGACAGCGATCTTACCCCGTGATTCCTATTTTTTCTCTTTTTCTTCTTTCTTCCTTTCTTTGCATAATAGTCATCCAAACCAGATGTTTTCGCTTCGGTACCGGCGAACGTCATATGCCGCGCATCAGCAAACAACTACCAGCAGTGGTGGCAACGACATTGGTACAGACAACAACAGCAAGAGCCCCTTTTATTGTGATGAAGATTACGACGCCAAGTCTAAAAAGCTCAGCAATGTACGGCCGCATTATGTCATGAAGGCCCTTGGCAGCGAGCTTACCGCTGTGACGGCACTGACTCTCGTTGCTCTCGTTTTTCGACTATGGTCTATCAACGTTCCACGTACTGTCGTGTATGTGTATACCATGACTTGTTCTCCTGGATAGCATAGAGAAAACAGCGCTAAAATATATTCTCGTTGATGAATAACAGATCAGCAGAACTTGAAATATGCAACCAGATCAATTGGTATATGGCAGAAAAGTTCTTTATCGGCGCATATCCACCACTTGCAGGCATGTTTTACGCTACTCTTGCGCGTTATTTCGGATACAGTGGCGGTGAACCGATCTATTATGCTGGCCAGTAAGTATTCACAGTTACTTATTCTCTGTTAATTCTCATCATTGATTTACCTTGCTCTATCTAGACATCCATTTAGGTTCCCGTTGTCAGAATTACGTGTCACTTCTGCAGCAATTGGCACACTCTTGGTTCCAATTGTCTACCTCACTGTTCGCAAATTGGGTCACCAGCAGCCAGCTGCAACTACGGCTGCTGGTTTGCTTATATTCGGTAAGATCTTGTTATTGCTATTGCTATTGCTCAATTATACGCGTGATACATATCATTACATGTGTTAAATGAAAATGATTTATGCATTGTTGTTACAGAGAACGGCCTTATCACACAATCGCGTTTTTTAATGCCAGAAGGATTATTGTGTCTGCTTTGCAGTCTGACAGCATTAACATGGGCGATCCAGCTGAGGAAGCAAGAAAGGTAAAGCATAGTGGAGTGTTCTATATAGTGTGAGACACATCATTAACTTGGATATGCATATGATTTTCTAGGGAGCCATTTATGATTCCGTATAATTTACAGGCTATAACCGGCGTACTTATGGGATGTGCGTTAAGGTAATGCGACTCTGTTAGAACTACGTAGGATTAAATGAAAAAGCCGACAGAGAGATACACAGATACTTAAAAAGCGAGTATGCGATAGTATAAAATGGCAAGGCGTTATTTCTCTTGTAGTTACATGGACTTCTACGCTGACGTATCTGTGGAAGATTCTGGGCGAGAAAAAATTTGGCTTTGTATGTAGTATATGTGGGAATTATATCTATAGCAGATCGATAAGAGTCTAACGTTATATATACGCTGAATATGTAGAACTACGTCGCAAAGCAATTCATTGCTCGCTTTATCACGACAGCGGTGCTCCCATTATGCATCTATCTTATGCTCTTCCACATTCATATTGGCATGATCCCAATGGCAGGCGACCATGATCTTGTTGTGAGTCCACGACTACGTTTCTCACTAGAAGGCAACGAATTTCCAAAGACCCAACAAGATATTGCGTACGGCTCAAGCGTTGTCCTACGTCATTGGGGCAGTAATGGTGGCTATTTGCATTCCCATTTCAAGCGATATGAAGGCGGTAGCACCCGTAAGTTTCAAAGAAAACGAATGGATAAGGAAAAGGAGGGAACTCGAACTATTCATGCTGAACAACAACGATATAAACAATGTGCAGAGCAACAAGTATCTGTTTATCCATTTGAGGACATGAACAACATCTGGGTCATCCATAAGGCTGATAATCGTTGGAACGCATCACAGCCGGTCGAGTACGTTCGAAACAATGACCGAATAATGCTGGAACACTATTCGACAGTGCGCAAGCTTCACTCACATGATCATCGGCCTCCTGTGAGCAACAAAAAGGAGCAAAGCGAAGTAAGGTATTTAATCAAGCAATAGTCTCAAACATATTTACCTGTACTTGAGTGTGGTCTCTGTTTTTGGAATGGTTAAACTTAAGGATGCTGCTTCTAGTGCGTACGGTGACCCCTTAGTCCGTGATCCCCATGATTATTGGTGGATCCAGGTCTTGTACGATGATGGCCAGAGCGATGGCGATGACAAAACCCCGATCAAGGCAGTGAACACGCGTATTCGTCTACTGCATTCTCGTATCTGCCATTTGCTCAGTCACAACGTACGGCTACCCGATGCAGACAAGCCTCAACAAGAAGCTATCTGTATGCAAGGTGCTAAAAAAGAACTCAGTGCTTGGGTTATCGAACAAGCTTACCATGAAAATTGTAAGTACACTGCTATTTCTTCTTTTTTCTTCGGAGAAAAAGGAAGAAACTACAAGTGCATACATATAGCCGCAGAATTAAGGTTGATGATGGATTCATATAGTGGAAGGTGAAGAGTTGGTTGGCTATGAGAAAATGACAAGAATGGAGATCATCAAAGAAGTGCATCGGCACATGCTGTCGTATCGTTCGGTGATGCATGATCATTTGGCACCAACACCGCCTGCGGATCCCACATTCCAAATACAGTTATTAAAACGGGAGCAAGCCAAGCCAATGGATTGGTTCTTTGGAACAAAGGCATACCGTTTATGGGACCAAGTTGCTGGTCGATCTGTTTATCTGGCAATGAATCCGTCGGCCAAGGTGATGACCTTTATTGCCTTGGCTACATGTGGCATGTACATGGCTTTAAGCACAATCTTGCAAAAGCGTCAAATCAAATTACCGCGAGCATTTGAGTGGGCAGGTATGCTATCTCTCCTCTGTTATTTCAGATAATTATCCTATAGTTCAACACTTTCTCTAAGCAAAAAAGTATATTCCAGGCTGTGATCCATCCGCTACCAGAGAGCTCTATTGTCAATCGATTACCTTTTTCTGCACAGCGTCCTTAATCCACGCCCTTGCTCTTTATATGATGCCCGCGTTCAATCTAAAACTAGCAGACAGTTTGCCAAGCGCCTACTTCAGTGCCGGTCTCATCGCCGTCGTATTGGATGCTGTTACATTGCGCATGAGCAGAAAGACACAATACTATGCATGTTTGACAGTTGTGTTGCTTGCCTGCTATGGATTTATCCAGCTCTATCCTGTTTCATACGGCAGTCGATTCTGGACACAAAGTGATTGCAGAAGACTGAATGGTATTGATCTAGAATGTAACCGATATCCAGAGACAAATCCTCATGCTCAACAGCAGCAACAACGAGTAACTGAGGACGAAAAACGCGACAAAATATCGATAGTATACGTTGATATGCCAGGAAAAGCTGAGCCGTTCCGCTACCATATTGGACATGAAATACAAGCCGATGAGCATATTGCTGCTATGCAGGGAGCGTCATTCAGCAAAGCGTACCGCGAAGCAACTGGCACTGCCCGTTACCATCGAGTCGAAAGCACGCCAGGTCCGTCGGAGACAGAAGTAGCTATGTGGCAAAAGGAAATATTCGCACATGCAAGAGAACGAGCTGAGCAAGAAGCGATCAAGGTGGTAGAAGAGGCAAACAAGAAGCTAGAGGAGGAAGCAGCGCAGAAGGAACACGAGGAGCAAGGTCAGCAACAAGAAGCTGAACAACAGAAAGCAGATGATTAAAAGGTTGAAGAGCCAGAACAGCAGTAAGAAGTAGAACAAGAAACGTAATATCATCGTAGCACTATAATCATCATCATCTCTTTCCATATCAATAATAAACTATCAGTTCGCTAATAGCAAAGCAAAATCTTCTTGTGTATCTGACGACAATTTATGCAACTGCACTCCGCTTTTGTTTGTTTGTGTGTTAGGATACTAGCTGGTAAGTATGTCCTACAAGTTTCGTTGAAGCTTGCAGCAATCACTTTTTTGTGAAACATCAGACCAGGTTAGCGTTTTCCTTGCAGGTAACTACTGCTGTCATAACGAAAGCTCCATCAAAGCAGCATATGAAGGTTGTTTGAAGAACATCATGATTCGCATTAAAGCATTCCTGTATGTGGTTCCTACATTGACAGTTCCCTAGCAACGCGGCTGTGATGCACCGATAAGTTCTATATGACTAGCTTGATTGTGTCGGTCTGGTCGGAGAAAACGGTGCCCAAGCAAAAAAATTCGGACAAACCGCCGGGGCACGGTTGGAAGTGCCGGGCCGACCCCGACTGGTCAACGGAGTCAATGGCAGCAAACCTTTAAAACAAGTTCAGGAACATCGGCCTCTTTTAAAAGCGCGCGCTTTTCACTAACCTATTTTCTCTGTCACTTCATCCCACTTCTTCATCCAGTTTATTGAAAGATGACTGTCAAAGAAACCAAACTAAGCTGTTCTTCAAAGTTGATGAAGATTTTCTTCGTCTTGACCTTACTCCTTTCTGCCCTTATCGGTTTGGACCAAGTCCGTGAACGATTCTACATTTTCGATCAAAAGGTGCTCGAACGAGTTGCTCAAGAAAACATTGCCAAATACCCTAATGACAGCCGTGCCATGTTCCATGCCATTGCCGCTGATCTCGACAAGGAGTACCCTGGGCATGTTGAATTGAAAGAAGAATGGGTGTTCAACAACGCTGGTGGTGCCATGGGCTCCATGTGGATCTTGCACGGTTCCATTACCGAATATGTCATCATGTAAGTTAATTTTTTTATTTCGTTGTTAGTGTGCTCCCCACTCTCTCTTTTTTACACTGTCGTTTTCGCTCGGTGCTTAGTGACTTTTGCTGACGTTATTTTCTTGCACGAACAATAGCTTTGGTACCCCCCTTGGTACAGAAGGTCACACTGGCAGATTCCTTGCTGATGATTACTTTATTATCCTGGAAGGTGAACAATGGGCATATGCTGCCGGCGAGGTTGAACGTGAGGTAAGGTTAAAAAAATCTGTTAGAAGAGAGTGGAACAGGGAATATGACAGGTTACTGATATTGGAATTTAACAGGTCTACAAGCCTGGTGAGATGCATCATTTGCCCCGCGGCCATTGTCAACAATACAAGATCCCTGAGCACGCCTGGGCTCTGGAATATGCTCGTGGATGGATTCCTTTGATGCTTCCTTTCGGTTTCGCTGACAGCTTCTTCTCTACTGTCGATTTTATCAGCGTCGGTAACCAAGTTCGTCTCTATGGCAAGGCACTTATTGGTGAATTGTTCAAGGGCAAGATCTAAAAGAACACCGATAAGCAAAGGAAGTGAGAAAGATGTTAAAACTCTACTAGAAATCAGTAATCCGAGTAAAAAGTTCACTTTCCTTCCTTATAGTTACTATACATCATATACTCTTTAAAATAAGTATACTCTAATCATCCTTTCCGTACACACAGTAATACATATTTATACGATTTCTCTATTAATGCTACGTGTTTGAGTGGGTACAAGCTGTAGGATGGGCAAGCGTATGGTATACTACATGGGAGCAACGCTGGATGTAATGAACGTTATGCATGTACATAATCTAGGGATTTGGTACGATTATTGGAAAACGGTGCTCGACAATAGATCGAAGGGAGACTCTAAAAAGTGTGAGGGTATTGTATACAAATATTTTGAGCGATATCAAATGTGATTACATATCAACATTCGCGCATAAAAGATGATTTGAAGCTGGAAAAAAACATTACAAAAGATGGAGAATCATACGTGCTCTAGAGTTCGTCTTTGCTGGTAGCAAGATAGTTGCAAACGTTAGGAAGGTTTACTGTACAGTACATGCAGTAAATGTTTATCATATAAGCAATGTACTCACTTTTGGTTGTAGGAGAGAAAAAGAGATGCACAAAAATGTTTAGGTCGTATTTTATGCTTATATCTCCCCTAATGCTTTTGGCTTTCACATAACCAAGCAAGTACTGACAATATTCTTGCACAGAATATATAGCAATCTTGGACATGTAGTTTCTTGACCGAGTTGGAGGTTTCGGGTAGTTCTTTCACGCCGGAGGTGATGATTCGTGTTAGGTGTATATGTAAGGGATAAATCGATTAAACACGGACTGCGCCAAATTCTCCAATGCAGTGTCTGAAATAGTATCGTCATCGTTAAGAATGTTTAACTCCTTCAGTGCTTGACATGATATTGTTTAAAACACAAAAAAAAATCATGCCTTTGCTTGAAACAAAGTCATGGCCTTGCAGTTTCTCCAGAATGATGGTTCGTATGGCTTTGATGTTCAAGATCATTGCTGATAACTGAGTCTGGATGATGCTGCCCGTCAGACGGAGTATGCGTAAAGGAGACTTGTCTGCCGAGTAAGATATGCCTTTGGAAATAAAACATAAGCGGGCGATCATCTTTGATGCGATTAACCTTGCTGTTGCTGCTACTGCTGCTGTTATTGTCAATTTTCTGTGGTCATCATCGCCGTGATTATAACCAAGAAGTCGTCTCATGAACATATGCTGGGTACATACAGGTGTTGTAGCTTTGGTAAGTTTGTCAATACATCAGCTAACTGTTGGCCGAGGTCGTTAACGGGATGGTAATTAAGCGTGCTGTGTTGGAGGGACGAGCATCTTGATGCTGCTCCTAGTATGCGTGAAAAAAGAATTCAAGCGGTTAACTGAGCAACGGATGCTCTAACAAGATTCTAACTGCAAGTACTGACCATACGTCGTATCGAGGTGTCAGCCGTTTGAACGGGCTCTCCGTATTTGTTCACTTTGCGGGAGGAGCTACTGCTGTTGTGGTTGTGCTGATGTTTTCGGTCAACGACAGTCCTACTCCAGTGTCATTATTTGAAGACGTTTGTGTACGTCCTTGTTTTGGCACTTTTTACCAATGTCGTCGGAAACCTGCACCACGTACTTACGTGACAGCAGTCAAAGTGGAAGAACAATAGCCATTCAATGTCCCGTTGATGCTATGGTAGTATGGTTTCTCTCCAGGGCTGTATTTCATAGTCTTGCAAAATGTATGTATGTACCTCATACTGATCGAATCGGACGGTATAAAACTGCTCTATGCATCCACGCTTAAATTTGCCACAAACGGTTTTGACAGTGGGATCTCCTTCTAAAACAGGAAAGTGGACAAGAAGTCACGATTTTTGTGGTCGGGCTTGTTCCTCTTGGGCCCTCCCCCTTTGACAGTTTTGCGGCCGAAAAAAAGCAACACTCGAAAATAATAACAATATAAGCAATAATGTCACAGGCTGTCGGCAATGTAATATTAGATTTTCATAAATCATAACCAAATGTATAACATGACAAACAGAATACGGAATGGCGGATTTAACGTATCATATAAATTGTAGACCGCTCTCGCATACGCTCGTGTTTGGCACGTTGTCGATGCTCGCCAACGGGTCATGGGCCGCATGGCAACCAGCATTGCTACTACACTTATGGGAAAACACAAACCAATCTTCGATCCTGCATGTAAGAACGGGGAGGCAACAGCAATAGTGGCACAACCACGACGATGACACGAGACATTTCAGGAAAATGAACTAAACGATTGTTTCTCGTTTGTTTATATGTAGCCGATTGCGGTGACTATGTCGTTGTCATAAACGCCAAAGAGGTTTTGGTATCTGGACGAAAGGCTGAACAAAAACTGTACCGACACCATACTGGCTTTCCTGGAGGTCTGAAAGAAATCACATACAACCAGCTCAAAGAAAAGGATTCAACCGAGGTAAAGGATAAGAATAGTTTTTGGGAAGAACGAGGAACATCTGAAAGTGTCTTAACATGTATATGGTAATGTCAGGCTATCCGTAAAGCAGTATCTGGTATGCTGCCAAAGAACCGATTAAGAGACGTACGACTGGAACGGTTGCATATTTTTGACGGTGAAGAGCATCCGTACAAGGAGAATATCATTAAGCGTCATGGTGTAGAACAACAACAACAACAACAGAAATAAATGGAGGGGTGATTGTAAAAAAAAAGTGGGATGTGTAATATGCAATAAAAAAAGAATGAAAAAAGAGAAAGAAGTGTATAATGTCTTTTTTGTGATCTTTTTCTTTTACTCTACAATCAACTCTTTTACGTGCCAATCTTCATACGTTCCATCTGGCAAGAACCGCCGTACAACCAAGGGAATCTTCTTCTCCCGCAGTTCCTTCATGGCAATCACCAACGGATCCGATTCACCATCCAGATCGACCATGACGGGTGCGTTTAAACTATTGACCAAATGCTTCTTATGAGTCTACTTGTTTTCCGCGCATATCCCGAACCAATGTCCCGAAAGCCCCCCTAACCTAATTTGAAGCGCTCGAGTGCCCAAAACTCTTGCGCGTTCGTATTTTGTCATGTATGGTGTAGTTGTCTTTTCCTTGGCTTCCGTCATTCGTGCATCAGCGTTCGCGTCAGTCTCGCGATTTTGTGCACCATCTTCAATAATTGCAATGGCTTCCTGTTCTTCAGTTTCGCGCGTGTCATCCTCTATCGTGTCTCCAAATTCAACCTGTACGCAAATAAAATACAGACAGGCATTGAATGGTACAGTTAGAGAATTGCTTTGTTCGATTTGTTAAGTGAAGCGGCGAGAGGTAGAGAGAGCGTGTGCATGCATCTTGGGTTTAAAAAAGTCGATCGTCCTGAGCTTACATTGTCATTCTCTCTAATATCGTATGCATAATTAAAAATTCCAGTTCGCTCAAACGACAGCAAAACAAAAGAATCAAAAGCCGCTTATTTACCCATAATCGTAATCGTTCTCTTCGTAATCGGACATGCTTGTATAAGATCGAGAAAAATGTCAAGTCTGCAAAAAAAAAGTTGTTTTCTCCTCTAAGCATGTAAGAACCCGCCGCCAGAATTTTCCACAGCCAATCAAATTCTCTCAACTGGCAAGCGGCGGATGATCCGGATATTCAGTTATTCACTTTACTGCGTTCTTTTTTTCCAAGCATTGCAGCAGTAGCATGACTGATATGCTTCGATCCATTTGTGTAATCGCAAAAGCTGCAAATATTGCCACGGATATTTTTTAGGGTCCCACACCGCAATGATTATACACTTTAGAGCAACGGCATCTTATTTGCCCCAGCCGAGAAGCAAAGACATCCAGAGCACCCATAGTAAATCTGGTTATTAGTGCAAGTGGATCTATTTCCGGTGCTACATGTTAACCCAAGCAAACAAGAAAGAGGAGCATATTTCTAAATCAGATGAATGCTGTGCCCTATATATATTTGCTGCTTGAGCATATGATACGTCGATATTATTATGTATTAAATACGTGTGAACTCCCTCCACCCCTATCCTGCCCCAGCCACACACAATTTGTAATCTCTGATAGAGTTCATGCACTTAAGGTACGTACTGCATCTCCTGCTAAGTCAATCTAATAAATAGTGTACATACTTTAAGAGTAGATGTTACTTGTGTTTGGTAGTAGATAAAGTTTTTGAAGTCTGGGGTATATGTGAACCTACGCATACGTTCTCCCCTACTGCTCCAACAACGACAGTAAAAGAAAGTGCCTTGTCGTTTTTCGTAAGATGACGGCGACTCGATAGCATGCTTTGTACACCAAGCTGCTGTAGGTACCCCAGCTTACTATAAAAATATAATTTACCCTAAAGTTAGCGATGTTAAAAAAAGTCGATAGTTACCATCAAGATGATAATGCATGATACACTTGCAGATTTGTATGTACCATACACAGTAAGTCCTCGAGAAATGCTACAGCTTTGATATTACGCACCGTATGCATTCATAAACGTGTTGTAGTGACGATCATGTCGTTTTTTTCTATGCAACATCGATACTTCGGTTGCTATCTATTAGCTATTTTTAGATGCGCATGCCAACATATGCAACTTTAGAATTTCATATCTGCGCGTATCACTTACTGCGGGATGCGGTAGGAGCAACAATAGCAGCACCGACGACGTAATGAAATGTGGTGGCTCGTACGTTTGTCCAACCCGGCATCAAGCAGGCGCCGAATTGTTATTGTGCGGGAAAGACATGAGGACGGTTGAATAACGTAAATCATTATATTTGTTCTGTTGTATAGATACTACTACTACACGATAGCATGAGCATGCTAAATGTGTGAAACAAGAAGGAGGTGGCGAATCAGAAGGTGACGTGTGTAACCCGATTCCGAACAAAAGAAGGTTGGTCTTGTTTGAATAAAACGGAATGTCCTTATTGTGCAAATTAAAAAGGATACTCGAGTCAACATCTAGGCTTATGCTTACCTTTCTGACAGACAAAGATTATATGTTTATTCCAGTCAGGCGACATCAGAACGATTTGTGTGTACCGTATACAACAACGACAACTGAAATACTAGAGATTACGAAATAGTGCCGCACGGTCGTCATGAAAAAGGGGGTCACATGCTGAGTAATACTTCTTCCTGTGCATCTCTAGAACTCAACCCTTTAAACTTTGTGTCACCCTGTTAAGGCTTTATTCTTGTATGTTTTTGTTTTGTTGCTTCGCCATTCGATGTAAACATGCAGTGGCATAGCCACATTGCGTCGATTTTCTAACTTGCCAAGCCAACTGCTACTTGTTTATCTTTTTCTGTTCGGGTGTTCGGCCGTTCGTCATTCTGTAAACATTGCGACAGGGCAGACCAGCTATTTTTAATCCGGTTTGCTCACGTTGTGAAGGACACGCACGACGTACGTAGCATATAAGATAAAATTCTTCCCGGCTGCTGTGGGTCTTTGTTTAAGTTCCAGACCGTGATATCTTTTCCTTTCTCTTTTCTTTCTTGCTCTTTTCTCCATTCTTGCGTATACTCCAGAAGCGACTATGATACCATCTAATAGCATAGCTCTGTTGTTCTTACTCTTGTTGTCTTATTTCGCGGCTCCAATCGACGCGCAAAATCCATATTATACGGCCCTCTTAAACGATTCACTCTATTTTTTCGAGGCACAACGAAGTGGTGTTTTACCTGACAACAATCGAGTAGAATGGTACATCGTGAGAGCCACTAGCGTATATTACGCTACGACGCGTTGTTCTGATCTGGGCTATGCCAACAACAACAAACTCTAAATTATATGTTTATAGGCGACACGACTCGGGACTTGAAGATGGGTCCGACAACAACGTTGATTTGACGGGTGGCTACTACGATGCAGGGTATGTAATGCCACCTTTATAATTCAAAAAAAAAGCAAGAAAAGAGAGCTACGTCTAAGCATTCTTATAATGTAAACCACAGCAATTATTTAAAATTCACCGTTCCACTATCTCACACGCTGACTCTTATTGCGTGGGGAGCTCTTGAGTGGTACGATGGTTATGTGAGTGCCGGCCAGACTGAACATCTGCACGACATGATTCGATGGGGTACAGATTGGCTAATAAAGGCACATCCGTCAGACAACGTCCTGTTTGTGCAGGTAAGAAAAAACAACCTTTGATGAATTAAAAGAAGCAAACAGTTCATTTTCATTGACGATAATGATTTCAAATAGGTCGGCGAAGGATCAGTGGATAATAACTATTGGGGTAAGCTCATTGTTGATATTCCTTTAGACACATTATAGAGCACAATATACTAACCAAAAGATTATATGTACATACTACATTTACAATGCAGGGCCTGACAGCGGTATTCCAACACCACGGCCATCGTTCATGATTGATGAATCGTCTCCAGGCACAGACGCCGCAGCTCTAACAGCAGCCGCTTTTGCGTCTTCATCATTACTACTGCGAGCCACGGACGAAGATTATGCAAACACCCTCCTATCTCATGCAGAGCGCTTATACACATTTGCCGAAAGCGCAACACCATGGCAAGTGTACTCTGATTCGGTCGAAGCCTCACAAGACTACTATGGTACATCCACGTACTCTAGCCAGCTCGTCTATGGCGCCTTATGGCTGTACCGTGCTACGAATAATACCATGTATCGGGACAAGGCGTCAAACTTTTTTGACCAGTTTTCCCTCAGAACCAAACAAATCACCATCTTGGACTGGCATGACCAAACAGGTGCAATGTATGTGTTAGGTGCAGCAGTAGATGACAGTGGCACGGATAAATACAAGGATGCTGCAGAAGATTATATCAGCACAATTATCAATGATCGATCCGGAGGTCCATGCTCGTATACCATAGGTGGTCTTTTGTGGTGTGGATCCCAGAGTGAATGGAGTTCTCTCGTTATCGCAAACAATATGGCGTTCTTGGCAGCCATGTTTAGTCACACAGTGGACGAAACCTCGGAATACGACGAATTCGCGCGTGCTCAGCTCAACTATGTTCTTGGCGACAATCCTATGTAACGTGTGGCAAAAAGAACCAGCAAGAAAATCTTATTTTCTAAAAAGATAATATGCTAATCCTTGATTTCCAAACTTTCAATGCGGTATACATATACACTGGTAAATATATAGGAAAACTCCCTATGTTATCGGTGTTCACATGAACTCACCGCAAAACCCACATCACGCAGGCGCTTCGGGTGGCACGAGTATCCGAAATATTGATGCTGGCGAAACAGCCCATGTGCTGTATGGAGCGATCGTGGGTGGACCCGATTATGAAGATCGATATTTCGATGAGCGCAGCGACTATAGACAGAACGAGGTGTCCCTAAACTACCAAGGTTCGCTCCAAAGCCTTGTATCGTATCAGCTAGTGAATAATGCCGTTGATCCGCCCTACGCCAACATAACCGAGCCTCGACCTGAAGTCCGACGCCCAGGACAGTCGAACACTATTGCTGGATGGCTTATTGCTGTGATTGTTATAGTCATTATTGCAGCCATCGTTGGCGCAGCTATTTTTGTCTGTTTCGTGAGACGGCGTAGAAACTCTGCTGCTAGAAAACCAACTGTAGCTGAACTTGAAAAGGCTGCTGCTCAGAAGTCTCCAACTTTACCAATAAGTCCTCGGATAAGCAGTAGTCCTCCTCCACGTCCAGTAACCATATCGCGTTAAGGAGGACAAAGAAGAGGATTATATTACATTCGGCGAGCTATACAAGAGAAGCAATATGTACATAATATATACAGCAATCCAGTTTCTGCATTAAATATTAGATAATTAGTAATATCCAGAAAATGCACATAGCATTTCCTCTCCCAGTTTTTGTCTAATGGTTATTCTATGATACGCGCTTTTTTTTTGTAAAAGAGTTGCATGCAAGCCAATCGTAAATGTTTCTAGTATATAGTTACATACTAAACTGTACATGAGCTTGGATGGTTTAACTAATTTGTTTGGAACGTGTAAGAATATTAAGCAACAAGGAAGTGTATCATGTGGATTTCATTAAGCATTTTACTGATTTTAGAAAAGGAAGCACAATCTCACAGGATCTCTTAGCTCCAATCAATCTCTCAAAGGTTTTTGCTTTAGTGAAAAGGTGTATGATGATCGTACTTTGCTTAAAAATTTGAAGTACATAATGGAGTGCTCTACTACCTAGCTACCATACGACCATTAAGCGTCGCTAAGTAACAATCGGGCCATCATGTCGAGTTTAAGCAGATAGAAAAAGGAGTTTGGTAAGTCCAATTTCTTGAAAACAGTTGTTTGCCCGGGCATATCATGTCAAAGCAGGAAATATAGGGCAAGCTGGGATACAATTCCCGATCCACAACTTTTTGTTGTTTTACCACGCTAGGTAAGTGACTTACAAATATTAGAGGCTAAACTTTCCCCATTGTCGACTTTTTTCTTTCACGTAATATCTTTTCATATGTTTCGACGCGTCGGTCTCCAGCTTCAACGTTCCACACCCACCACTGCACGTTTAAACGTTATTCGCACAGCTGCAAACGGAACTCGTAATTTGGCAATGACTCCTATGCGAAACAGAACCGCAGTCGCCAGCAAACGATTGTCAACAATGAATAACTGGTTAGCACAACCCAGAAATCAGGTTAAAAATCGTCATTTATACACAACGCTAGTGGATAACCATTCGAACACTATCAAATTAACACGAATTATGGCTTTTGATAGATGTCAACGACCGCCGGTACTGCTGGTGGTGCTCAGGTAATATACTTACAAACGATACTCTCATTGAAAAAAGATAAACTCGGACGTTAGAATACAGAACAAGAGAAAAACAGGAGTAGCTGACAGTAATGTATGACATAAATGGGTTTCATAGGAAGAAGTGCTTACAGTAAAGAACGTGGGCGTCCGAGAAATCGTCTTGAACCGACCCAAGAAACTCAATGCTTTGAACTTGAACATGGTCGAACTTATTACACCCGAACTCCAGGCAAGTTTCGTTTCTCAATCGCGACAAAACACATACACAGCGTCTATGTATTGCTATATCTGCCGTTTGAATGTTATACTGACGTAAAAGCATGCAGGCGTGGGAAAAGTCTGACTTGGCTAAAATTATCCTGCTAAAGAGCAGCGGAGGAAAGGGATTCTGCGCTGGTGGCGACGTTAAGAGTAAGTTTGTGTTCTGTTACTGCTGTTGTGCTCCTAAACTATATTTGCTGACCGACAATTCCTGTTTGAAAACTATAGCCGTTGTTGATTTGGCAGCCGAGGGCAAGTACGAAGATGCCATTAAGTTCTTCGAAGCCGAATACAAGTTGGATCATCTTATCGGCAACTTGGAGAAGCCCTACGTCTCTATCATGGATGGCATTACCAGTATGTATCTTTGTACACGAGGGTTATGTTTGGGATAGCAAGTTGTTTGTTGGAAAAAAGATAATAACTTGGGTACCTTTTAGTGGGTGGTGGCGTTGGCTTGTCCGTTCATGCACCTTTCCGTGTTGCCACGGAAAAGACCTTGTTCGCTATGCCTGAGACCGGTATTGGTTTCTTGCCTGAAGTTGCTGGCAGTTTCTTCTTGCCACGTTTGGATGGCCAATTGGGTATCTACCTTGGTTTGACTGGCAAGCGCTTGAAGGCTTCGGATGTCTTGTAAGGATCCTCTATCTTTTGAGAGGGTGGAACTTAAAAAGGTAGAAATTACATTTCACTAAACAATCCATTATACTATAGCTACGCTGGTGTTGCCACGCACTATGTCCCTTCGTCGCGTCTCGCAGCTCTTGAAGCTCGTCTTTCCGAAATTGACAACCCTACTCACGATGTCATAAACACTGCTATTGAAGAATTCTCTGCAGAGATGGATCAGGAAGCTCCTTTCTCACTCGGCGGTGATGTTCGTGCTGCTATTGACAGGTAAAATTGACAAGAAATGAAGGGCGATGAATAAGGTACAAGTGATACTTATACATACAATGACCGTGAATAGATGCTTCAAATACGACACCGTTGAAGAGATCTTTGCTGCTGTTGAAAAGGAGGACTCGGAATGGGGCAAGGAAACCCTGAAGCTCTTGAAGGGCGTTTCTCCCACCTCGCTAAAGATCACCTTGCAGCAGTTGCGCACTGGCGCCACACTCACCCTTGGCCAGTGCTTCAAGATGGAATATCACTTGGTTCAAAAGTTCTTGGTTAGTGGTATCTTGTGCTCCTGTTTATCGGCGGTAAACGGATTCAAGCTAATGCTATTTGTGTATCTGTGTAACAGAGAGGCCATGACTTCGCAGAGGGCGTCAACGCGACTCTTGTCACCCGATCCAAGCCCAACTGGAAGCCCTCGGCACTTAATGACATCAAGGAAGATAAGATCAAGGAAGAATACTTTGATTCTCCTTCCCCAATGCGATTGGAGCTGTTGACCCCCAAGGATTACAAGCAATACCCATACCGCAAGTATATGCTTCCTTCCGAAGACGACGTCAAGCGCGTTGTCACTGGTGAAGCTGCCGATGTCGGTAACTATGCCCTGAGCCGCGAGGAGGTTGTCGAGTACTTCCTGCGCGACCGCAACGGCAAGCAGGGTGTCAAGGACAAGGTTCTGGATATCCTTGAACGCAAGACCCAATTGATGGAGAACGAGGAGACCAAGAGCTTAAAATGGATTTACTAAATGTATATGCGAACCCAGAGAATGCCACCATTTAAAATCACTGACGAACACACACACACACACACACACACACACACACACACACACACACACACACGCACGCGCATAACTTGTATACACCGTAGAATTTTTTTTCTCAAGTAAAACGAATATAAAAAGTGAGGGATAAGAAGGATATGTGCCTGCAACCACTGAGCGGGCTGTGTTTGGGCGTTCTATCTGTAGCGGGAGGAATAAACCGACACCGATATTATTCCATGCCAATGCTCCTTATGTATATGCTTTGTGTATAGGTTCCCTGTAGAAGTTCCTTTCGTTTCTATGTACGAATCCAACATTGATATACACTACAAGGGTTTTATTTCGGCCCAGCGATCCCCTGGTTGCCATGGCAACGGAAAGTATGACACTATCTTTGCAAAACAGTGATTTACGCTCCGAAGTACATACAATAAACAGCCCTCCGCGCCTTCAGCCATATACTATGAGAAAGTCTCCTCCTTGATAATCTTTTCTGTTATAGACAAGATCTCAGACCCTTTAAACCCAAGCATTCTACCCACGCCAACTAAAGCCCTTAAACTCTTCTCTAATAACATCCGTCCAGCCTCGTGCCCATATGATTGTGACATTGCATTATCGGTGGTCCGTGCGGCAGCTGTTGTTGTAGCGCTTACTTCGGTAGGAGCACCATTACTGCTCGGAAATGCACCGGGTAAATGATGGGCACTGTTTTGTCTGGATCGAACAATCTTGGGTATAGGATCAATCTTTACCGGCGCAGTGGATGCCCCTCGCTTCTGGCCACTCGGTAGCGAATCGTGCAACATTTGTGTCAGTTCAGCCAAGGCCGTATGGTGGGCATCCATGAGATCAGGAACACTGGGCACGGTATAGAGCGGATTATATGAATTGTCGTATTCTTCTTGCGTTTCGAGCCTTTCTATCTCTTTGTATTTCGGATCCAGATCTTCAAAGACGGTAAAAGGTTGAAGCGTACGCGACGAGCTACCACCATTGATGGCAATGTTGTTTTGTAACGATGATGATGATGATGCAGCAGGTTTAACTTCCGGTGGTGGTTGTTCATTAATGCCTGGCGTCAGTGTGCCCGGATTTTGACTCCATCTTGCATAATATTCGTCTTCAGAATCGTTTCCTTTATCGCTGTGTGCTCTTTTCTTCTCGCCACTTAACCGTGATCTGATCTGGACTGGGCCATCGTTTTCGTCGTCTCCTTCGTCTTCTGACGATGACCAACCACCGCCCCAATAATCATCAGGAGCTTCTCTTGTTTGCGACTTTGTCTTTTTTTAAAAATTTGATGTTTTGTATTAGTTTCTCTCTATCCTTTTCCTTTGGATCTTATATAAAAAGCACATAAACAACGAACCAACCTCTGGACTCGGAGATGACAATGCAGCAGCGGTGGACGGAGGATGATGTGTGATCTTGTTGACAAACTCCCGCTCCGCCTGTTCCAATGATTCTGGCCAACTCTTCTTGACAACCTGCCATTCGAGTTCTGAGAAAGCCTTGGTGTTGTGATACTTTAGTTCAGAGATATCTCCGCCGCCTTCTTCCAAGGTCAGCACGACTGCATAGTGGGTCTTGTCTTGGTATGCGAATTCGACCATGGCATGGAGCGTTTCGGCATCAAGTCGTTTGTAATACACCGGGTTTTGATAGAGCTTGTCCTGTTGATCGCCCGACCATAATGTCTCAATGACTTGTGGGCAGTCGTCTTCTTGCCATTGTACAACACTATTCCACTGTCCAGAGTCCTGTTGACTGTTGGCTTGTTGTGCTGCTGTCGGTCTGAGAAACTGTATCCGTTGGCATAACAGTTTAGACCCTATAGCTGCCAAAGCCGAAAAGTCGTGTTGCTGACGGTGTTCGAGCACGGTATAGGCTAATGAACGAGCAATGTTCTCATTGGCAAAATCATCGATGGCTTCCATGGTAATCCTCCTCCTAATAGAACTTGTTTGTTCTTGCGTGAGAAAAGATAGAGGAAAAAAACCAGTGCTGGATCCGGGTGTGGCCTGTTACTTATTTAGAGAGAGAGAAAAGGCGGGGAAACTTCCTTTCACCCCCACTCCGCGAACCTTACGAAAAAAAACACCCCGATGATGTTGTTGGGTGAGATAATCACTACTTTGGGGCAAAAGGCTGTCCTTGTTCCTAGCTCATCCTTTATTTCACAGTGTGGCAAGGACACTGTCTAAATACTGCATCAGTTGATGAAATTATTGTAAGTATCAATGTTTGCTGTTGGGTTCCTCAAACGAACAAGACGGAATTGTCTGACACATTTCGAAAGATCGAAAGAAAAAAAAGGGTCCAGCATTTCATCAAGTCATGTGCGCTGTTAGTACTACCGTGTCTGGATAGTAGCTAGGCCTTGTGATATCTCTCTCTTTCTGGTTTATACACAAGCAGTTACCGCAACCAGCAGTGTGAGATATATGATTCCAAAGCAATGATTCTAATAGCAATTGAAAGACTCCTTGTATGCAATTGCAATACAAGCACTGTTTGATTAGCAAATGCCACGCAGCATTTCAATGACTCTAGTAAGTCAATAAAAGGGGATATTTACCCCAAGTGCTCATTCGTGATTAGGTTGGATATAAGAAAAAAAAATTCATCCTGAAAGTAGATCCACGCTCACTGCCACCGCAATGATCCCGTGATTCTTTTTAATGCAATGCCCCGCCTGAGTGTTTGTTGCACGCATAGTGTACTATCAAGCCGAACAACAGTATGTTCGTCTGTGCTTTTGCTCGACGACAACAAAAGCTCATTACCACCAATCCCTAGATGTAGGATGCTACGTGGCTATGGAGAACTTAGATTGTAGTATGAACATGAGCCTTTTCGTAGCAGATGCACGGATCCGCGACCAACGTTTTTACACTGTTTCGCCATCATTGCATTTTACAATAAACAAGAAGTCGATGATACTTTCTAAACAGTTTCCTTTATACATAGGTGTCGATTATTCTCTTGTTTCATGTCAAAGAAAGATGATATATGTACTTGAGGAGATTGCTGCTACAGTGGTCCCCCGTTAAGATCAACATCAAAAGGGGTCCTACTAGGGCTCAAGCTAATAAGGGTTGAAAAAAGTGCGAGTGAGCTTATATAGAATCCATGTTTACTTGGATTTTAAGGTTGCCATCAAAAGGTCGACACAAATAGGGTTGAATCTATCTGAGGATGATCTTAACGGGGAGTCACTAAAGTGGGAATGATAGAATATGTGACGAATCACTCCTTTTTACAGTATGTATCCTGTCAGTTTTGTTTAGTAATCTCAACGCGCAACTTTCTTCCGTAGCATGTACGTGCTGCTGATTATTTGGATAGCTTGTGTCTGAACCGTTCATAAACACCCAAAATATGGGTTGTGAGTTACAATACCTTAATGATATGTGTTAAAACTTCGCAAAAGGTGCCACAGAACTCTTCTCGAACTTCGGGACAACGTTTGTGCGTGGTGAACCAGACTACTTTGAGATTGATACGTACGACGCAAACCATTTGACACACCGTCTTCGTAGCTAGTATTTATAATGCAGTAGAGGGAACACCATCTAAAGATTAACCAAAAAATTATGAAGCGAGAAGTAGCAATAGCCATCGTCAGCCCGAGTTGTGCCTACTTTAGGTTCTGCAAAAAATAGAAAATCCTGAAATGACCAACTCTAATGATTAACTTGCAGCGCATTTATATTATATCCATGGATGCGAGCTGATATAAATAATTATTTCTGCTAACCAACAAATACATGTTCTGCTTTTGCCTAAAATGGTCTTTGAAGCTTACGACGCTGCATATATAGACGATCTGCTGAAACAAAGCCCTAAAGCTTGGTTGGCTATTGCCTGTCGGCCATTCAAAAACAATTACCATCAGAAACAAAAATAATCGCGTTTGCATATTTTTTTTATCTCTTTTTGACAGTTTTGACACAGATTCCCCAGACGACGACTACGGTTTAATTACTTTACCACAATGAGCGATGCCCTAGAATCACGCATTTTACGAGCAGCAGCCACCACGGCTGATCCCAACGAATTACCCGAATTCCCGGAGAACAAGAGCGATCTGCCTTCAGACTTTGAATACGATCCCAATGAAGAAGAAGAAGTGGAAGAAGTGGAAGAAGTGGAGGAAATTGACGAAAACGAGCTTTTGAAATACCTGGACGAGCAAGAAAACCCTCTGTATATTGCCCAACGACTGTTTTATAAAGAAGTTAATACGACTGCATCCCAAGCAACGTGTCCGACATGGAAACTCGAGTGTCTAGGCTGTAAAGCGATTGAAGACCTGTATGGCCATGGATGGACTACTGTCGATGGTTTAATTGACTTGAGCGTTCTGAAAGGTAAGCTACAAAAAAATGGTACGTAATAGAAGGGAATTTAACTCTATTTCGATTATGAAGGTGCTCGTGAGGAGGCACAAGAAATGGCCAAGGAAGGTGCATTTACCCGAGCTAGTGATCTTGCACATTCCGAAGACCCGTTCCGTGACCACACAGCACGCGACGATTGGATTACATGGTAAATGTGTTGCTAAGCTACCTTTATGAGCTACTGGCTGTGTGTTGCCTGGTAACCGGGGAATTACTTTTCTAAACGCTCTTGTATGATACAATCATAAATAGGCTCGATCCAAATGGATCCAAAAACTCACCTAATCTACAAAAAGTGCTCGATTTCTTCAATGGTCCGCTCCACCACGACCTATCAAGGATGATCCGTTTGCGCGGCAAGACAGAATACCAGCTTGCAGAATATAAGCCCGAGAATGGCGCTCGATACGAACGACATCGTGACGCATTCCCTACCGATGACCCGGAAGATACACAGCAACGCCGGGTGACTGCAATCATGTATTTGAATCCGGGATGGACGCAGCGGGACGGTGGCGAGCTCAAGATTTTCGGTCGATCCGAGGGCAATGGAATGACAGATGCGGCTGACCGGACTGTGGCACCTATGCTGGGTCGATTGGTGATTTTTCTCAGTGGTGTAGTGGATCATGCTGTGTTGCCATCCAACATGGAAAGATTTGCTTTGACTGCTTGGATGCGGTAGGAGACACGACACAATACTACAACAACTATTTCCTAAACTCCATATCTCCCTCCTGACTACCAGCTTTTTTTGACTTTCAAAATAATAAAGCCATCTTTATACATTTTCAGAACTGTTAAAAGTCTTCTGATGGACTGTTTATGATAAGGACGACACTTGATGTAAAGGTATTAAGACTCGCTTTCAACGGCCACTGTAAATTTCTGTTTTCAGAAAACAGAGGCTTTCGTCATATTAATTTGTGTGTTTTCATTTCTATGATGTCTTAAAAAGAATATATTGCTGCATTGACGCTTGACCCAAGAACCTGGCTTTCATATTACTACGTCAGACCTCCGAACACTTTCAGACTTGCCTAAAACGAGATTGCGCGCAAAAACAATCCGAAGCCGGTGAAATATCGTACGATGCTGGACCAATAGAAAGAAAGAACAGCCAAGTGATCGGCATAGCTGGAGCAAATAAGCTTTTTTCTGTAAGGTAAGGGATGTAACCATCATCATCACAAGCACATTCACCACGGTAAAAAAAATCTAAGAAATCATCTGGTGAAATGTGTATATCTTCTGAATTCTGCCACACACTTGACGCCATCAATATTACGCTCTCGTTCAGCAAAGACAAGTTCCACGTCCTTTGTTAATAGTTAGCAAGAAGGTATAGTTGTTTTGACAGCTTTCTTCCTATTAAGAGCAATGTTTTTCTGGACTTGGATGAGAGTTCAATTAAATTTGTTATACATATTGGCACTAAAAAGTTAATGTTATTAAATCGAGCAAAAACAATTGGACCTGTCTCAGTTCCCCAATTACCGGATCATTAATTTCTTCCTCTTTCAAAGAGTGCTTAACACAAGCGGATAGAAAGGAATTATTATATTGAGCAGCCCAATCGCCAGGTGTGGGGGGGGGGGGAGAGAAGTGATGCGAAGATGATGCTCGGAAAAGCTGGAGCTTAAAATGGCAACTGATCCTGTTTTTTGTTCCTGTTGAATATGCGCATCAAATGTTTAATTGCTTTTTTAAGCAAGAAATCATAACAGTCACTTTGTGTTTCAAGAATCCAACATTAATTGTGATCTTTGTTGTTGACGCGGTACTACTTTAATAGGTATGCGTCCAGTTTTCCATCAGGTAATATGACACACAAAAAACCATCTGAACCATCTTTTATTAGTATCTATAATATGCACACATCAAAGTAATTTCCTTGCGCCGCCAGCACGTTACGACATAATACAGTAGGAGATGTTGTCAATATTGTCGTGTCTTTCGCGATATATTCGGTTAACTATTGCATAGGTAAGTCGTGTTTCACTTCGTTAAAGAAGCCATTTACTCATGGGTACTGTATGTATACCATGCAACGTAGCACGACATACCAGAGGAACCCAGTAGCAAAAAAAGCAACAATGAGAACCGTAGTAACTTGAGACGCGGGAAAAGATACAAATGGGTGTAGCACTATTACACAGAAGGGTGTCATCATCAGCTGCTGTGTGGGCAAGCACAGCAAAATTTGAACGAGTCTCATATAATGGTGAGAATATGTCCTATGTTATGATTTCCCTTGTCCATCAACAAGCAAAGTGATGTCACCTTACTCTAAATGGAGGAGAATATGATATAGCAACAATAGACTTGTGATTAATCAATATATCTAACATGAATACCGTCCTTTTGTTAGTGAAAGTACAGCACGTCGTTTTAAAGGTTTGTATGTACAGTATATGTTATCCGGACAATGCGCAAGTGTATATATTATATAAGGTTGGCTGAGCCTCTTTTCTCACCGATCTATACACGGTGCGCTCACCTCGGAAACGTGTTGATCGAAATTTATTTCCCGGAGCATTGGACAGCTCTTGTTGTTCAGGAACGAGTGTTATATAGTAAACGCTTATCAAACACTTTCTCAGCATTTTATTATTATTAGCGTGGAGTCTCTGTATTTGCTATTTACACGATACAGATGCTGACATAACCAAAAGATAGGGTTATCAAAGTTAACTAGTACCTAAATAGCCGACCTATTGCAAAGTGTCGCATATGATACGATGGCTGCAGCGTCTTTACCGAATAAGCAAAAGTATGAGTTAGGGCATACAGTACTATGATGCTGACTTTGAATATGAATGTGTATATATCTACGGTAACCGAAGTTCTCAGAATCCACGGGAGCATCTACTTGATTGACCAAAGAATAGAGTCTTTGTAAAACACGGGCAAATACGATACAGGAAAGAAAAAGAAAAATGGGGGGAGGGGGAAGGGGAGGGATTGTCGCACAGGACACCAACTCGCAGTTGGTGGCACAGAACACACTGAACAAAGCCCACTCGTTCCCAAAAACGATAATCGTAAACGTTGAGCAGTAACAAGTGGAAAAGAAGAAAAGGATTGCTGTTATTATTATTATCGACCTCTCTCTTTCTCTTGCGCCTTGTCCTGTGCTATCTTTCTTCTCCTCCTCTTTGTCCTCCTCTCTCTCTCTTCACCCTGCTTCCTCGTCACACGCGCCCCCATTCAGAGGATGAAAGATAATTTCGAACATGTTGAGATTGAGCCTGAACATTGCTACCTTGACTTTATCGGCCCTGCCAAACCAGAAGGAATGGGACGCTCATTAAAGGGCACTGTCAAGTTGACAGTCTCCAAAGCCGTCAAGATACGCAGCATACACATCAAATTTAAAGGCTACGGACGCATATGCCTGAAAAATTCCGGTGGCACTGTCTTGGACATTGAGACGAACCTGTTGCCGAAAATCAAAGCACCTCTGGTCATCGACAACAAAAAGACTTTCCAATTACCGCCTGGCGAACATACAATTCCATGGGAATTGCAGATTCCGAACGTCTATCCACGCTCGTTAATGATCAAACGCGCAGCTATCCATTACAAGGTTGAGCTAGCGATATCGCTGGGCTTGGGTAAAAAAGCCATCACGGCAGAGTATCCCATTGTTATTTTGCGCCACTTGCTGCCGTGCAAAGAGCTTTCACCCTTGGTAGGCTCGCGAGTGTATCGTCAAACAGTGCCTGGCAAATTTCATTATGAAATCGATTGCCCGAGAGTTGTCTGTTTGGAGCAAGGATCGATGCCTGTGGCACTCAAGTACCTATGCATTGCGGATCAAAAGCCGGTCATCTCTGTGCGAACCCAGTTATTGCAAGTCGAGTTTTACAGGTAAGCATATTCTTTGCTATGTAGCTGCTCCTCCTCTGCCTTCCAAAATGTTTCTTGCTTTTCGTTCTTGGGTCTATTCTCTAAACTCTAACTCTAACTTTAAATTTCTTTTTTTTTTGCGCAGGTGTGAAACGATATCAAAATCGGATGCAAATTTGGAATTTATGGAGAAAGAAGTGCAATCCAGTGTATTTGGTCAGCGTTATGCAGACGCCATGCGCACCAACCCAAAATGCGTAAAGTTCACACGTCGTAAAGGATCAGCATTTATTCATTCGGTTGAGGATAATCCTATTTCAGCATGGAAGCGATTTGTCGTCGTACGTCACGAGCTTGATGAGCTATTAACATACGGCATTGAATCACCCACAGTGACCATTTACCACCAGCTCGAGGTGATATTTCAATTCGGCCAGAAACACGACGTCATTCGCGCGAAAGTACCTGTCATTATCACCTCTTTACCCTACAAAAACAGCAGCAGCTCACCACTAAATAGCCCGATGATGCCTACAGCCTCAGCACTTGTGGGCGGTGGCGGGGATGATATCGAAAACTTTCCGAAATACCGTATGGAGACATTGCCGCATTTCACCCCATCTCGTGTATTGGTTGATGGTGCAACTAGTAGCAGCAATGATATTGGCAAGGGCCATCGACGCACGTCTACAGCTACCTCGTCAGACGATACTTCGTCTATTTCATCAGTGGCACCGGATATTGCACGTGAAAGAAATATCTTTATGGGCGTACGCGAGCGGGCATTGAGTGTCAACAACAATACTAGCAAGCCGACAATCGTTCCGCCTGCTTCACGTGCTGGGCCGGCCTTGCAACTATCTGTGGCGGCTTCTAGTATCGACCTCAGTAGCCATAATTATCAAAGCACTAAAGAAATTTCCAACAGTACCAGCAACCAACCAGCATCGCCTTCGCTCTCGCTCTCTGCTTTTGGCGGGCCCAATTCCATCCGCAGATCAGCCTCGGCGTCGAATCTCAGCACTTTCGGCAGAAGCAGCCAGCCCAATTCGCCACCACCACCGTCACCCACTGGAAGACAACTGCATCCACCACAACGTCCTTCCCGCTCGCCCATGCGACGTCCTATACCCAACCTTGCCGTGAACACTGCCTTGGCCAACACGATGCTGAATCGTGGTCCTTTATCTGACGACATAGTGAGCGCTGCATCATCATCATCACGCCGCGACAGTATCGCCAGCTCTGAAGCATTACCTCTTGTGGATCGAAACTTGTTGCGTAGCAAAGCCATGTGGATGAACCGATTCGAGCCTAGTTACGCCTCTCGCCATCACCTGCTGCAGGCAACTGTGGTAGCGAGCTCCAGTAGAAATGGCAGTGTATTAAGTCGTGCAGCACCTAGTTCTGGTATCAATGGCCGGTCTTATACATCTCACCATCATCAACAGAGACGAGGAGGCCGTCAGCAGCAGCAGCAGCAGGGTGTAATTGCTGCACCAACGCCACCACCACCAACAATACCTGCATTTGCTCGCGTCGTCGATCCATGGCTCCAAGTCTTGAATCAAGAGTACGAAAATGATAGTGACGAGGATGTGTACGGCGACGACGAGATGTCCGTATCAACCATGGACGCCACCAGTTTAAGCTCCGTGACAACAGGTTCAGGAGCAGATGAGCTGTCACTTTTGTCACGACCACCATCACCCGTGTATTCGCCAGCACCAGGCTTGCCAGGTGCGATCGCACTTCGTCCACAACAGGCAAGCCCGGTAGCATTGGTGGAGGAATCGTTTGCTTGCTCGCCTCATAGCGTGTCGGCCAATTCGGTACCCTACACTGTGGCATCATCCAGCGTTTTATCTCCTCGCACAAGCTATGCTCTCTATCGTCAACGCATCGCCCGTGCACCACCATTGCCTCCACCCGCAGTCCCATTACCTGAAGAGCCACAAAGCCCTACTACTCATATCGTAAACAACATCAACAATACTCAAGGTAGCAAAAGCTATACAGCAGATGTACACAACCATTATTCACGTGCTGAATTGCCGCCATTACCGCCGTCTGAGGACGATGAACAAGGGATATATGACGAAGACGACTGTGCAAGGACAGGGTCGCGGTATTTTGACGATAGCGACGACGAGCCAAGCGCACCTGTATGTACGTGCCCACAGCACGGTCATGTCTTGCTTCCACCACAGTCAATGGAGAAACAGCAACAGCGACAAGAACAAGAACAAGTCGGAACACCTCCACAACTGCCACGCTTATCACTTGGGTCAACGTTTTCTGCTTCTCTAAGCTTGAAATGAAAAATATATGGGTTACGTCTACACACCTTTATCCCATTAAGCCTTTGTATTTATTTAGTTCCTTTGTTTTCATTCGGTAATTCCTATACCTTCATTGCATGCCTTTTCATGTTATCATCACCACATCGTATGCGCTCCTTTCTATCCTCTTTTTGCTTATTTGTAACTATAGTTCCCACAAATTTCTGTATATCCATATTAACGATCCAATCACAACTAGAACAGATGTAGACTTTTCTCTTTTATCACCTCGTATGGGCACCATTTTGTTTATTAATCAAGCCAAGTTCCTGGTATATGTAAAACAATAAAGAAAGATCCTCGTATTGCATCTACCTGTAGTCGGCCTGACCCGTGTAGAAAGCCTCCCTGATTGATGGTCGACTGAAATGTCAGCAGTTGGGGACACAAAGACCCGCAATTTTGGTTCCACATCTTGATAATGGAGCGGATCGTATCCAGTTTTTGATAGACCGACTTGCGTTCCCAAAAGACCGTCCCATCCCTTCCTCAGGTTGACAGGAGAGCCGGCAGGCACATTCCCTGCAACCAGTTCTGATTTATCATCACTATATAAGTAAGCGCTATAAACCTAGTAGTCATGTTGGTGGCTGTATTTATAAGCACGAGATATGTAAGAACTTCACCACTCCTTTTCTTCAATTGCCCAATACCAGTCTAATATGACCGACCGATGGGGCAAAAAATAAGGTTTATTATTTGATCTAAAATGTCTCTCCGCCGAAACGACAACAGCAGCAAGTTTCCCCTGGTGGCAAATCTTTCAAAGAAAACCAACTTTCATTGTACATAGCAATATTCCTATGAGAGCCAGACTGGAACTCCATGAGATTACCACACCGGCCAGCCAACGTTTAAGATGTGTTTATACACCACTCCTGAGTACGGGGCGTAGAGATACTTAAGGGTGTGTATGCAAAATGCACGTATTGCACTTCCAGCTGATGCCATTCTGGCCTAATCTGATTGGCCCTTTTCGCGTTGCATCTCATCTCAGCAGGTGAAAATTTTTTTAGCTGCTTTGCTTCCCGCACTGATATAAATGCAAGCAAGCACGATGGCATTTTTGGTGTTTTTCTCGTTCTCTCTCATTCTCTGAATTTTCATATTCACACACACTCTCTATCTACTCCAATCTCAAGAAAAATGGTTGTCGCTACTAATCTCGGTTTCCCCTACGTCGGTGCTAAGCGTGAACTGAAGAAGTTGGTCGAGTCCTACTGGTCTGGCAAGATCACCGAGGCCGAACTCCGTCAAGGCGTTGAAGGTATCCAGGCCACCCACTGGAAGTTGCAGCAAGCCCAGGGTCTTAAACACATTCCTTCTGGCGAGTACACTCTGTACGACCGTGTTTTGGATACTGCCCAGCAGTTTGGTGCCATCCCCACCCGCTACCAGAACATTGCCAACCCCTTGGACCAGTACTTTGCCATGGGCCGTGGTCTGCAGAAGCCCGCCACCGAGACCACCGCCAAGGTCGATGTTCCTGCCATGGAAATGAAGAAGTGGTTTGACACCAACTACCATTTCATCGTCCCCGAATTCGAGGCCGACCAAGCCTTCTCGCTCCAGAACCCCCGTGCTGTTGAGCAATACAAGACTGCCAAGGCTTTGGGTATCCAGACCCGCCCCGTCCTTGTTGGTCCCGTTACCTTCTTGAAGCTCGGTAAGCCCGCCAAGGCCGAAGAGCAGTTCGACACCTTGTCGTTGTTGCCCAAGGTCTTGCCCTTGTACGTCGAGTTGTTGAAGCAGTTGGCTGAAGCCGGTGCCGAATGGGTCCAGATTGACGAGCCCGTCTTGATCTTTGACTTGGATGCCGAGGCCAAGCTTGCCCTGGAAAAGGCCTACAAGACCTTGAAGGATGCTGCCGCTGTCAAGATCTTGGTTGCCTCCTACTTTGGTCGTGTCGAGAACAACATCTACCCTCTCAAGGATAACGTCGATGGTCTCCACTTGGACTTTGTCCGTGCTCCCGAGGAGTTGGAACAGGTCTTGCCCTTGATCGGTGAGAAGCAGGTTTTGTCGTTGGGTTTGGTCGATGGCCGTAACATCTGGATCAACAACTTGGAGCAGTCCATTCAATTGGCTGAGAAGGCTGTCACTGCTTTGGGTAGCGACCGTGTCTTTGTTGGCCCCTCCTGCTCGCTCGCTCACTCGCCCTTCTCTACCGAGTTCGAAACCAAGATCGAAAAGGCTAACCCCGAATTGTTCTCCTGGTTGTCCTTCTCCGTTCAAAAGTGCAAGGAAATCGTCACCATTGCCAAGGCTTTGAACAGTGGTCGTGACTCTGTCAAGGAAGCTTTGGCAGCCAACACCGCTGCTGTCGAGTCGCGTCGCACCTCGCCCCAGACTGTCAACAAGGAAGTCCGTGACCGTGTCGCTCAGATTCCCACCGCTGCCTGGAAGCGTGCTTCGCCCTTCCCTGTTCGTCGTGAGGCTCAGGTCAAGAAGCTTAACTTGCCCTTGTACCCTACCACCACCATTGGTTCGTTCCCTCAGACCAAGGAGATCCGTGTCGCTCGTCAGAAGCACAACAAGGGTGAATTGTCCGATGCCGACTACGATGCTTTCATTAAGGCTGAGATGAAGAAGGTTGTCGACTTCCAAGAAAAGGTTGGCTTGGATGTCTTTGTCCACGGTGAACCCGAGCGTAACGACATGGTTGAGCACTTTGGTCACTTGTTGTATGGTTACGACTTTACCCAGAACGGTTGGGTCGTCTCCTACGGTTCACGCTGCGTCAAGCCCCCAGTCATCTTTGGTGATGTCAGCCGTCGTGGCCCTATGACCATCGACGAGATCAAGTATGCCCAGTCGTTGACCTCCAAGCCCATGAAGGGTATGTTGACTGGTCCCGTCACCATGATGAAGTGGGCGTTCGTCCGTGATGATATTCCCGCCAAGGATCTCTGCGCCCAGGTTGGTCTTGCCCTCCGTGATGAAGTCAACGATCTTGAGGCCGCTGGTATTCCTTGCATTCAGGTCGACGAGCCTGCTATCCGTGAAGGCTTGCCCATCCGCCGCGCTGACTGGGATGCCTACTTGGAATGGTCTGTTGCCTGCTTCCGTTTGGCCACCTCTGGTATCACTGATGAAACCCAGATTCACACCCACATGTGCTACTCTGATTTCAACGATATTTTCGATGCTATTGCTGCTTTGGATGGTATGTCTTTATCTTTACTGGTTTGGGTGGTAACAGTTGTATAATGCTGGTCTGTTAATATTTACTGCTTTTTATTATAGCCGATGTCATCACCATTGAAAACTCCAAGTCTGATGAGAAGCTGTTGAAGATTTTCGAGACTAAGCAGTACCCCAACGAGATTGGCCCTGGCTTGTACGATATCCACTCGCCTCGTGTGCCTTCCGTTGAGGAAATGAAGCAGCGCTTTGCCGATATGCTCAAGTACATTCCCGACCACCTTCTCTGGGCCAACCCTGACTGTGGTTTGAAGTCGCGTCAATGGTAAGCGTTTGTAATCCTGGGTGGATGGGAGCCGTATCTCCTAGTGAAGGAGACAATATATATTAATGATGTGTATGTAATAACAGGCCAGAGACCGAAGCCGCCCTGGTGAACCTTGTGGAAGTTGCCAAGTACTTCCGCTCGCTTAAGGCCCAGGCCTAAGCGCACGATCCTCTTTGCACATCTTAATGCACCCACCTTTTCAACAGAAGTGTAGGGTTAAAGGTAAGCAACGAGTTCAACAGCTCCATGCATAATCATCAAAATACAGAAGAAACGGTCCATTGCGCGCTCGCTTTTTTTCTTGATTGGGGCGATTCTGGGAAGAACTAACGGCACTGTAATACCTTTATCATTTTGCCCAATGACACAACAACCCGAAAACATCCTCTGTGGTTCATATATTCCTCATTTTGAGTTGTATATGTTCCACGGTTTCAACAACTTTCAATAGCTATTCTATTCAACTACCTTTGCTCAGGAAATAAATCGTTCGCTGGCAGTTTTTTGTAACAAAAATCTTGTTCTCTCTTTGCCTTGATGGCTTTGTTTGGTCTGTAAAATGGGATGTGCAACTACAAGCACAGCACAATGGAGGTTCATTGCGTGCAAAAATACTGCAAGACGCGCTTTACGTTAAAGTTTCACAAAGTCTTCGTAACAAAGTGGAGCTCCTCCTTTTCTTTATGTTAAGTTGTTACTGTCGTTATTCTTACTCGCACCTCCAGCTACCTTACTGTCATGCTTCCCTGTCACCTCGTAAGGCCCGTTTTTGACCCGCTGGTGACGATGACGTTTGTGGTTGTTGATGCGTTGATTATGGTGCTGAAGATGGGATTTATCTTATGCCGTGTTGATGATGGCAATTACTACTGAAATGATAACAGTGGCAATGTAGTAGCAGTTCCACCGCCATTAATACTGTTGTTGCAGTGGAGCTTTCTGAATTCTTTAATACAAGCTGCTATAGCTTCGTCAGTCAGCGCCACTGTAGTGGTTTGTCATTATGGCTACAAAATAAAAGAAGGTGGTCTGTTGTAGTAAACCACACTCCCTTGAGAATTGTCCGACAACTCAATCCACCCCATCATCTTCGTTACTATTATGATGCGATAGAAGGAGCACCACGCACGGATGAGCCAACATAGTTAATACATCATCAGCACCATACCAGCAACCCACATTAATCACTTTTATTTACAGTGAGTCGTCCCCTTTTTCTATTCGCATTGCCAATAACTTTTCGTGTTTGTACTCAACCTGTCCAGTTCGTTATTACCATCCAGTCGCTCACAGGCATGCAAGATTACCTAGGCACCCAACAGGAAGATATTGTTAGGGCGACTCTCTTCTGGTTAATCCGGTAATCCGGGATGGCGATCCAGCATTGGCAGCCCCGAACAAGGCCAAGTCCAAGAAGGTGGCGAGGTGTCCAACAACAATGGTGGATCTGGTGCACAAGCGGGGGCATTACCAAAGATATGTCCGCTAGCCCTCATCCGAAGAGGTGGATCAATTTTTCCGCCAACGCGTGGACACGGTATATGCCGAAATGATGTATGCATTGACCAACGAACCAACCAACAATGAGCTTGGTGCCCTAGCACATGCGGTAACAACACAACAATCGTCCGCGAAGGCGACGCAAACAACAAATGGCAATGCAACAAATTGCAGCTCAACAAAAATTGGGTGCAAGAAACAAACATGTGTACCCACAAATTTACCGGTCTTCCAAATCCGAGGTGGGCCCTGCGCGGCAAGAACAAAAAGGTCCACGAGTCCATCAAGTCTTTCTTAAAACGCATTCAAAGTCCAACTCAAGGTGCACAGATTACCAATTGAAGACCACTGGGAATGGTTATTTCGGCTTACCTGCGATGACTTGCAGCGGTTATGGTTTGCAAGAACTCTGGCAGGCGGGGACTACACTTGGTACCAGGTGTAGATAGACTTCAATTTAGCCAAAAGATATCATTTTGTCATAAATAAGAGTCAGATCACAGAACCTGTTATTGACTATGGCAGCAAAGAACTTACACATTGTTTCTGTGTCAGTGTCTTGAAACTTGCAGATAAGGATTTACCCGCCTCAGTAGGCGTGTACTTGCTCCTGAGCTTGGAATTGAGTATTACCGGTCTCTAACACAACTTCTCTGCATCAGCAAATGCGCAATAGGAAGAAAAGCAAACAGTTGTCAACCCGCGCCAAATAATTTACCAGCAAGCACAAAACCTTGTTTCATCGCCAATACATATGTTTTCATCCAACAGCGCTATGCACTCTACCTGAAGCAGAAGTGAGACCTATTGACATCCTGACGTTGACAGTATGATTTACCAATTGCACACGCACAAACTGTGCGAGACACTTTTAATACATGGTTAGAGGACGGTACTATAGTAACAGCTAACACTAATAGGAATAGCCCACTTAGTCTCGCACTTGAGAAAGATGACTATGTAATTATACAAATGACAAATATCGAGCTTTCCTAGACAACCGGCATGTCCGCGATTCGTCCATCAATTTATCAAATGGAAGTCTAGACAGCATCTCGAACAGTATATAAAGGGCTGGGGATTTATCTAATAAAAAGCATCTCATATTTGACTCTCACAGTATATCAGTTGGTTTCCAAATATCCATTTTGTTGCTGCGCTAACTTAATGCCGGTCACTGTGAGTAAAGCACGAGCAATTTTGAAAATCCTTTCTCGAGTCAGGTCTCGGCTAAAAGTTGTATCATGCCTGTAATCAGATAAGCTACCTTTCGTTGCCAGTACCACAATTTCCCAGTTATCATACATATACTGTACACAACACCTTTACTCTCTCATCGATTGCATCTACTTGGGCTGTAAATATTAACATAATAGTGTGTTTATGAGCCTTTGAATGTACTTATAGAATGTGTAGTACTTATAGAATGACTTGGCCAAAGCGCATCGCAAACATGTATGGTTACTTGAAAGAAGAATTCGTGTTACCGATGAAGGATACGAGTGTACAGAAACAGATCACTTTATATTACATTTAACGAAGAATAAGTGTGAAAAAATATGGTAAAATGATAGAAATAAACATTAATCTACAATTGACAAAATCATTTAGATAGATAAGGAAATATATATAGAAACGACAAAAGAAAGAATATGTGTATATATTAAAGGGAAGAGAACTAGAGGCGATACAAAAAGTTGCGATCTTCGATATCAGTCAATCCCAATGAAACGTCCGTCTCCTTCTCTGGGGGATTCGCAATTCGTCGCTTGTTCTCGCGAGCCATGGTCCATCGGTTGATGATGAAGCAAATCAAAGCAACAATATTGCCAACGGTGAACACGATGGGACCAGTTAGGTAACGGGGAGCTTCCCTTTCCAACATCAAAAGGGGACCAATAAATTGGCCTATCGTAGTGCCTGCGACATAGACACTGTTGTAAAAGATCTTCTTGCTATAACCAGATACATTGTTACCGATCGTGGCTGCCAGCAGCGCACTAGCACCAGACATGCCCCAGCTAAGGTAGTAGCCTGCCAACTTAACGGGGCCGTCCACAACAATGGTCAAGATGAGGCATCCTGCGGCACTGATAAGACACATCAAGATACCGACATAGGCGATCTGACCAACTTTACGAGCAAGTATCGAGCCGAGCAAACTGAAAAGACATGCGCAAGCACCACCAGGGATTTTGAGCAGAATCGACTCGGTAGGCTAAATATTTAGGCATTTGGTTTTAGTAAACTGGATATCTTGATCGTATGTGTAAAGGCGGAAAACCACGGGAAGAAAGAAAAAGAACACTTACAGTAAAATCACCGAGTGTACTGATCAATTGAGCACTAAAGACCAAAAGACCACCGTTTTGCATGTTCAGACCAATGGCAGCAAGCAAAATAAGGTAAAGGCGCGATTCCTTCAAAGCTTCTGTAAAGTGAGCCCAGTTGACCTTTTTGGTGCGGATGACAGCGTTGTCTTTGGTTCGGCGGTCGACGATTTCATGTTCCTCGGGGGTCAGACGCAATAGCCAGTAACGCGGACCGTCAACAAGGAAGAAGAAGCACAAGATACCCAAAGTAACAGTAAGGGCGCCAAAGATAAGATGGTTCCATCTATAATTTCACACAACAAGGTTCCGGTTTTAATTCCTGTATTCCTAGCTCCATCATTGCAGCCAAGTATAAAAGAAATCCTCTAATATCTTACCTCCACATGGCAATACCGCGACGGTTACCCATGTTTGAAATGCCTACAGCCACAAAGTTTCCGAGAACAGAGCCAATACCTTGACACATGGTTGCAATACCGAAATACAATGTCTGCTCCTCACGTCTGTACAGATTGGCAATGATGATATAGATGCATGGTAGACACGTTGCTTCAAACAAACCGAGAAGGAATCGAAGTGCTGCCAGTTCTGAGAAGTTGTTACCCATAGCCGTAAACATCATGACCTATATAATTGTTTTCTCAGTTAGCGGACCGGGAACATTGACACAATGGCAAAATGTTATGCAGCAGAAAAATCCGTGTCACAATTACTCACAGCGCCCCAAATTACGATCGCGACACCGAGATACCGACTAATAGGGAACTTTTGGACGAGGATTTGATTGGGAATCTGGAAAACCAAATAGCCCAAGAAGAAGATACTTCCAAGCCAACTGAATTCAGATCCTCCAATCCCTGTATCTTCGTAGATGCCAAGGACTGCGGAAATGGCAAGAGCAGATTTATCGGCAAACTACAATAGGAGAAGAGAGAGGATGCGTATATATTTAGACATTTTGTTGATCCGCTGGACGAATATCGGGAAAAGATGGCTATTTTACACAGTAGCGTGATTGAAACATTACCTGAACCATGACAATGGTTGTCATGAATGGCAAAAAGGTCCATCCTACTTTGCGAATGTATCGGATTTCTTCTTTTGTTTTGACATATGTTGGGCGCGACCGCGCGACACCTTTTTCAGCATCACCAGAACTACCATCGGGTGTCACGGAATCGGCATGCACCACTTCAGGCTTCTGGTCGTCGTCGTGATGCTTATCCATCGGTTGTTAGTGAATAGAGAGTAAGAAGTTGATGGGGTATCGGATTTGGAAACGGGAAGGGGATCATGGGTTGGGGGTATTTATACCAAAGTTACAGGGAAAAAAAGCGGCCAACATTTCACACAGAGTACGTGCTTTTTGTCATTCTCGTTCCCGCGGTCGGTGTATAGACTAGCGTAGCCAGTAAGATCGGAGGAGAAGCGATACGGCACGCTCCACTGTCTCTCTCGAAGCGCTCCTGTGCCCGTGTGTGTGGCGGTAATCCGTGAGTGTTGTGGATTCCTCAGAATTCCCGTCGTACTTTAAAAAAACGGCATGAAAGATCCGTCCATGTGGATTGTGGCTCTCCCTTCTTAAATTGGACAATGTACCCAAAGATCACACATTTTAATATACTGACAAATCTGTGGGATAAACGTGTATGCGTGTGCTTCTTCAACGATGGCTGGAAAGAGCAAGTGACGAAAAGAAAATCACAAAACTGGAGCCGTTATTTGGAAACAGTGATGATATTAAGAAAAAAAAGAAATATACGTGGGAGGCGTGAGAAGCGCCATACAAGCCTAAAACAGCTGTAAAGAGTCGCACAGCGCTGGATTCCCTTGAGAAAGGACAGAAACATTCGACCGTTTTTGACAGGTTTACTAAAGCATCTGTACCAATGGAATGGGTGCCCAATATGCACTGCACGGCATGCCATTTGTAAGCGCATTTCCTCATTCTGATCTCGATACTGGTGCATACGCTTCTTTTCAATTACTTTATGCAGACTCCTCCTCATTTCTATTACACTATTTACCCCGCACAAAAACTCTAAAGCATGCACATGCCTAATCCTCCTCGCACATTGTCACACTCCTGAGACACAACAATTTCCTAAATCGTTCATAGATCGAATTCCTGGTATAACCCACGCTTCTCCACACTCACGCAATATAGCACACAGTCCATAGACACTTTTCTCAACGTCATACGAGAGAGACCCCATCAAATATTCGCTCTCTTCTCAGCCAACCGTTGCTCAAGGAACGGGATCAGTAAGCCGGCCATTTAGGATTAAGGATCATGTTTTCAAATTAGCAAATCAGCTCCCATTGCGAATCTCCATTGATGGCTCAAGGTTCAGGTACTTGTCATTTTGGTCCTAGGAGCTTTACAATGCTTACTCTTTCTTTGAGCTCAATAGCAACGTGTCCTATTGGTCATGACAAAGGGCGTTTTTCGTTCCCGCAGGAATTCAAATACACGATATGTCAAAACCATGTACAAATATATGCGATTATCATTGGTTACTTTACTGCAGATCTTGAACTAGGCTGTGGGAAAAAAACTACTACATCATTTGCTAATTATCAGTGTTCATACGGAGGAATATCTCCAACCACTTATACCTTTGCTATCACTAGCAATATTATAGCTGCACCTTCATCGACCGAGCCATTAACTGAATAGCCCCGATCTATCAGTTAACATGTATGTCTGATGCAAACTAGAAAACAATGAGACTATTCTCTGGAGCCAACTAGTAGAACGTCTTGACCATTAGTAAGGCCATATTTCGACAACCATTTTAGTACAGAGCTAGAACCAACTACCCTTCAAACAATACACACAAAAAGCGACAGGCACGCTTTCTACAAAAGAATACTAATTTCGCACCTGAGCTAAACATACAGCAACTTTGGGAAAAGGGTCTTAAGCTTTCTGTTAGCCGAAACAAAACCACGCAACATCGTTGACTGTAATACTGAACTGTATCAAATCCATGGTTTTTAGAAGGCTGTAAGTTATTCTTTGACCTCTGCTGCGGTTGGGTTCCAGAACCCCACCAGGAATCAGCGCTTCTACTTTTATGATCTGCGTGGGTGCAGCAGTTTACGCTAACAAGCAGCTGAGCTTACTACTAAGCTATGAGAAAAAGCTGCGAAGTATTACAAATCTCAAATATTACCTTATCAGGTCCCGTGAGGTCGTAATTTTACGCTTCCTCCTATCGTCTCTTCTTTATGACTTAGTACAATCACCGCTGTATACGATACTTTCTTATGTACGGCTGTTTTACTAGATCATGGCTGCTGAGAAAAGGGGACATCAAATTAAACAATTGCAGCGCCGTGTAGGCAGGCAAAAAGCGATATCATTGATGGTATACCATCTCATTCAACAATGCGTACTGCTAGCACTAACATTTTTAGAGGTTTTGAGAGCTCTGGGCCACAAAATTACTGAGCTGTCACATTTGGGGGTAGGATCACAGGGTATTGAGCTAGCAGGTCATGCAAGTATTTTAATATGGTGAAACTCCAAAGTATACTGCATGCCAGTGCATTGTCCATACAGTTTGTAAAATAAGGCCAATTTTATATATGTTTTGTGCGAAGAAGTCCACAAGAGACAAGAACCGTTGATGATGAGCATCTCAGATGTGGTCTAGCGCGGCCGTTGGTGGGGCTGCTATTCGTGACAACGCAAGCATCCAGATTCAACGGACAATCTATCACGAAGTGGCGTACCGTTTCGCGTTCAGCGTGACACAGAGGGCATAGATCCGTAGGGCTGCTGATAATCCAATGCTGGTAGGCTTTGCTGGATATACGACTGAGGATCAAGCGTCACCAAGGAGTACGGGCTGCAAGTGGGATGGGCCAGAGCAGGGTAAGAGCCACTGTGAGGTCGCGGTGTGGTTGGCTGCCAGATGTAAATCAGCGTTACAGAGCGTTGTCGATAGTTGGGTGCAGTTGAAGCTGTCCCATTGAAATTTGTGTGCGTGTTGCCGCAAGGGCGCGTAGAGTACGACCTGTATCAGAGACCTTGAGCCGACGTTCGTTGGGGCTTGAGCCAGTGACTCTTATTTCGCTTGGCGCTAATGCTTTGATAGCAGGCTACTATCACGACCAGTTATCCCGCTTACATATATGTCTTCCCTTCCCCAGAGTTGTATTGCACCTCATTTTTATACTACATTATCAAATTAAATTCCATCATATATTATTTCTTTCATCGGGTATTGGCCACTCCCTAATGGTTATACAGTAATCGGCTCTTTTTTTTTCAAGTTGACTTCTGAGCACTTCCCAATTCAAGCGTCGTGTTTTCGTCATTTGCACAGTGTCATGTTGCATAAAAAATGAGAGCACATATCCACGAAAAGATAATTTTCTTTTGCGAAGTCGAAAGAAAAAGCGATCAGGAATCATTGAAAGAAGTGATACCAAATATCATTCCTTCTTCATTCTATTAAAGTCAAACTATATCTTAGTGACATGTTGTGATTGCTGCTATACCTTCATGCCACCATTCGACGGCTATGCACCTTACATAGCATATCAAGCAGCGCCTTACAAATTTAGGTAATATGTCATGACCTGATGTTTATTCTGGTAAGTTAGCACAAACGATGGTATGCACATGTCTCAAATTGACAGCCTAAAACAATAATTGATTTCATTATACATATGATACATACTGAGTGTTGTTGTGCTTATGTTTGTACCTTGATGTTGTCAAGTTGACAATTCTAAATATGGCGCTATGTCCTTGCCGGAGGTGAATCTGGCATTAGAGGTAAACAAAGTGTAATTCATGCATCAATCTGGTGTGTTACCAGGGAAAACGGTACCTATGTAGGCAACAATACCAGGAAATACATATGATTTGTGACCAGCACCGTTAATACCTTGTACGTTTTGTGACCTGAGTGACCAAGTTTCACAGTGTGCAAGAACTCTTTCAAGCAAGAGTGATTCAGATTGCTATTAGGACATCTTGCTCTGAAAACTCATTCTTATCAGAGTGAATAAAGAAGCATATGTCGCTAAGTAGAAGAACGAAAATCTAGAAGAGTTTGTGTTTCACAACAAGCAGAGCAGTGTCTCACCATTCGCCCACCATTCGCCCGATTGCATATCCTTGCATAAGGCTGCTAAAACATTTTGTACCACATTGGCGGTAAAAGAGGAAGAGGATCGTATTACAAAAAGAAAAAAAATAAGACAAGGGCCTGAGTAGTTTATATAGGTTGGCTAAATGGTCAAATGACGAATGAATAAACACAAGCCGTGCACTGACGACAAGGCTTATGAAAGGTATCATGATATGTTGTGATGTGCGGTATTCACTCACAGCCATGTCCCCTTGAAATTTTTCCCCTCCTCCCCTTCTTCTGCAACCCCATCTCCCCATCATTTTTACCCGAAGTAATTCAGTCTAAACGCATATTCTTCCGCTATTTCCTCCTTTTTCTTCCGTTTACATTTACCGAGAAAAAAAAAGCTTGACAGAAGAAGAGAAATACGACTGTTACAGCAACACGGGGGAGAGGAGGAATTAATCAACAGATAGCGCCATAACAACAAACACCAACAATGCATTGTATCACCTATATGATTGTAGCGTTCATACCGTCCTTCGTCTTTTCGTTGGCAGCTCTTCCCGTCGACCGCCCGAGCTCTCTACAGCAGTTCATCTTGACATTGTTATACATTGTCAACCTTGCCATTCCGCCGTACTATGCCGGCACGTTTCCACTAACATGGGGCATGATCACCAGTGTATGGACTTGGGCGAATGGACTCAAGATGGCTGTATGGTTATTCTGCATGCCGCAAGAAGAACGACAGAAACGACCGTTTTTCGGTACCCTGTTTTACTGGCGTGAGCGAACAGTTCCAGGAACTACAGGAGCGACAAAAACGACAAAGACAACAAAAGCGGCAAAAACAGCAGCAGAGACGAAAGAACAAGCAGTAGTGGCACAACCTAAAAATAAAAAGGTTGTTGAGGTGGTCGAACCTGACGATAAGTTGAAGAAACAAAAACAACGCGACCTGTCCGTATCAACGACCGTTGCCAAGTTTCTGCGGGACCAGTTTCTTTTCGACACGTTCGACATTATCATCACCAAAATGGACGGCCAGCAGCAATCAATTGCAGTCTTTGACCAAGCCGTTCGGATGCTATTGTTCCAAGCACCAAAGTCGTCCATGGCATGGTCAAGCATCGCCTCCAGTTTCAGCTTGTGCACTCTGTTCTCCATCTACCTACAACTCCAGCTGCAGGTCACTTATTCGATATTTGTGGTTGTTTTCAGCTTGGCGCACTGGATCTTACCGTTTTTGGGCATCAAGGCACAATGGATACGTACTGTAGAGGTGTATTTGGAGCAGGCGAGCGATATGCCGCCAGCTTTTGACTCGCCATGGGAGGCTACAAGTTTGAGGGACTATTGGAGTAATCGTTGGCACCAGTTTTATAACTCTTGCTTTGTGCGGCTTGCCTACCTACCGTTGCGACGTCTTTGCGGTAACGTCAAAATCTTGCGTCGAACGATCCCGGTATGGGGCGTCTTTGCTTTATCAGGAATCATGCACGAGTATTTCTTGTTTTGCACAACTGGCTCAGCTGTGTATTGGCATGGTGGCGCAGGTGGATGGCAGATGTTGTTCTTTATGCTGCAGCCCATTGGTATCCAGATTGGAGATACGGTTTTTCGACCTGGCTGGCCAGGACGCTTGTGGGCAATCGGATGGATGATCATGTTGTCGCATCTGTTTGTCATTCCGTATTTTCTCAGTAGTTATTTTGAAGTCGTTCAAATACGCATTTTACCAGTCGTTTTCAAATCTTTGTACACAGTATACCGATCGATGATCAGCATTTAGGGGGGCCATCGTAATACCATTATCTCCCGTTATCACTAGACTCGTCATCCTGCCCACAACACAGCGCATGTTCCTGTGTCACTCCATCCTATGCATCGCTGGGCAATAGATAGATCATCCTTTATTTATTGAAAAAACATAGAATTTTATTTTAAAACATGTGTTTGTTCATATTGCTGCGTTATACTGTATTATGTGCTGTACAGGGCAGATAGTAGGTGACAACTTTAATGATATTGTGCTATGTGGATCGAGGAACTCTGGGAATTACATGTATATACGTATTAAAAGTAAGCATGTCAAATGGGACTAGCTCTACGTAGTCTTGATTCTTACTATATGCACTGCAGTATGTTCAAGCAGTTCTTAGATGAATTCAATGAAGCAAATTCTGAGACTATACGTATATTAAACGTACATATTCGTAAAAAAAGGTATCTCGTTCTTGAACGAGGTTGCATATTTTCTTCCTAATTTTGCACCATCTCTAATTAGGCTTAGCTGATACTTGTTTGAACAATTACTATAAGACGCTCTAAGTACGCCCATTTTTTATGTCGTTCTCGCACATCCATTGTATACAGTATACAGCAACAGCGACATATATGGCTCAAATGCGAATTATTATACGCTTTCGATGCTGCTGCACATGATGCACGAAGAAATTCCAAGCCGCCTGTGTCTATGTTTCTGTTTGTTTGTACAAACTGAGCTAAAAGCGAACTGGTATGCATGCTAATTTTGGTCGATCCCCTCTTTTTCTTGATCCCATTTTGTCAATAGTAAACTGCGTAATTACATCTTTCTGCTAGAGCAATAATAAATTTTAGTAATGATGATGGCATTAATCGGAAACAGACACTCCTCATAATTAAGCGTGATAATGATATAGTCTTTGGCTCCCAAATATTTTTCAGACAAATAGGTGCACCTATATGCGTAAATGACATGATGTGTGCTTATTAGATAGAGTAGCAAAAAGGCTTCCTGAACAAAATAATCATCTCTTTCTAGCAAAATCATCCTGTAAACGCCTTCTGCCTCTCGAGCAACAATATACGAGATGATCGTGGCTGCTGTTGTTGCCTTTTGATGGTGTCTGGTATCGGAGAAAGAAGCCGGGAATTTACAAGATAGAAAGTAGTAGCCTTTTTATATGCACCTCTTATGCATATTTACGAAATACGACTCTGGTTCTAGATGCATGTATCATTATGTATGGATACACACTTCAAGGGTGTGTCTACCCTAATTGTTTTCATTTGTTTATTGAGTGCCCGAGTAGAGAAGACTATTAATGTTGCATTCGGCCTTGGCGTTCCGTTTCTCTTCTTTTGTCCTTTTCTTCCCATTCCACATTTTCGTAACGCTGCTACTATCGCCTGGATAACATCATGACAACAACGTTGCCCTCAGATCTCTCACCTCCAGCGCCCGCACCGCCACCTCCGAAGCATGCTCCAACAACTTATTACATGGCACCAGAACATGCAGCATGGGAACAGCAGTCGCCTATTGAAACTTCAGGTATATATTTCGGCATCACAAAAAAGACCGTGCTTTTAAGAATTGACACTGACGGGCTTTTACGTTTGAAAAAAAGAAAAGGGAGGAGGGTATGGACAACCTTACGCTGCTGAAGAAGGAACAGCAGCGCCAGCAACATCTAAACAGCAACCACCGAAACGACCGCCATTAACAGAACGGAATCGATGTGTACGATGGCTTTGTTGTGCCTGCTGTCTGCCTGTTTGGGCACGGTGGATCGTATGGTTCATTATTATTGCAATCATCATTCTCATCATCATATTTGCAGCATTACTGGCTACATTCACCATGCCAACGATGGATTTTGCAGGCGTGACAAGCTCACCTACCAACCAGTCAGAAGTTTCGTACGATGGTCATGTGCTTAGCTTCAATTTTGGACTAATAATACATGTACAGAATCCCAACGTGCTTGGCATCGATTTGTCGCAGATCAATGCAACCGTACGTAGCAAATTATATCTGGAATCTAACTATATTCTCTTGCATGAGCGCGCACTTGCGTGGGCTTCAATCGTCTGTTTCTGAGGAAGCCTTATCAACTATTTATGTTTATTTGATAACATCACCATTATTCACCTATCAATTTTCTATGTATATGCAGGCATACTATCCTGACAATTCAAGCCCTAATGGCAAGTTGGCGCTGGGTGGAGGCTATATGGATCATCATTATGTGGAATCGAACAGTAACGCCAACTTTACGTTCCCTTTTGCGATTAATTACGATCCATTTTCAGCATCGCACACCACTATTTTAAACGTGCTGATTGATAAATGTGGATTGACGGGTGGAGAAGCTCAAGACTTGACGGTGGACTATACAATCAATCTAGCTGCCAAAGTCCTGTTTGTAAAGGTGCATCCAACGATATCATCTTCGGCAACGTTTAAGTGTCCGCTTACAGAGGTACAAGAAACCAGAGTACTCATAGTTCTGGTCGGGTAGAGTGATATAAAGAGAAAACTAAACGGCCTTTCTTAATGTGTTTTATAGGATCAAGGACTACCGGGATTTGGTGGTGGATCATCATCGTTGGGCGGAATGCTTGGATAAGCAATGTGTTTATACGTATTACATAATGCTTACCCACCTCTCAATTTTTGTACAAGTACACGTTTTATAGCCCTCATCATCTTTCTATTGTAAATTTTCCAAAAACTCTAATTTCATCTAACATAAAAAATGTATGCTTCAACTAAACACATCTTAGTCTGTAGCCGAAAGGAAATTCTGCCCATTTTGTCAGTAATTTTTGTTTCCCTTATGTGTGGGAGTCCTATCATTATTAAATGGTAAGAGAAAGTTCTGTTTGAGATATAAAAAGCTTCGAGATTGAGGTATATTCACACGATAAACTTAGATTGGAGTTTTGAGTATGATCGCACACATGATAATCAGCGTCTGTATGTCGGCCAGCGATCGACATGCAAAAGGAATTTCGATTATGACCAGTAGTGGTTCCTGGGACGATTTTGGCGTTTTCGTTTAAGAATTGTGTCATATTGATAGTACATGATCTAGGCTAGACATCTGTTGAAATCGATAATAGATGTAGTAAGGATTAAAGTAAGATAGCGAAGCCCAGATCAGTGAATACGGTATGCCTTTCGTATCTTGTACATGCCTTTTTTTTACGTCGCCGTTGCTTAACGGTTGGACACTGTGATGTGCTAACACACTTATTGCAGCAATATTGTTCTACGCATCGGACAACTATGCTTTTTCTTGCTTTCTATACAATGGTCATGCTTCCATTGTCGGTCAACAAGTACAAAAGCCTGTTATGCTTAGTGGATTCATGCATATCATTGACGAAGAATCTTCTCCATCGCCTGAGTTCTGTGGGGAATACCTCTTCATTGGTGGTATTAGGGGCATTGAGGAAGGAACACTCTTTTAAGTCTCTTATGTGCTCTTATAACCAAAAGCAACAAAAGAGATGAGTACAGCATCTAATAAATCATCAGTTTTTGCATTTGGGTTAAACATGATCATTTTCATGTAGTACTGATGCCACAACCGAGATATTGCCACCCCTATTGTTCCCCCGAACAAGTAAAATGCAACTGAACACAAACTGCTAGAAGAGCTTTAAAAGCTGTGTCAAAAAATTGGCAAGTCATCAATCAGCAGCAGCATCCCAGGCAGTACTCTACGCCCCTAACGTGATCGATTTAGCACTTGTTAAAAAGGTCGAAAAAACCGTTCTATTGGATAGAGTCATTTGAACCTTAAAAACATCCTAGAGTACGAGTTTCGATTGCACAGTTTTAAAAGTCAGTGTGGCATATCGTTAATGGATTCACGTGGATTATATAATATAGTGACTCCAAACTGTGGGTTTTTGGTTTTACACGCTTAAGGATCAGCAGGTGGCTCTCCCATTATGCTTCAAATAGATAGATGCCACTTGATAAATTGCTTTCCTTCAGAGTATTGTGAGCTGCGAATGTATTGGCAGATCGTCAAACTTTGAACGCTCAAGATTTAATATTCTTCTTTCAACAGAAGCATTCTCTTCCTCCTCATTTAAACAAAGGATATGTGTATCTTTACATATACGCATCCTTGAGCATCTTAAGATCTCCTTACCGTTATAAGAACACTATTTATAGTCTTATATCGATAAGCTTCACGTAAGGGATGTAATGGTAAATGCTAAGGGCAGAACAATCTGTGGCCTGTAAATCAGGGCAATATTATGGGGGAGTAGCAGCAGCACAAAAGGCAATCGATCAGGTCCTTCGCCTAGCAATCCGGAAAATGCCAATCTACTGGTTTTGACAAAAATGTTAGATCGTCAATTTTAAGCTGTGTTCTACCTATCAATGTGGTATAGTAAGAAGATCAGGATATATCGTCCTCGTACTTGATCCAAGAAGGCGGTTAAATATTTTAGGAACACACCTGAATATAGTGTAGATCCTGATATGGCTAGACCGAATAAATGGCTTTGTGCTATGGAATCAGTTTAAAATTTTGTCGTCAATGTCTGAGCTTGAAGAGCTCCAAGTCATGCGTGAGTACCAGCGCTTGGTGATCGGTCGGATTTACCAATTAGCAAAAGTTTCACGTAACATACTGTGGGGTTCTTTTTGGTGTTCGATGCTGTTGGAAAGTTTTCTGCAAAGCATCACGTGCAGAAGCAAGAGAGATTGTGTATGTCGTTGGGTCTCCTACTGTATGCACCGTGTATGCATGGGCGTCATACTTGTTCTTCCGGAGCATGATACTTTTTTTTGTAAAGCTAAATATGTTGTCAATTGATACCAAACCCGCTTACAGTGAGAGTTAAAATGTTACAAAACATGGGGACAAGTACTTGTTTGGGTGCGAATATCTTCTGCAAATTATAAGAGTATTGTATCTCAATTTCGGTATGGGAGGAGAACTTGCCTATTCGTTAAATTGTGGAAAGCGAAGACAGAAGGAAAGAATTCCCGCCTGCGGCCACTTTACAGAACGCTTAATGTGATATTGCCTCGATGAAGTGATGATAAGAAGGATCAATATTACACATGAGACAACTTTTAAAAAGTAGTGGGGCGAATCGGGAAAAGAAGGGCGCGCCCAACAAAAGCTGACCAGGCTTTTATATGTTTTTACCTTTATTTTTCCTTCTCCTCTCTGTCACAGATCATCATCGTCGTCGCTCGTCGTTGTCGGCGGCGGCCCGAGTAACTTTCCCAATTCAGACCATACACTCTTCAAGCCGACCCCAAAAAATCGCCGACTGGTCTATAACATCATCACATCTAGAAATATACCATCCAATCAGAGCTCCATCGCCCGTTAGGCCCGGAAGATTTTCAGGGCAGGCCTTTGTTATCGGATTCCGGTTATAAGAGGCCCGTCTTATTACTTTATTTGTTATATTCTCCTGCTCGAACTGCTGTTCTCAATCATAAAAAGGACCCCATTTTGCCCAACAAATAAAATGGGAGACAGAAGGGCTGCTGGGACTTGTTTCTTATTCGACGGGTGGGGGCCTGTCTGGAAGTCACAAACTATAATCTTCTCTGCTAATAGTACGCATATCATATTGTGGATTGCTACACACACACACACACACACGAGCAACACAGCAGGGTTTTCTGTCCTACCCATTTGGGGCACAGGGCACACACATATTTCAGCCCTCATGACGACAATGGTGATCAAGGGCACTACCACAAAAGAAAGTTACCGTTTCTTCTCTTCTTTCTCGTTCTACATGATTCTGCTGTATCTCTGTTTTGCTACCGGCTGCTTTCTTTTTGGCAAGTCGGACTTTGTGGGTAAGGTTGCGAAATCGTCATTGATCGCATAATGATAGAAAATGTGGCATGTGAAGAGAGACAGAAACAGGCAGAAGAAGATGATTTCTGCAGAAAATAGGTAGTACCTGACATATCGTGGAGACGGACATTTTCGATAATACTCTAGCATATCCTAACGATACAAATAACCACAGAGATAACCAACATCGATCATCAACAACAAACATACGCGGTAATCATCGTGTGTCTGCCTCTCTCTGACATGCATGTTATTGAGGAGACATGAACATTTATTTTATGTATGCTACAATACTATGTTTCTTTTGCGGGTGTTGTTTCTCGATCGATTGTGACAAACGTTTGTTACATAACAGAATCCAAGTGTTACTGATCTGTTCTGTTGAACTAAGCGGTCTTGTTGTCTCTTTGACTTGGCACCAGTGATTTTGGCAGTGGTGCTGGCTGCAGTGGAGATTTGGTTTCTGTGGCAACGAATGAACTTTTTATCTCGCGTGAATCGCGACTGATTTCTGTCAGTTAAATTTGCGATATTTTACAAGTGGCATCATTCCCGGCCGGCGTGTGAATAATTCGTGTTATACTAATGACAGGCAGTAGTAGTATATTCATGTATCACATAGATCATTCCGATAGAAATCTTGATGATTTCTTCTCCTTATGGCATATCCGATTCGTGAATGACGTTGAGTTAGAGGTACTATCCGTTTGCGGGAACAATACCTTTGTAGTTTATAGGAGATATAGAAGAGAGACTATTATATTACACGCGTCGTGCGTTAGGTAGAGTTGGTTTAGGCGGTCACTCGTCAAGCTCGCTTTGCGTGAAGGAGTTTTCTGTTAGTGTTGTAAATTTAGGATACCACGATGTAGTAATGTTGCTGATACCTGCACCTCCTGAGCTATACATACGCTTTATGCCATCGGTTGGTCCGGCAAAGTCAGCTATATGCACTCAAGGATAATAATCACGGTACTTATGCTTGGATTTGACTACGATCTTCATGCTCGTTTTTGGATAATATCGCTAGGAAAAGCTAGAGTGGAGTATCAAGCTAATGAATAATTCCCTCGACAACTTATATTGACATTGCACAGCTAACAACTTCCCTTGTTCTTATGATCCTCGTTGTACGAGTACTCGCTGGGCTGTCATTCGATCCCACAAACTCATGCTTGCTATGCCAGCAAGGTTTTTTTTTGTCAATGCTAGCTGGTTTTCGGTTGTTATTGATACTTTTAAAGACGAGGGACAGTATAGAAAATCCGTTTACAAGGAAGTTTGCTTTAAAGATCAGCTTCGTCCTTGTGTTTTTCCTTTTACTTGATAAGTTTTGCTAATACAATAACAAACAGCACATGTTTGATAGACGGGGGACAACAACAACAAGGCCTTTATATAAATTGGTCAAATTCCTAAAGAGGCTCGTCCAAAAACGAGTGTGTCGATGTCTTAGCTTTGCGGGAAGGTGCATCGGCATCTGCTCCCGAACCCTCTACCACAAAGCTGGGTTCTGTCTTGGTCGCTTTATGGATCTCGGAGGGTCCGATCGGTATTGAGATGCCAGCGGTCTCACCAATCCACTTACCTACTTAGAAGTCGCCCCGTGCCTACAAAACAAGCATCAGCACCCACCCTTGCGCTTACCTACCCTCACTCACACTCACACACACTGAAAAAAAAGGAAGGGACTTACCACATGTGATCGAGAAAAAGCGAGGAAGCAGCACGCTGCGGAAAATGGGTGCCTTTTCATGCACACGTTCAAGACCCCGCTTCTTTTTGAAAACCCCCCCCACTCCCATCTACAGGTCCGTGCTAACAACGCGGGGAACAATGACAGATCTTCTGTATCGTAGCGACAGTATGTAACACTATTACAACGCGCTTTACCACACTTTGGTACGCGTTTT